CTCACCATCTCCCCCAGCAGCGACGACAACGCCGCCCCCACACTCATTGCCGCAATCGACCCCGACGTGGAGACCAAGGCGCAGAGCCTCCATGCGTTCCGCCTAACCATCAACCACGGCAGACTGGCCGTGGACGTTGAGACCGCCTTCAATGACAAGGCCGTCGAGGCAAACGAATCCGATATCAGCGCGGAGGAGGTTCGAAGCCTGCTGTACACTGTTGAGAGCTTACGGAAAGTGGTCACAAACGCGGAGTTTGAAGAGGCTGGCTCGGAAGCGCCGCAGGCAAACACTGATAGCGATATGGCGGCAGATACTGGTGATACCGAAGAGTGATCGTGTTGAATATAGTAGTGTTTACGTATAATCCATGTTCTATAATTACATAAAACAGTCACTTGTCAAGAATAATACCAAAAAGATGAATTGCTTTAAATCATCATATTCATAGTCTAAGTCTGCAACAACCTGAGATAAAAAAATAAAAACTCATCAAAATCGTCTATGTCCCTCTAAACGCCCTCCAGCCTAGTCATGCAAGTCCAAAAAGCACCCAGGTCCATAATAATGGTCGGCAAATGGACATGCCCGTGATCATCCCTCTGCGCATTTGTTTCGCCATCGTCTTCCCAGATGCGGCGGAAAGTAACAGCTTTCTCCCTCCTCCAGATGGTATCAATGAGACTTCGAAAAGAGAACTCCTCAAATGCAGCGGCAGAGAATGGAACGAAGCAGCACCCAATTCCTCAAATTAATTCAAACAACACCGCTCCATCCGCCTCACTCGCTTGCTGCTTCCAGAAAAAGGACGTCGTAGTGATCCAATAGCTCTAAGGCACCATCCCGCGTCCACTATTCGGTCGCTTGCTTTTATTTTGAGCTCCAAGCTACATATACTGAGATGTATAGGCTTGCCTCCCCCCTTTTCTTTTGCAATTTACTGCGAAGCGCACTGCACGCGCTCGCCACCAGGGTGGCCATCTTCGTCCTCATCGTCACCCATGCCGTTGGGGTCTCCAAAGACCTTGCTCTGAGCACCACTATCCAAATCTTCCAGATCGGCAGGCTCTGTCATGGCCTCAGCAGGGGGGTTGCCCTCTGTTGAAGGAGGTGGAAGGAGCTTTCGAAGGGATTCAAATGCAGAGGCGTCGTCGGTCCAGTTCTTTTCGGGGAACTTGACATCGAAACGGATGTACAAGTTGCCGTAATCGTGGTGTCTGTATGAGGGCATACCCTGGCCGCGAACCATCTTCACAGAGTCTAGAGAAAGTTTGTTAATTTTTACTCTTGTCTTGATATCAGGTTAGAGGAGGAAGAGGGGAATAATTACCTGGTGCAATAGCTTCGCCAGGAAGGATTTCAATGCTGAGCCATCGCTCATCCAGATGCTCAACATAGATGGTACCTCCTGCCAGAGCAGTAACCAGCTCAATTTCACATCGGTAAAGGAGGTCATCATCCTTTCGGGTGAAGCGAGGGTGAGGCTTCTGCTCGATCTCGAAAACAACATCACCAGCCTGAACGCCAGGAGCCTGGTCACCTTCGCCTCGGAACTCGACCTTGGTGCCGCTCTTGACACCCCTGTCGACGTGGACGTGGAGAACCTTTCGGTCAACGGTGGTCTTCTTGCCGTTGCACTGCTTGCAGCGATCCTTATCCTTGATAATCTCGCCTTCACCATTGCAATCGGGGCAGACAGTCTGGAAGCGCTGAATCATGGGGCCCATCTGGCGCATCATAGTCTTCATACCAGCACCATTGCAGCCCGCGCACTTGCGAACGGCACCATCCTTTCCTCCAAGGCCGTCGCACTTGGGGCAGATGATGGATCGTTGCAGCGCAAGCTTGGAGATCTTGCCACGGTAGATGTCTTCGAGGGAAACCTTGTGGGTGTGGTGGATGGTGCGAGCCTTGGGAGGCCCGCGGTTCCCCTGCATGCCACCAAACATGCCACCCATTCCACCAAAGCCGCCACCGCCAAAGAACTGAGCAAAGAGATCTTCAGCAGCCATGCCGCCAGCGCCACCCGCACCGCCCTCGAGACCGGCTTCACCATATTGATCGTAGATCTGACGCTTCTGGGGGTCGGAAAGGATCTCGTAGGCGCTGGAGATTTCCTTGAATTTCTCTTCGGCAGCGGGGTTGTGGGCGTTCTTGTCTATACCGTGGATATTAGAATGAGTTTCTCTCTAATAGACAGTTGCCAAGGTAAAACGTACCAGGATGGTGCTTCAGGGCACCAATCTTGTAAGCCTTCTTCAACTCCTGCTCAGTGGCTGTGGGAGCGACCTGGTAGGATACATGTTAGTTCATCTCTTCGTACAAGATCGAAGCAGCCGTGGAGCTGCATGTAGGGCAAATACATACACCAAGTGTGTCGTAAAGCTTTGTTTCCTTCACCATTTTTGCTGAGATTATTAAATTTCAAAAATAGGTTTGTATGCGCCAAAAGTTCAGGAAAAGCGGCGACAAGCGGCCGGCTCGTTTACTGTTGATATAGAGGCTTCTGTTGGACAGCAATTAGTCGAAGCTAGAGAACAAAAGAGTCCGCGGCAACCGGATCGTAGAAAGTTCTAGGCAACAAAAGGCAAAGAGCGAAACAACGAGAAAAGGAATATCCGCTGTTCAAGCAACTTCCAGAGACGACCCGTGACGAATCTTTACGATGTTGTCGGCGGGATGCAATAGAAGAAGATGGAAAAGGCGCCGAGGGGCAAAGTGCTCGTAATATGACCTGTGATTCTACCGTACCTGAGTAATAGCCCAGCAGAAAAAAAAAAGATAGCGTCCTAGAAAAGCCACAGAGAAGGACCAGTGGGGCGAAGAAGAAATTTGCGGGCTGCGACGCAAAAGCTGTAAATCGTGGCCGGATAGTTTGACGACGAGGAAATCTGAAAGATTCTCGAGTTGCAGTCGATTGCTTTTTGAAGAATGGAAGAGAATAAAAAAACGGCTCGGTCAAGGGAAAGCGGCCTCTGGGGTTAAGACTTGGTGAAAGGGCAGATGCTCAAGCGCCGCCTTGGAGGATTTAAAGGGCGGCTGCAGGGGTCCCCCAAGGCTGCGTGCGCCTCATGGAATTGTATCGAAGAAAGTCGATGGTGTGGCGGTGCCCAATAATGCAAAGCGCGCAACCTATTCGTCTCTCCCAAGCGGCAAAGCGTCCAGCAGCGGGTACCGCCGAGTATCCGATTTGTCACTGTACAGAGAATCGAAGGGGCCTCGGCGCCTTGACGCCTCAAAACACACTTTCAAGGTCAATGCTTTGCTAAGTACATGTTTTTATTCTGCGCGAGTCGAGATTCAACTACAGTTGCGGTATGCACAGCGAATATCCTCCATTGGCCGCATCAGCAGAACAACCGCTCTAGCACCAGGGACCAAAGCAAATCAGGCCAGGCACTTGACAGCACTAGCAACAACTGCTGTTGAGCACATGGCAATGGAATCCTTCTGTTGGAACCCAATGAAAAAGAAGATGAGGCTGCATCGCTCCCTCGCAGGTACTGCTACTACGCAGATACCTCGCACTTTAAGCTTTCCAGTTTCCGACGCTGCCTGTTTCCATCTTACATCTTACTGTACCCTGCATATCTGTACCTGTACCATCTTGGACAGCAGAATAGCGGGCTATTGGAGATTCCCCCTCTCTCTGCTTCCCACTAAATCTTTCAAAAGCCATCAATCCATAAAAGAATCCGCCCCAAGTCCGCATCCCGAGCCCCTCGACGCCACCGGAAGGGCCTTACTTGTACCTATAGCGCCGTATGTGACTTGTCTTTGTAAGTGCTTCGATCCATAGCAGTACGTATGTATTAGTAGTACAAGCCTGCCTCCACAGATAAAATAAAATCATGTACAAGGAACGGCCGAGCTGAAAGAAAGAAAGAAAGAAAGAAAAGAAAAAGTAAGAAAATCCCAGCTCGCCGACCAGGGTCCGTCCCCACGAGGCGTCACTGTCGGCCTCTTCCCTGATCAAATCATCGATCTCGCTCAGCGGAGCATCCCGCTTTTGCTGGCTGGAACAAGACTAGCACTGGATGCATCTCCATGGAGGTGCTCCGATAAAAGGGATGGGCAAATGGGTTAGAAAAAGCAGCAGGTTGGAAAGTTGGCTGACACCGCCACACGACGCTCGTGGAGACGCAAAGGGCAATTGGTAATGCTGTTCCATGCAAGTGCTGGATCCAACAGCCGCAGCCTTCTTTTGTCTTCGTCGTTGGGTGCAGGATGAGGGCATGGAGGCTTTTGGGGGCCTTTTCCTGTTTCAAGGTTGCTTGCCGCCTGCAATTATGCCCGCATTTCCATACCTAAGGTACCTAGGTAGACAGTCCGTAGAATTAACTGATACTCGCAACAGCAAGTTCACATACGAGCACATCCCAAAGCAGTTGGTAATACTGAATAATGCGCTGCTAGTACGGAGCGCCGGCTAAAAGATCGTCGTTATCGAGATGGAGGGGGATGTACCTGTACTCCAGTTTGAGAGACACCCAGTGCCTCAAGTACAGCTGTCAGTTACCTGCTTGCCTGCTTGCCTGCTTGCCTGCTAAATGCTTAGGAGGTGTGTCTGGAGACGGAGTGGGCAGCTCAGGCTGTAATTTCTCACAAAACAGACGCCTGGCAGCAACGACAGAAGTGGGTAACTTTAATGCATCGGATGCAGGGTATATCGTACTTATTAGCAACGCGAATGAACGTGTACAAATCCAATGCTATTATTACAAAAAAAGAAGGAAGAACCATACGGTTAGTTAGTAGGTAGGAGGAATAGTATCTAAAGGCTCTCTAAAAATAACAGTCCCGTACCGGGAAGCAAAGAAGAGGCTGGTGTGGTGTGGTATCAATACGGATGAACGCCATGTCTTGAATACAAAATGCAGCCATACACACAGAAACGTCAAAATCGTTAATGCTTTCTGCGTACTATAAATGTCTGCCGTTCATCGTGTCCGCTTTAAGGGGCATTCCAGGTCCATCAAACATTCAAGTCCGACAGAGGCTTAGAATGCATCTTCAAAGGGGCAATCGACGCTATCATGGCCATCCCGCTCACATATGGCGCACCACTTCTCCGGGTCCAGAATGCCACTCTCCTTGCCAGCCACGGGCCCTGATTCCATGGGGTTGGGAATGATTCTCACAGCCGGGGCCGATGCGGGCTCTTCCTTGGGAATACCGGGGGTCAACACGGCGGGGTGTTGAATAACTTCATCATCACCCGTGGGTGTAAGAGGCTTGAGGTCCTCGTGAGTAGTGTCTCTCTCGTCCCTCTCCTCCTTCTCTCTGCGTTCTTCCTCTTCGTCCTCTTCTTCATCATCATCCTCCTCTTCCTTCTCGTCCATCTTCTTGCTCTTGGCGTTATCATTGCCAAACATATTTGTGCAAGTCAAGATATCATGGCCACCTGTCTCACAGATCTCGCACCAAAGAGTGCTACTCTCGGTGGCAGTTGAATAGGTGTCGCTCTCGTTCATTGTCTCGAGGGTACTTGCTCGCTTGTGCGAGTTGTGTGAAAGATCTGAAGATTCTTCTTCTTGAGGTTGGGTGGGGATAACCATCTCTCGAACCGTCTCTCTTGAGTTCCGTACGGATGATCGTCGAATAGGAGCCGAATCTCGGATAGGGGCCGAGTCGCGACCAGGGTTGATGTTGTTTGAGCGCAGGAATGCAATCTCGTGCTGCAACTCCTCCTCTTTGTGATTCTTCTCCTTGATAATATGCTGAAGCTCAGCGACTTGTCTCTCTAGATTATCTCGAGCAATCTTGTTCTCAACGGCATCCTTTTCGCTAATTAATGAGCCGGGTCGTGGTCTAGGAGTGTGGCCTTCGGCACCAGGAATTGAGTCTCGGCTAAGGGAATGGATAATAGCCTTCAGTCCTCGAATCTCGTCTTCCTTCTGCTCCAGCTCCTTGGCTAGTACCGCGGAGTCGCCACTCAAAGCCGACATGTTATGAGGAACGACCTTTTCCTTCTCTCGCCGAAGTTCTGACCGTGTTCTCTCAACCTCTCCTCGCAAGAATTCAGCCTCTCCGCGAGCCTCGGCTTCGCCACGGCGAGCGTCTTCTAGCCCTTCTTCAAGCTCTTGGACCAGCTCTTCTAGCTGCTTCAGTTGTGTAGCTACAGAGTCAACATCCAAGTTTCTTGACTCAAGCTCACGGATATCTGCTATAAGCTCCTCTATACGTTTCTCATATACTCGTTCAGTTTCTGTGCTGGCCATTTCAAGCGTGTCAATGGTACTCCGGAAATCTGCTCGATGAGCATCAAATTCGGCTGCAAGCATGGCAATTTTCTCATTCTTTTCTCTCAGCATGTGTCGAAGCTGGTTTGCATCTTTGTCGTCTATGCTGCTTCGCCTCAGTCCGTCAGGGTGTTCTATTAGCGTTTGGAGCTCAGTAAGACTGCTCTCCATTTCTGCTAATGTTGAGGCCTGTTCTTTGAGTTGCCGATCTCTATCCTCTAGCTGGGCGCGCAATCGTTCGAGCTCCTCGTCGTTAATGCTAGTCGCTCGGGATGGCGGCCGCAATGACAGCGACCCCAGGCCTGTGTTGCTTTTTGTTGGCAGGGGAGGCATTGTCGGTGGGTTAGGATCTTCATCAAATAATGGCTCGGGGCCCAGAGAGGATGCGCTACGAGGTCCAAAGCTTGGCCGTCGTTCCATCGCCGCGGCCTTGTTGGGATCGCCCATGTGACCAGCAGTTCCGCGCACGCTCTGTGCAAGTCGGTTTGTCGGACTACCGTATCTTGGAGGAGCTTTGATTCCTGGCGCTGAAATTGACGGCCGTGGCCCAGGCGACATGGCCAACTTCCGTTGTGGTGACTCATCGGGGCGTTGAAGTGAGGGCTGTGACTTTTTGCCCTTTGGGCTTTGAACTCGAGCACCACCAGCCCCAACCGAGGCGCTTAACTTGGAGAGGCTTGATGTTGGAGATTTCAGGCTCACTGAATTGCTCTTGCCAAGCTTCAAGCCGCTCGCAGCATTGGGCGTTGGTGTCTTGGGGGATGAGCCGGAGGGCTTTCGCAGAGCTTTGGCGACCGGGACGAAGATGCCGGCGCCAGAGACGTTGGTCGAAAAATAGGAGACGCTGAGAGTAACAGGTTAGCGGTCCACTCCCGGTGCGATACGCAGTGGTGCGAGTCGTTCTTCTTACCCATCAACGTCGCCGTTGTTCTTCCCCCTCGCCGCAAACTCCGAATCCAGCTCGACGCCGACAAAGGTGCCTTTCTTCCCCTGGACGGTGCCGACAAAGCGGACGGTACCGACCATGCCTCCCGGCACGTTGACAGAGTCACCGACAGACAGTTCCATGGCGGGCGGCGTCGCAGGATCTTCCTCGGGAATGGTGTTTTCGGAAATCTCGTTCAGAACGGAGTCGATGGCGTAGCTCTCGCTCCCATCGGGGATGCTGGCCAGGGAGCTCGGAGTCAGGGCCGCGAGCGATGTCTTGCGCAGCAGCTTCGGCTGGGCGGCGTAGAGCGCTCCCAGGTCGGGTGTCGACGAAACGTTGGATGGCCGGCGCAGCGAGCGCGAGAAGTTGGACCTGGCCGGCTTGACAGCGGTGGAAGTGGCAGTCGTGGAAAAGGACATGGCGCTGGCGTTGGGTTGGGGATCCAGCAAAAATTAGCAGCAATCTGGACGGGGCGTGCCGGTCGGCCTGAGGGGACCCCACGCCAGGACAGGTACCGGTAGTGGTAGTGGTAGTGGTTCCAGGTCCAGTTCCGGAAGTGGTGCTGTGATGAGGTCGCCGATGGTGTGTCAAAAGGGGCTCCCCCTCGTCCAATATGACTTAGCACCGACTAGACTTGTCGTCTGCAGCAGTAGTACCTCGCCTTTGACAGCAGGAACAGCCAGCTGCGATTCCTCTTGGTACAGGCCCGGCGAGCGACAAGGGAACAAAATGAGCGGCCGGGTTGAAGGTTGCGGGTACCTGGACGCCAAACTGGGGATCCAGCGACTACCGTAATTAAAAGCAGAAGAAAAGGGAAAGGTGAGAATGTACGTCGCAAACTGTAAACTGAAGCCTGGAAAAGCTGAGAAAAGGGAGGCAAGTTTCGCACAGAAAAGAAATTTCTCCAATTTGAAGAAGTGGAAGAAGAGAAGAGGGAACGGGAAAGAACAAAATAGAAATGCGAAATGTCAGGAGGCCAATGGAAAGGAAAGACGCTGCGCCAGCTCATTTGTTTGTTTACCTGGATGCTGCGAGCGATATTGCACAGGGCCGGGGGCTGCGGCTGGTCCAGCCTATCATGGCCGCTAGATGGCCACTGGGCCGCCTGAAGCACAGCCTAGAGCGCAGCCTGTAGCGAGCGCCATGCATCGAGTTTACGTGCAGGTCTAGCGGGCAATAATACGGAGCCCCTACATGACGGCTATCGATGTCAATCTACCAATTCCTTGGTAACGGGCTGCCTGTTGGTAAATTCGACACGGGAGCCAGCGGGAGTCATTGGGCAATTTGGGCACTGCTGGCAGCCCCCTTCGTGACGAGCCTCTGGACGGAGCAGATCACGTCGATGAGTACGTCAGCAAATAAAGGGGCTAGGTGTAGAGAACAGGTCAATAGCTACAAGACGGTGAATGGTGGCGAATGGAGTTGGCTTCAGACAATAATAATGAAACGAATCTCAGGAGACGCCAGAGAACTTTCTCCCTAGCACGAGTCTTATCAAGTCTTTCAAACCCCTCTTCAGATACTACTACTAGTAGTAGTCTATCTGTTGGGCCGCTATGCTGTACCATCGAATCAATCCTGGCTTCGTCACAGGAGTATCGTCAGATGAGGAGATGCTCAGTTTATCATCGCACTGCTCTTGCGTACGCTATATGGTAATCAAATTAGGTACACCCGTGCTGCTAAGTAGAGAGATTTTTGTACCAGCTTGTTGATTCACATAGCTCAGGAACAATACTCGATCACATGTCACAGTCATCATGCCCGCGAGGATATCGCATGTGACGACATCAGGCACTAAACATGTACCTACTAATGTAAGCCTTCCTCCGACTGCCTGCTTACAAAAAGCCAACTGTTGTAGCACGGATAAACGCGCAACGAAAGCCAAAGCACTCTCTACTTTTCTGGTTTTCTTGTAGCGAGATTAAATCAGCTTGGTACAAGGGCTTGGTATGTCCATTTGTGACGTCGCTGTTGAGTAATGGGTAACTGCAGAGTAGCGGCTAGGTACATGCATATTACCTCTTGAGCGAATCTTCCCTGTTGCATCAAAGTCAGACCGACCGGTGCATAATCAAGTTGAACGGGAACAGGCCATTTAAAAAATAGGCGGGTATTTGACATACAACCTTGGCCTTGTCATAACCGCCACCTTGTTATTCACGACTTCTCTCAGAACCTCTGAGGCAAGTTCAACCGTGTTGACTGGTCTGTTCTAAGCATGGATCTGCTCCATTACGATGGAGAAGCATCTCGTTCGATTATGTCCTCTCGTCCCAGGGGCCGTGTTCCATCGTTCAAAACCATAGCCTCGCGATGCTGGCGTCGAAGTCTCTGTTCCTCGGCGGAATGTTCCCTTGTCCGTCGGCTTTGCTGCTCTCCTGCCTGTTCTCCTACTATTTCCTCTTCAACTTCCATGAGAAGATCAGGAAGCTCCCTCATTCGCCGTCGAGAACTTTCCTTATCGATCAGCCCGGCTTTTTCCAAGGCACGTAGTCCACGCCGGGAGTGCTTGATGCGGTTAATGATATCCGTTATTCTGTTGTTCCGAAGATCCGTGTAATCTTTAAAGTTGCGCCGTCTTTCCTCTCCAGTGCTCCCCCAATCTTGCTTTGAAAGCCACTTCTCGACAAATTTTGCTTTGACAAGCATGGTGGCCCCGTATTTGTTGATCAGCTCCGTTAGAAACATAAGGCAGAATCTCTCGCCCATATCCCGCAGGTAGTATTCATCCCAATGGATATCAGTAACAGTCGGGAGGTCGGTGCTTTCCATGCACAGCTCCATGCACCTCACCAAGGCTGAGTATGCTCTCTCATCATGCAGTCTTGCCAATCCCTCGTTCCCTATGACTATGCTATGAGCACGTAGTTCAATATGACGACCCTTGATTTTCTTACCAGTTTGGCTCGTAAGCACAGCTAGTGTTCTGAGAGAGTTCATACGCTCTTCATATTCTGGTCGAGTGATGCCGAACCAGATATACTTGATTACTTCGGGGTCGTTGGCCGCTCTATCGCAAAGTATCTTGATGGCAATTTCCTTGATTGAAAAATTAGGATGATCCAAGAGCTTTTCTAGCGTATCTAGCTGGAGCGAGTCTTCGGTATCCTGCGTAATGTACTGGGTCTTGGGCTCCGACGGCGGAATCTCATTGTCGTCTCGGATGAGTGTGAGAGCTGTGATCATCGAGCTAACCAGGCCAAAAGTGGCCAGGCCGATGGTCACCAAGATTACTCGCTCATCGCGTGAAAACGATAACAAGCGGCTTGTCCAGCTCATATCGTCCCGCGAATCTCCCTTCTCCGGCGGGATCGCATGGGAGAGATGGACATACGTATACCGTAGCCTGTTGTTTATGAAATGTTGACTGAGTAAAGGCAGATGCTGGATTAGATCAGCTTGAGAGACTCCACTCTCTAAAGAAAAGGTACGTATCCACTATGCGGCCGTCTCTGCTTCCACTAGCGGTGCTCGGCGCCACTATCGATAAGCCATCATCAAAAAATTTAGCAGCAGGCCCTTGTAACGGGCTGTATCTGATGAGCATGCTAATTCTGCGATCAAATTTTGATCATACAGACAAACGCTGCCCGTCATGGCCGGCTCCCAGCTCAAGCGCCTCAAGGCATCACTGAGAGATCAAGGAATTACTGGCCCTCAAAAGTCCAAGAAGCAACGGCGGAAGCTGGCTCAAGATGGCACGGCTCGAAACGACAAGCGCTTGCAGAGAGGTGTTGTCTTGGAGGGAATCCGAGAGCAATTCAATCCATTCGACCTCAAGCATGCCGCGCGCGGACCCAAGTTTGAGGTGACAACCAATAAACCAAAGACTTCAAATGCCTCTGTGAAGGGGCGACCAGGTCTGGCCAAGGCCGCCAGCGAGGAAAAGGTAAGAACGCCATTCCCCTCTTGCCTGCGAAGTGTCTCTCTAATCTCCCATCAAACAGCGCAAACAAACCCTTCTTGTAGATATGCAGCGTCGTAATAAGGTCGGAGGCATCCTTGATCGACGATTCGGCGAGAACGACCCAACAATGACTCCTGAGGAGAAAATGCTGGAACGATTTGCTCGTGAGAAGCAGAAGACGCACAACAAGAAGTCTGCTTTCGATCTAGAGGATGACGAACCTATGGATGGCTTGACGCATATGGGAAGGTCGCTTGATTTTGGTGAAGAGGAGGAACTGGCGGATGACTTTCAAGAAGATGACCTTAAAGATGACGAAGACAGCGATGGAGACACCCGGGAGAAGCGACTCAAGCGACTACGCGCCATCATCGCAGCCGGTGAGGAAGAGGGCGGCGAGGATGGTGAGCCAGAGCGCAAGAAGACGAAGAAGGAGGTCATGGAAGAGGTTATCGCCAAGTCAAAACTCCACAAATACGAGAGACAGGCGGCTAAAGACGATGACGATGACCTTCGGGCGGAGCTTGACAAAGAGCTTCCTGATATTCGAAAACTACTCTGGTCTGGCCTCAATGGTGGAAAGCATCAGGAGAATGCGCCTCTATCGACAATAGCAGGCGTCGATCGGGATGCCTTTGACAAGAATTTCGATATACAAGTCAAGAAACTTGCCCAGGATAAGAAGGCGCAGCCGTCCAATCGCACCAAAACAGACGACGAAAAGGCAGAAGAAGAATCCACCCGATTGAAAAGACTCGAAGAGAAACGCCAAAAGCGAATGATGGGAGAAGAGGTGTCGGATAGCGATGAAGATGAAGACGATAAGAAGAAGGACACTGCGGGCGGCAGACAGGAAGACGATGAAGACGAAGATGATGATGATGATGATGATGGATTTGGGCTAGGACACGGTATCAAAACCAGACCAACGGCAACTGAATTGGGCTTCGACGATGAAGATGACTTTGTCATCGACGACGACTTGGTGGCTAGCGGATCTGATCTAGAACTGGTGGAAAGCGACGATGATTTCGACGAGGAAGAAGAAGACGATAGCGATTCGGCCAACCAAGCTCAAGTTGATGAAGACGACGATGACGAATTCACAAAAGGACTACTAAACGAATCAGAGACGAAAGACCCTATTTTTCAAGCAAACTTCTCTTCCAAGGAGAAGAGCGATGAGAACGGACTGCCATTCACATTCCCCTGCCCCCAATCATGCGCCGAATTTGTATCCATCACCCAGGATTATGACCATACAAATTTGCCCAAGATTGTTCAACGAATTCGTGCGTTACATCATCCCAAGCTGGACAGCAAAAACAAGGAGAGATTGGCAAATTTCTCTGTAGCTTTGGTGGACTTTGTGGCTCTTCCTTGGAATGCGGCGACATCACCGCCCTTTTCTGTCCTGGAAAGCCTCATTCGTCACATTCACTCTCTTTCCAAGATGTTTCCAGTTGAAATTGCCAAGCAGTTCCGCCAACATCTTGAAGAAATTAGCCAGTCTCGGCCCATTGCGCTGCTGCCTTCGGATTTGACGGTGCTAACAGCCATTGGAACTATATACCCAACGTCTGATCACTTCCATCAGGTTGTGACTCCAGCAATGTTGACAATTAGCCGATATATCGGCCAGAAGGTGCCTCGAGAGCTGTCAGATTATGCAATTGGAACGTACTTGTCCATACTGTGTCTGCAGTATCAACAACTATCTAAACGATACGTCCCCGAGGTGATCAATTTTGCCTTGAACACTATCTGCTCTCTCTCACCAGTAGCCTCATCAAAATCACTGGGCAACTTTCCTGTACACGAGCCTTCTGCGGGCAGTCGAATCCAAAAGGCGAAGAAGGTTGAATTAAGGCGCCTCAACTTCTCCGATTGCCTTGCTGAGAATTCTCAGGAGGGCGGCAACGCTCTGAAGCTTGCTCTGCTAGGTACAACTATTCAAGTGCTTGACGCAGCCGCAGATTTGTGGACAGCAAAGCCCGCATTTCTAGAGACATTCAGCCAGGTTGTTGAAGTCTTGAGCCATGTGAACAGCAAGCCATCAAAGGAGCACCTTCCCACGGCCGCCAGTGAGAAGACAGAGAGATTAGAAGAGAAGCTTAAGCGAATGTCCAGAGTCTCTCAGCTGGCACGCCGGCCTCTAGAGCTCCACCACCACAAGCCCCTCTCGATTAAGACCTATATACCCAAGTTCGAGGACACATTCGATCCCGACAAACACTACGACCCCGACCGCGAAAGGGCCGAAATGGCCAAGCTCAAGAAGGAGCACAAGAAGGAGCGCAAGGGTGCCATGCGAGAGCTACGGAAAGATGCCAACTTTATGGCGAGAGAGAACCTTCGCATCAAGAAGGCCAAGGACGAGGCCTACGAGAAGAAGTACAAGAGGCTCGTCGCCGAGATTCAAAACGAGGAGGGACGAGAGGCGAACAATTACGAGAGGGAGCAAAAAGCACGGAAGCGAGCGAATGCTCGCCGGTAGATGTATATATAAATTCATCCTTAAACAAATATTTAATGAAGTGTATTCATTCCGAGCTCCGTATCACCCACGTTCTAGTTGTATAGCTCATGACAACTAGAGCATTTTTTATGTCAGTAGTATTTATCAGTCTCTCTGTATAATGAGTTCAAAAATGAAAGAACCTGTAGTTGAAAAAAATGATGCGAAGCAGAACACTGAAGATTTTAATAGCAAGCTCCAGCATGCAAATTGGAGAATTTGTTGTGCTTAGCAGCCCTACAGGTACATATGTATCTTTAGTGATCACTAGTTTCAACAAGTTGAAAAGCAATTTGGCGCAGTGGAAGCGCGCCGGGCTCATAACCCGGAGGTCGCACGATCGAAACGTGCAATTGCTAAATACTTGTTTTTTTTCTCCTAGGTTTTTTTTGGTTCCTTCTTTTTTTATCTTTGTCAACGCTCTGAATTATACAATTTCGGAGCTCGCTGTTCCTTTTTCTTTTTCTTTCTTTTTTTTTTTTTTCTTTCTTTTCTTTTCTTTTTTATCTTTTAATATGTAACGTATTTTGATTCGATTCCTTACTTTAGGTATATCTCTTTATTTACCTTTTATTCGTCATCTCGTGTGGCTGATGTACGATAAGCGAAATCTTACTTTTGCACGTCGGCTTATTGTGTACGCACAATTCAAACGAACAAGCTCTTCTCAAAGCTGCAATTATGGCTTATTATATGAGAACCAAAATCGAACTGAAATAAGTAAATAAAATTTCCACTTTGATGGTGTATTTCTGCAACCGTTTCCCATTCGATGACACACCCAAATCTACGGCAGATTCAGGGTAGCAGGAAGATCGAGCGCAGATCCATGTAACGAATACATGGCGTATGCAGGGGCAGCAGGCGTGGCGCAACGTACCCCGAAACCCTCCCTAGCCAGGCCAGGCAGTTTAAGCTATCTGGCCTTGTTCACCGTCCCACATAAAAAGCACGTCTATCGCCCCTCAAGGTTCCGCGAACAACAACGATTGTTTGTAACGAGAACTTGACTTCATAGACGCAAGGTTGGGCGAGCCGAGCCTTTGCAATCATGAAGTTGGAGTATCTGGTCGTCGGGGTCCTGTCCCTGTTGACCCCATTATCAGCAGCATGGAGCAAAGAAGGTACGGAAGAACCAACAATTGGAAGCTCGTGATCATGAACCTTTTTTGGTTGTTGTTGTTCCTGGGCATTGTGGGGAGAGCTGTATCAATTGACAAATTTGGATTGTTACAGATCGAGAAATCTTTCGAATTCGCGACGAGATTGCCGCTCACGAATCTGACACTGGCGCTACCTTTTACGAGGTCCTCGGCGTGGCGGCGTCTGCCTCCCTGGACGATATCAACAAGGCCTACCGCAAGAAGTCGCGCTCGCTGCACCCCGACAAGGTGAAGCAGCAGCTCCGCGCCGACGCCCAAGCCGCCAAGAAGAAGACCAAGAAGGAGGGCGAGGCGGCGGCGTCCAAGGGCCCCTCGCAGGCGCAGATCCGCAAGGCCATTAAGGAGGCGTCGGAGCGCCAGGCCCGCCTCTCGCTCATCGCCAACATCCTCCGAGGCCCAGCCCGCGACCGCTACGACCACTTCCTCGCCAATGGCTTCCCGCTGTGGAAGGGCACCGATTACTACTACAACCGATACCGGCCCGGTTTGGGCACGGTGCTGGTGGGCGTCTTCATCGTGGGCGGCGGCGCGATTCACTACCTCGCGCTGTACATGAGCTGGAAGCGCCAGAGGGAGTTTGTGGAGCGCTATGTCACGTTTGCGAGGAACACGGCCTGGGGGAGTGGTGGGATTCCTGGAGTCGATGTTGCGCCTGCGCCTGAGCCGGCTCCTGCTGCTGCCGAAGAGGATGAAGCCGCTGCTGCCGCGCCTCAGCCGAGGAACAGAAAGGAGAGGCGCATGCAGGAGAAGGAGTCTCGGAAAGAGGATGGCAAGCCTTCTTCCAAGAAGAGCCGCAAGGGCGCCTCCAAGAGTTCGTCGCGTGATGCGTCCTCGGCGCCCGCCCCTGCTGGTGCTCGCAAGAGGGTTGTCGCCGAGAATGGAAAGATTCTCGTGGTAGACTCTCAGGGCGACGTCTTTCTGGAGGAGGAGGACGAAGAGGGCAACGTCAATGAGTATCTCTTGGATGTAAGTATCAAAGAACGTGCCAAGCCAAGCCTGATCCTTATATTCAAATGCTAATGATAAAACCACCATAGCCGAATGAACTCCTCAAGCCGACCTTTAGAGACACCGCCGTGGTTCGCGTACCCGCCTGGCTCTTCCAGCTGACAGTTGGCCGTTATCTGCCAGGTTCTGCCTCAACTGAGACCGACGCCGCCGAAGAAGACTCGGATATTCCCCAGCACACGCCCCCCAGCTCCGAATCCGCTGGCGAGGACTTTGAGCTGCTGGACAAGAGCACAGATTCGCTAAGCAAGGCAAAGTCGTCCGGTTCCCAGGGAGGAAAGGCCGTCAAGCGAAAGTCCAACAAGAAGAGGTAGAGGCGATAAAGTGGGTGCGGACCTGAGAGTCCGCTATACTTTTTGTTTTTGCAAAAAACGTGAAAATGAGATTAATGAGTATTTCCGTTTACTTATGTACTTATTCACACTATAATGGGAGAAACGGGAGATGAATAAATGGATACGGGCATCTTGTTAGGTACTCATACATTACTTTGGCCCACGAAGAAAAAAAAAACAGGGGAGGAAGAATAAAAAAAAAACAATAGAGCATCTTTTTGAAAAGGCATAGCCGTCTATCATAGGATTAATAACCGTTTATTCATTCCAACCTTGGCCATTGGTGACGTCTATCCCTTCTTTTTCACTCATGTCATGTTCCTCAAATTTGCTCGCTCTGTACAATCAATCCAACACGTCATCTCTCAAACTAAACAAGTGTTGTATAACTTCTTCAGCCTTTGCCCGCAAGGCGTTGTGGTACATGACGTTTGTCTCAAACGTCTTTACGCCCGGAATTAGATCTGCGGTGTCCTTGGCAAGGCCATAGTCCACGTACATGTCGTGGATGAACGAGGCGGCATAGACGGGGACTTCGTTCCTGCGCAGCTGATCAATGTCATACAGCGCCGGCCAGTCATTTGTACTGGCGATCTTCTCGGCGACAGCTCGCAGGGGGATCAGCTCGGGGTAAGTTTCAAAGTGCAAGGGGAAGACCATTTCTCCGGAGAAGAGGATCGGCTGGTCGGGAGCCACGGATGAGGTAATGGAGTCGTTGTCCTTGCTGAGCCAGGAGAACTGTTCGAGGGACTGGCCCACACGCTGAGCAGCCCAGTTAGAAGCATTACCGGGTCCATCGCAGTAGAGAGCCTCTTGCAGGACAGCGTAGATGATGTTGGTATCAAAGGATGTGAAGCTCTCGAGGGGAGTAAGAGAGGCTCGCGTGAGGAAACCAAGCTGGTCGAGAGAAGACTTGAGGTGGAGCAGTATGGCGTGTATCTGATCAAAGCCACCGTGGAAGCCAAGGGCAATGCCGAGGGTCAGTAGACGAGGCACAGTCAAGAAGCCACCTCCGGGCAGAGGAAGCCGCCCGCCTTCCTTTTCGATATACGTAGCTATCTGGCGCAACGCCTCAACATCCTCTGGGAACTTCTTGTAGTACAGCGCATTACGCTCAATGGTTTTCCGGAAAGTAGCCTCGTAGACTTGGTCAGCGGTTTTGCCAACGGGGGCCAAGCCGCCGGTAAGATAGACCTCGCGCAGGCCTTCAGGATGGAGAGACAGGTACGAGATGGAGACGAAGCCGCCGTAGGACTGTCCGAAGATAGACCAGCGGGCCTTGTGCTCAGGCAGGCCGTCGGTGAGGAGCTTGCGGATCGATTCGCAATCCCGCACCGTGTTGTCCTGGCGCATGAGCTTCAGATAGCTGGCCTGGACGTCGACGGCGCTGGGTCCATCACCACCCGGAAGGCGAGCCAGCATTGCCGTAGACACAGGTGTGCTCAAACCAACGCCGCGATGGTCGAGGTAAAGCACCTGGTAGCCGTGAGACACCGCCGTCCGGGTCAGCGGGTGGTCTTGAGGCTCTCGGTTTCCAAAGCCGGGGCCGCCCTCGAGGAAGACGAGCCACGGCTTGGGAGCGGGAAGCTCGTCTGGAGGGAAGATGGGAGTCTCATGCTTGGTTGCGCTGCGGCCGAAGAGGGTGATGGAGCCAGAAGACGGGTTGGAGTAGTCTAGGGGGACTTGGAAGAAGTGCTCGGTGACGAGGAGCTGTCCGGGGACGATGTGGCTCCTACTGCGAAGCAGCTTGGCCGCGGGGATGGCGAATCGCTGGAGGACCATGGCGGGCAGTTTTTTGTTTACTCAGTGGTTATTATTTGGCTTTCTCCGCGTCTTATCAAGTATAAGAGAGGTGGAGAATTAAAGGGTACCGCTGTGCAGCAATAATGTGAGCTTCAGCTCGGTGCTTCGATGTGTTAATGGCCGAGATGAGGTGGAGGGGCTTTGAAGCCATGCCTTATCACCCCGCCATAAGCAACCAAAGGCAATCAACCCACTTATATAACGTTCAACTGCCCCCGAAGACCTTTTCCTCTATTTCGCACTTTTGGGATGAGTATAGCTTACTGAGATATACTGCTTAGCTAGGCTCTTTGATAGCATGAATGCTTGAGCTCGGGTATGAGGGGAATAGGCATTGGTGCTATGCCGTTGTCAGGACGCCTATATGGAGCTACTCAGGGAACTGAGGCCATTGACTTACTTGTACGCCATCTGACGACTGCTCTTGAATATTGCTACTGCTATAACTGTTTGGGTAGTACTGGGGACTGGAAGCAGTATTCCATAGGGCCTAGTCTGGCCATGGATGGGGCTCTCCCAACTCAGACCAGAGGCTGGATGCATGCTAGAATCGGATGATTACAGCGTGAGGGCCTCGGATCGTAGCACTCTGCACCCGAGCTTAATCGCCCACCTGCCTATACCGACCTATTAGGCCCTGCTAATTCCACCAAGCAAGGCCAGAAACCCATGCATGGTACTCTACCCGTATCCTGCTGGTGCTAGCATAACCGCTGCCTACAACTTGCAGGTATAATTCTAGGTGACGTAATGCTAGATTCACCAAAGCTTCTTCAGGCCATGTGCATCGCTTCATCAAACAGCCCATACAACGGCTGCTGCTAACTGTTTTCAAGGCAGTAGAGTACAAGATACATTCCTCTAGGCCGATCTCCGCTGACGAATCTTGATGAAGCTCGCACTTCTCGCAAACCCGGAATCGGCCCGCCCAAGCCCCACTTATGCCATTTAAAACTCCCTCCATCGCCGCACGACTATTTTCTCCCTTCTTCCCGATTTCCCGACTTCTGCCTTTTCATTCCCTGGTCGTGGCCCAGTCTTGACAGCTTGAGCCATCCGGAATGGCATATTTACATCTTACCCAGACCGTGGCGGACGCTTTCAACGCGCTTGCGGACGAGGTGCAGATTTTGTCGGATCGCAAGACGATACTGGAGCATAAGCTGCGTTTTGCGCATGAACAGGTAAGCTTCGAGAAGAGCCTCTTCTTCCTTGCATTTTTTTTTTCCCGCTAGCTTTTTATTTTTTGTTCTTGTACAATTGTACATTCCTTGCATTCGCCGGCGCACATCAAATTGGCCGGGACCTGTCTTTCGAGACACGCAACATGATGAGATATCTTAGCTCTAGATCAAGAGCAGCCACTGCTGCTGAGATTGACAACCTTTTTATCACTGATCTGCACTGTCCTCCCGTTTTATTATCTTTCTTGTCTTGGCCAAGGGTCAAGACATGCTCTGAGTCAAAAACTTGCCTTAGTGTACTCTCTTTGGCTAACGCGACTCTGTCTTAACAGTTCCAGTATTTGGCCGATAAATATGCGCCAGCTACACCAGAAATAGAAGAAACTATAGCGAAGTTGCAGCTTCCGGCGCAGACCACCGTCGATGAAACCTTACCTGTGCCTCTTCCTAAGCATCGAATGCCGCAGTCCCAGGCTCAGGTTGCCCTCATCATTCGTGACGGACGACGCGCTGCGAACAAACTGGTTGCCTCGCTAGGTGAAACCAGTAAGACCACAGCATCATCCAGAGATACGCTGTCTCAAACCTCCCATGTAGAAACCTCCATGTCGACAACTGCTTTGGAACAAGACTTTACAGTTGAAGATAAGAAAGGCAAATTGCAGTGCCCCTTTGCTAAGGATGCTGCTGCTAATGGGAACAAAGAACCGAAGCCTGAATCCGGCCCGGACTTGACTCCAAATCAATCTGAAGACCCTGTTTGTGTTGCCATGTGCGAAGAAGAGACGTTTCAGCAAGACGCCGTAAACGACGCTCAGCCCAGCAAATGCCCTATCCGATTTCTAGACTCTCCCCAGGAGATTGCGCAATACGTTGAAGTTCACAAAAATGAGATTCCACGAAGCCATGAAGTCTGTGTGCGGAGATACCAGGGTAACGAGCAGCAGGTTAGGAAATTGGATGCAAAGTATGGGAATATTGTGAGCATGATTGAAGACCTAAGCCATCTCCACAAGCCAATGCTGCCCGGAGACGAGGAGCGCACACGCCGGCACAGCAACACTTCGAAAAATTCAAACGACCGAGTGGAGAGCTGGGCACATGCTGTCACTGTTAGCGCCAGCACAGACCCAGAGGTCCCCGCTGAACCACCAGTCGATATCGACGAGGGCCGACAAAGCCACTTCGACCGGCCATTGAAAGAGGTCCGAGTAGGAGAATCACCAAGCCGGCCCTGGGGAATCTCTGTACCGACATACAAACAGCCCAGGAACGAGCCCATGTCGCCCCCTCCTGCCCCTGTACGGATGCCGAGTCCTGTACGGAACACGGAAGCACCAGCAAAACCATCAGGGAAATGCCCTTTTGACCACACAGCAATGAAGCAGCCTGCGTTTGCTGGGTTGAATATCACGTCCTCGCCCGATCCTCAGATTAAGAAGGATACCGTTTCCAACACCCAATTTCAAACACCTTTTACGCCTACAAAGGAACCCCAGGAGCATCATGCTCCTCAGGAGAAGCCTACCCTTATACCACAACCTACCTTTATCAACCCGGATATATCGAAAGCCCCGACGGGCCCTCAGATGGTCTTTACCGGCCCTGTTTTTATCGGATATCCCATGGAGCAAGCCATTCAATTCATGAATCAGTATCAACAGACTACTTGAGACAGGCCTTTTAAGCTCATATTTCTTTTTCCCTTCACATTTTATATTACTTGACGACTCAAGTTTACGACAAACGTTTATTTTAGCGACGATGATATTTTGATTTAAAGATTTTTCTACCTGTTCAAGTAGAGTTTGTATAATTCTCTTTACAGCGGTGGCGTTATGACTTTGATCTCACCTCTTTGGGAATGGCGAGAGAGGACACAGAATTGTGACCTGTCCTTGTTATTGACTTTTTAAAGATGTTTTCTTTCCCGCCGTATGATTCTACTGAGTCTGCGGTTTTGTTTTATTACGACATGGTAGCAAGCGGACTGCGATTTTATCGGATATGGGAATTCACGGCATATTGTTCTAATGAGCTATAGCATAGAATGGAAAGCAAGCTACTGGCTATATTGACCAACATTAAGTTTGCGTTTCATGAAAGACGTAACAAGTACATGGCTTTTAGGGAAACCTTGAGCACGAAATACGCGTTGTGAAATGCAGCACATCTAAAAAGATAACAATTCCTATTCTATCCCAACAGCCACGTGTATGAATCCTAAAGTAAAATCATGTAAAAGACATCATGCGCTTTCCGCCGCTTCCCTCCTCAAGCCCCATTATAATCTTCTAGTCTTTATTTAACTTTGTCGTCTTCGCATCACCATCACCCTCCTCATCGTCATACGCATCACCCCAGCCATCGTCCACCTGCGTGTCCCACAGAGAAACATCATCATCGCCCATGGCATGAGCCGCATCCTCTGGATCCAGGAGCGTGTCGTCCGTGTCCTCGTAGCCGCCCTCGCCCTCCTCGGCGGCGATGATGACGGTGGCTTCCTCGCGGGCGAGCTCGGCGGCACGGGCCATGGTGCGGCGGTAGATGATGATGCCGGCAGCTGCGCCGATCGCCCCGCCGATGATCATGCTAGCGTAGTTGACCATTTTGTCGCGGAGGGTCATGGAGTCGCCTGCTTCGGCGATGATGGCGAGGCGGCTGCCGATGAAGACGTGGATGAGAAGCTTGGGTCTAGAGATGAGGTTAGTATATTGGTTAGTAAAAAGAATTTCTTTTTCGCAAAGAAAGGAAGCAGAGGGGAAGGAGTGGCTCTCTTACGTGGACAGCGCTGTAGAGATAACAAAAGCGAGAGGCGATATGCTGGGAATGGTTGCAAGGAAGCCATTGCTCAAGCTAAAGGGCAGAGGACAGAACCTAATGCCCGTCAAGTAGAGAATTCCATCCCGGCGCAGGACCTGGCCCAGCGCGACGAAGCGGTGGTCGGTGCCAATCATCCTGTTGACCTGGCCGCTCAGCACCGTCCGGCAAGCCATAAAGGCAGCCAAGCTACCAACAACGCATGCCGAGGCAGCAATGGGCCAGCCCAACGGAAACCCGTAGACGAAGCCCGCAATGGTGTTTGCCGTCGAGTAGCCCACAATGGGGGGAACCGACGTGACGAAGATGAGCATAAAGGCAATGAGCCAGCCGCCCGGGATCTCGCGCCACGTCTTGGACACCGTCGCCAGCCATCGGAAGAAGGCCTCCGAGTACAAGACAGAGAGGATGATGAACGTCCAGCCGATGAGGATGACGAGGATAACCATGGCGCGGTACAGCGGCGAGAGCTTCCAGTACGTCGCCATCAAGTTCTGGCTCCATTTGAGGTATGTATCCCACTGGGTGCGCGCCCAGTCCCGCGCATCAGAGGACATCTGCCGTGGTGACCGCGAGACGTTGCCTGAAAGACGGTGGCCTGCGTCTCTGCCGGAGCGGGACCATTGCTGCGGATGGGGGAATCGAGTTTCGGAGGAAGAAAGAGGAGGAGTGGTGGGCGATGAGGAGCTGGAAGAGACGCTGTCGCTCCTTGCGTCCTGATACCCGCCTGCCATTTTTGTTTATTGTTCCTTTCTTCGTCTCCTCCTTCTTCTTCTTTTATATGTCTTTCGTTGCAGTTGGTCGTCGTTGATCTTGACGTCAAGGGAGATGGAGCCGGACGGAGAGGAGGCAAGTTTGTCGCAAGCACCGTAGTCATATAAACCCACAAGGGCACTCGATGTCAAATAGCACGACGAAAAGGATATCGAAACCAGAAGTAAAAAGAGGAAGAGGAAAAGATGATTCACTCAAACGCCTAGCTCTCCATTCCGTATCCAATCAATGCGTCGTAATATCGTTAATCAGACTCGAAACTCTCTTTGTTGTTGTAGGCGGATCGCTCGGTCGATATCGACACTTCTCGGGATATTTCCACGAGCCTAGCAGTCCGCTGCCGGTGGTGCAAATCAAGCTTAAAAAAACAAGTCAATTAAGATCACTTAAGAAATGGGTCCATTCAAAGATTACCAAGGCGAATGAAAATCCTGGCAGAAGAAGGAAAACAAGGGCCAACGCAGCGTCAAAAAACACGGGGACAAAGAAAGCTGCAGAGTATCGGAGGCGAAATGTCTCGGATAAGGCCATCTCCTCGTCGCTCGTCATCCTTTCCCGGGGCGGTGTCGCCCGATAAGCAGGTATTTCTCGGCCAGTATCGTGTGGGAGAGTACTTGTACCTGAGGCGCGGCCCTCAAAGGTACCGGCAGAGCAGGCACAGGCACTAACTTACGTCAGACGGCGCGGACTTCGGAATCCAATGAGAAGCTCGCTTTGCGCAACGTTGCGGCCGCTTCACGCACTCCGAATATAGGAGTAAGTGCTGCGATTAGGGGATGTTGCTCTCCAATTTTTATTGTTGACCGAAGAGCTGTTGTGATATTCAGCCCTGGTAAATACATGTATACACTCTGCTACGAATAGAAGAGATATCTCCCAGCACTCAGTATAAGCAAGAGTCAGAATGTGGTGGCATCTATATCATCCAAGTCGTCACTAGAACAGTCAAAAGGGCTATGCGCATCAAGTGAGTAGGATAGTTCATTGTCTTGAGATAGCGTCTACCTAACATTACGACTCCTCCCCCGGTGGGAAGCTCTTCGCTTAATTTTGTTGCATCATCTCAAGTCTTCGCTTTTTTTGTATCGTTTTTTGAATCTTTTACTTCTTTAGGCTCCGCTGTGTTACCGGCGACTAGGACCCTTGGGAGGCTCTCTGACCAGCATCCTGACTTTGCCGTCGCCAATCTCAATGCCCTGGCTGAGAATGTCAACAGTGGATGTCTCTGCGTCAGCTCCGTCCCTTGCCAGTGACTTGTCCCAGCTGCTGGCGTCCACTCCCAAGATACCGCCCATGCTATTGCGATCTCCTGGCACGGAGAATTCTCGGTAGGCATATCGCCACTCATTCAAGAATGATCGGATCGCTTTTCCCACTTTATCCTTGCCATTCTTGCTGTGGTGGCCGGTGCCGGTGATGGCGTAAACAGGTCGGTTGCCCTTTTCATTCTCCAAAAGGACTTTCTCCAGGTACTCTACAGCCTCTTCCGGATGGAGACCGTGGAGGTCGACATATACTTCAGACACGGCGTCTAGATTCTTATTGCGCTCCTCGTATAGTTCGCGAGCTGCCTCCCTGTGAGCCTTTCTCATCAGGTCATTCTCGCTCTGGCCGCGGAGGCTGAGAGCCTTGGCAGCCCGCGCATCGTTGCGGTTCCATGCTTGTGCAGCGCTGGCAGTTCTCGTTAGAATCACATAGCCTGATGAAAATTGGTGATTAAAGACATACCTTTGTAAAAACTTGTTCCTCAGGCCGCCATGTTTGATAGCCTCCTGGCGGGCCTTGAGATATGCTTTGTTGGCCCGTTCTCCAGTTTCAAGCCAGGGAACATGCTTTGGGCTGGGTATCGCCAGAGCTGCAGCGCTATGTTCGCCATCTCTGCCAATGACGCCGTTACCGTTGCTAATAGGTTTGCGCACTTCGAGTCTGGGAGATGCAGGAGGATTCATCTTGACAATGTCGGCCAAAGAGCTGGGGGTACCATTCTCCTTGTGGCCATGACCACCACGTTTGCCATGATGCTTCTTTCCCTGCTTTGCGATAGCCGCGCCAAGGGAAGGGAAAGCCTCGTTATCATCGAGGGCGGGAGCAGCTATGTAGTTTTCTTTTAGCTGATGTCGGCTTCCGGGTCGTGATCTAGGGCGTGGGCTCTCGGCCCGCAGGGATCGCATCCCCGGCGATGAAGCATAATTGGGGCTACCTGAATAGCCTCCATGATGATCTGAATCGCCATTTAAAGAGGGAAACGAATTCATATCCTGGAGCATCAAGCTACTATGACTCCTAGTAGGAGTATTGGAGCCGCTTTCCAGAGACATTTTGCTTACGAGCTTGGACGGGTCATGCGAGAAGATGCATGTCTCGCCGGCCAAGCAGTTACCCATGACCCAATATCTTAAGTCGAAGATATTAGCAGGTTATACCTTGGTGATAGAATGCCACACTGGGATTACTTGACAGACTTACTTGCATAGGTGGTTGCTCAGATCATGGCTGAACCGGCAGTCTGCGCGCAGACACTGTCCAGTAGACATGTAAAATTTGCAAATAACACCTGCCTTTTGGTTTACTGGGGTAGATGGACGACCCTCTGCAGATATAGATTTGCCAATGAGGACATTTTTGGGCTCATCGAGCCGGACGCCTCCGTCTTGCTGAATCTCCATCATGGACGTAATAGTAGCGCTCAAATCGTAGTTGTGTGTCGCAAGAGCAGATTCTATCTCTTCGTCTGTCCTTGTGTGTCCCAGGATTGACCTGAGCATGTCGTAAGGAGACATGTCGATTTGCTGCGAGGACATTGACGAAAACTCTGGAGCGGCGGCGTTGAGGCTCTTGGTGGTGCCCACAGACGAGGAGAGGCTGATGGTATCATCATTGACGAGCCAGTCGACATTCTCGATCTGGTACTCTCCAAGGATCTCAGTGGCGGGGGTGGGGTCGCTGGCGAATTCATATGCATTGAGATTTGGACTATGGGGAATCACAGGGGTCGCAAAGGCCAGGCGAGGCGAGGCTCGTGGCGAGCCGAAGGGAGAGGCTGTGACCGATTTGGTCCTGCCAAAGGTGGCAGGGATATACCCTGGCGGCGCGAGAGGACTGACGGCCAGGCGAGGCGAGCCTGATAACGGCGTTCCGCCTCTCCACGAAGCTGGCGATGGTCGTCGCAGGATGGTCTGACGGATGGGAGGCGGTGACGTGGAGGTGCCTCCGCATTCTCGCCATCTCCACATGACATCGAGGATGGCATTCTCCAGGGACGAGCCAACCATGTTGGTCTCCTTTTTGAAGAGCTCTTCTATTTTATCGGTTTTGTCCTCATCTTCGAGCGCGGGGTCCTGCAAGATGGGCAGGCACATCTCGTAGTGCTCGTCTAACACCATGATTGCGGGTGGTCGGGTCTGATAACGCAGACCGATGCAGATATTAAGGCGAGAAGAGCAAGTTTGGCGCGTGGTATATTCCACCGAAATCGGGGTCAAGGCAAGACTAGGAGAGTCAACCGCTTGCGCTTGGATCTATTGCAGTATTGGTAGTTTATAAAGTGTCGGATCGTTGTAAGACGGTAGCCGAAGCAGAGAAGAGAGGTGGATAGTTTGAGCTTTGAAAGCTGTGGTAGATCGATAGAAGAGAGAGAAGCAACAAAGGCAAACGGTAATAGAGAACAAAGCACAAGCGCCTAAGTAAATTCGTGCCGTTAGTTTGCGTTTGGCAAAAGCTCCCACGAAGCTGTCCAGCTATCTATACTTCAAGCGAGGGGGGCAGCCACAGCCTGGTGCCACACGCACTTACAGTTTGGGAAGCTATGGACAAGACAGCAATGACGACAAGAACTCAAACGATATCGTGGACGGGCAGCAAAGACGGAACGAAGAAGAACCGGACAAGGAAAGACGAGAACCCAGGAGCGCGCGGTGGACGACGGTGAAGAAAGGGCGGAGAGGAGGCAGACGGCGAAAGCTTACATTGCGCCGCAAACCCCGCCAGCTGTCCGTACAGTAGAAGGGAAGAGAAGTGCCGATATCAGTATTTCAGAGGTGCGCCGCACTCGCTCTGTCGATGGGCGAAGAGTGTCTTTGAAAGAAAGCTGCCCTCCTCCAGAAGGCCCTGCACCGGTGTAGGCAGAGATGCGAAGTCGAAGGGAAAGAGGCGGCTCTGATGCTGGGACGAGACTCGCGACAGGTCGTGGTGGAGGCAAAATAGCCCCTGCGGCGGCCCAGTAATAAACCCCTAATGGCTGCCCGGCCTTTTGGGCACCTGGAGGCGGAGGGGAAGTGGACGGTACCTGGCCGGGATGCGGCGCTGCAGGCAGGAGGGGAGGTACCGCGTCCGGTTGGGCGACAAACTCCAGAGCGCCGCAAATGGCGTGCTTACTTGCCTGTGCTTGCCCGCTGTTATAGGCGTTGCCTTGCTAACATGCAGTGTATTGATTGTTTGAGCCTCCTCTGTCACCCTGTCTCTCCCTCTATTTCTCTATTCCTCTCTACCTCGCTCGGATCGTAAGGGGGTTGTTAATTGATTGGCGCCCGTGCTACGAGGCAGTCTAGAACTAACTGACTAGCAGCCAACGGGAGGCATAGGAGGAGCTGTGCTGAGACGGGCGCTAGCGATCCATCCTCTTTGTAGCGGGCAGAGCTCCTTAGCAGCGCACTTCAGTGCTTCTAGTGCCCGAGTCCAGCTTCCTCTCCGGGCTGTTGCTACTGCTCCTGCTGCTGCTGCTGCTGCTATAACTTGCTCGGCGGTGACGTGGTCAGCGAGTGGGCTCTTGCTCTGAACGAGCGACGCATATAATCACTACATGTACACGTTCCTTGCTGCTTGGGCGAGTGTGATTATCGACAGCAGTGTACAAGTATGTTGCCTTGCAGCCATCAGGATTGCATCTACAATCTACCTAATCAGCGACAGGGAGCGTTTGTTTGGCACACCATCTCCCCATTCGGGTTACATCTTGCTGCATGCTAGTGCCAACGTGGGCTTCACCTCAACAACTTTGCCCCTTGGACGCTGTGTCTGGAACCCTCCGAACAGATGCAACACTGCTGTGCCGATCCTTACACACAGCTTCACATCTGGATCAAGCCGAGCTGGTAATGAATCCTGCAGCATGAGCCATAATGAGGTGCGGCAGGGTTAGACATGGTATAAAAGGCATCCAGGTATTCCAGCCCAAGTGTGCTACTCTAGGTCTCTACTGAGGTTGTCTTTCTGCTAAAACTACTGCCAACTCCGGTATCTTACCCCAGCATCTTACCCCAGTAGTAGTGTTTAGTATTCACATTCGTTCTTCAAAGGGCAGTCTAAATCCTATTCCCAGCACCGCTTTACAAGAAAAGTAGAGCGGAGGCACAAGGGTGTCGGGCATTGGTTCCATGAACGTCTTTTCCATGTCACCATCGTGCAGTTAGCGATTACTTGACTCGTTGAAGCAACTTACAAGTGTCCGTATCCAGCAGCTTATCGTGAGTGCGATGTGTCGCTGCTTACAAACAATCGCAATCGAAAAGTAGGGGGGATTCCCAGATGAAAAACCGTCCCGCAGCAGCCCCGCAAAGGACACGCTTTTTGCTGCATACCCCATACCAGTCTGTCACCTGCTAAGCTATTCGTGTATAGGTACACTGGCTGCATAGGAACTCCGTAGTATGTTAACCGTCCACATCAAGTTATATGCGTAAATCGTAAAGGAGTTATTTCTCTTCTGTTATACATGTGCCGAAATCCGTCAAGGTATCTCATCATCATCACCGCCAAAGCCAAAACTGAACCCCTCTGCTTGCTCTTCATCTCGGCCTACTGCAGCATCCCATTTCCTCTTCTTGCCACTCTTCTTATCAGCTAGTTCAAGTGCCCTCTCCAAGATATCTGGATACTCCTTTTGGAGCCTCTCTGTAAAAAGTCCAAAGGGATCTTCCACGTCTCGGGAAAAGCCAGACACTTGGTCGGGCTTATCTCTCAAGAACGATAGCACTTCAGAGACGAGGTTGAGACCAGGGGACTGAGGCACAAAGTTTTGTGTCAGTGCAATGCCCTTTTCAATGTTCACGACCAGGTGCCACCATCCACTGGGGACGTGGAGAATCTCCCCAGCATTGCAGATGCCCTCATGGCATTCAGGCATCTGCCTGGCCTCCTTGTGAAACGTGAGAAGCCACTCGGCAATGCTGAGTGGGCTGGTCACCTCGCTGCTATCCTCAGAGACATAAACACCAGGGACTTCAGCTGTTGGAGGAAACATGATCCAGTACTTGGCCCCCTGTATCACGGCGTTCCAGGCGCTTGTGCCATTGGGATCCTTGTGAAAAGTAGAGCCGCTGCGTTCAGGCCCTATGATCAGCCATCTATGAGCTGGTCGCTCGTTTCCCAGAACCTCAAAGAGATCCGGTCCAAAGCAATCGGGCCGCCAATACGCGGCACCTTCTGAGTGTCCTATTACGAGCCCCATCTTTTCCGCAAACTTTCGGTCAAATAGGTACAACGGGCTCTCGTCCATGTTCCTATTCATATAATCATAATATTGAGAAAATGTCCAGTCAACTGCTTCAGCACGAAACTCGGCTTCAGCGTACTTCTTAAGCAGCGAATCGATGGACCACTGGGAGTAGACAGGCCACTCTTGTATGCACCTTGTTAAGACAAAGGGCTGCTCGGTCCATTTCTCGGAATATTCTTCGTATGTGAGATTCTCAAACCGGCGAATTTCATTTGCCTTTGGTATCTTTGTGACAAAGTTTGCTAGATCGATATTGCCGCAGGCAAAAGGTCGATGCAGAACATCAGAGAAGACATTGCTGCAGTCAACTTTGGCTTCATCTTCATTAGGAATCCCAATGACCGTCGACCTCCATGAGCCCCGCCAGCTTATAGATGGACTGCTATTTGACTGAGATCTGAAGCATGATGTAGGTCAGCCCATGTCACACATGCTTGATGCTGTCGATCGGATACAAAGTATTGCTGAACAGATGTATACTGCATTCATATGCACTATTTGGCACAAAGTCTTTACAAGTTTCCCACTACAGGCAAGGAAAAGAGAGTTCATCGCTTCCCTACAGCATGCCTCAGCCAGCCACTTGGGTACATACCACCAGGAAGCGGCCATGTAGTTGCATGCTTCATGCAGGGATATGCAGGGGCTCATCTCCCCATATGCGTACTCGAATGTGTAAATCTTGGGAGAGAAAAACAAGGCATTCATCAGACTTACCGGAGATACAGGGCCTTCCATAGCTCCTCAGAGTGGCAGAAAGCATATAGGAATTTGCACGTGGATCCGAGATTCAGCAAGGATTGTTTGTCGAAGCCCTCAAGAACTAGAGCAAGGATTTCGTCAGGCAAACACGCCCATGAGCCGATGCTCCTGCGGGCGTTTGGCCCCTTGGCGAGATACTGATTGCCCAGGGGTTTGACACCGAGAGGGTGAGTTGGTATTGAGTCAGAGTGGCTGACACTTGTTGAGTCACCGAGATGGTGACTCTTCTGTGAAACGGCAGAAGGCATGATTTTGATGCTATTCGCGTCGACTCATCATCCGCTAAGATCTGAGGAGGATTTAGGTGGTTTGAGAATATGGACTTTAGGCAAGTTCCGAGGCTGCGGAATCAAGGTCTGAGTTTACCTAGGCCGTGTAAGAGAAAGCGAAAATATACTGTCTGGGTGATGGCAAAAGTAAAGTCATATGCAGAATTTTTTGGCTGTTGCTAGCAGCTAACCAGGGTAAGACATGGCTCGTATGGTTTTGACGAAGTTAGACATTGTTAGTGACATTATTCTTTTTTTTTCTCCCTTCGCCTCTGCCTAATGACCGTTGACTGTGTTAGATGATAGGCGCTGCTCCGTAAAATGGGGCGAAGCGTCCTGCGAGCGGTGCGACAATCCGCCACAATGTGCTGCTGGCAGCGCTAAGGACGCTGGGCTCTAGGCTGCATACAATGCTCCAGAGGAAAAAAAAAAAAATTCCACTGGCTTGAGGTACCCTAACCGTGTGCCCCACCACGCAAACCTACACTGATTGGCCACAAGCGGCTGGGAGAGAAAAAAAAAAGCAAGTCCACATCGCCCCTCAGTTCACTTTTTTTCTCTCTCCTCAACCTTCTCAAGGCATACAAATATATCATCACGGTTTTTTTTCCTAGGTTCCTTTTGTTCTCGTACTTATCGAGAACTTGAATCTAGACGACTACTTTTCAGTTAATCACACTCGCAGCCTTCTCTCGACAGAAGACTGCCCTTTTTGCTATCCCCCCGCCCACCTTTTTTTTATAATTTCTAGGTCGAGCTGCGCTTGATCTAGATTCTTTTCTTCTTCACCAACCGCAATCATGGCTGACAAGGGACTCGAGGATGTCCCCGAGGGTGAGTCCAACTGCCATATCTGCGCCGTATCTGGCTGCTGAGCGCTGTATCTGCAACTTCATGAGGATTTTGCTTGTGCGCGCGAGGCGGTCGCGACATTTTGACCCCACGATAGCCCAAATCTGGGCCTCCTTTTCTTACTGCCCCGCTCTGATTCTTCAGTTTGCTGACTGTGGTTGCGTTACAGGACAGATCGAGTCCAACTACGATGAGACTGTCGACTCTTTCGACGACATGAACCTCAAGTCTGAGCTCCTCCGTGGTGGTGAGTGCTGTCCCTCTTCCACGCCTTCAACGAAGCGATCCAACCACAAAGAAAAAGGGGGAAAGACGAATGTCTAACAACGACCAGTTTACGCCTACGGTTTTGAGCGTCCCTCTGCTATCCAGCAGCGTGCTATTATGCCTGTTATCAAGGGCCACGACGTCATTGCTCAGGCCCAGTCTGGTACTGGCAAGACCGCTACTTTCTCCATCTCCGTTCTCCAGAAGATCGACCCTGCTGTCAAGCAGTGCCAGGCCCTGATTCTCGCCCCTACCCGTGAGCTGGCCCAGCAGATCCAGAAGGTCGTTGTCGCTATCGGCGACTTCATGAACGTTGAGTGCCACGCCTGCATTGGTGGTACCAGCGTCCGTGATGACATGAAGGCCCTCCAGGACGGCCCTCAGGTCGTTGTCGGTACCCCCGGCCGTGTCCACGACATGATCCAGCGTCGTTTCCTCAAGACCGACGCCATGAAGATGTTCGTCCTCGACGAGGCCGATGAGATGCTTTCTGTAAGGAAACTTCATACACCATAATTCCGCCATTTTATGCCATAGCCCAGCCTCACTAACATCCGTTCTCCTTATTAGCGTGGTTTCACCGACCAAATCTACGACATCTTCCAGCTCCTTCCCCAGTCCACCCAGGTTGTCCTGCTCTCCGCCACCATGCCCCAGGACGTCCTTGAGGTCACCACCCGATTCATGCGTGACCCCGTTCGTATCCTTGTCAAGAAGGACGAACTTACCCTGGAAGGTATTAAGCAGTTCTACATTGCTGTTGAGAAGGAGGAGTGGAAGCTCGACACCCTGTCCGATCTCTACGAGACCGTCACCATCACCCAGGCCGTTATCTTCTGCAACACCCGCAGAAAGGTCGACTGGCTGACTGACAAGCTGACCGCCCGTGACTTCACCGTCTCTGCCATGCACGGTGACATGGACCAGGCTCAGCGTGACCTGATCATGAAGGAGTTCCGATCCGGATCTTCTCGTGTCCTGATCGCCACTGACCTTCTGGCCCGTGGTATCGATGTCCAGCAGGTTTCCCTGGTCATCAACTACGATCTCCCCGCTAACCGGGAGAACTACATCCACCGTATCGGTCGTGGTGGTCGTTTCGGCCGAAAGGGTGTTGCCATCAACTTCGTCACTGCTGACGACGTCCGCATGATGCGTGAGATTGAACAATTCTACAGCACCCAGATCGAGGAAATGCCCATGAACGTTGCCGACCTGATCTAAGCAATATTTTCCCATCATATCCAAGTTTTTTCACCCGCTTCGGGCTACCCTTTTTGGTACTGAGTAGCCCTGTTTATGGTAGTTAAGGCATTCGTGGGAGGGAAATCGTTCCAAAAGGTGTTTTTTTTTCTTTGAACCTAGCTGCTGATAGATTCACATTTCTAGAGGGAGCCATCCGAGACGGCATTTGAAAAGCCGGTTCTCAAAAGGGGGAGGTGACTGGCAAGGGAAAAAAAACGGAGAGGCAGTATTGGCTGCGTGACGAAGGCTCAGGAAGTCCTTTGCACCTTAATGACATGAAGGTGCGGCGGGCAACCAAAAGTAATGCAATGATTCTTTCTATATTTCACATCTTGTTCTCGTCGCCTCTTTGTGTGTCCGTATCTAGGAGTCACTGTCATGATGATGTATGGATTTTTCAAAAATAAGACTTCAACTTCACATGGTGTGCCGTATAAGCGTAGTAAACGGGGCATGTAAACATCGATTTCTTTCACTTGTAGCTGCATTTAAGCAACCGGATGCAAGCTATTCCTATGAGGCCCCTTCTTCCTCACACCCCATTCGTCTGCCCTTCTTCTAACACCAGATGTATGAGTCTAGTAGATCTCTAAGAAGGCACTGACACAGGCCTATTTTATAACGACAAGTGTAGCACAAGATAATCACGATTACACATCAGACAGGCGAGATAAGTGATCACTCTGCATGTGACTAGTCTACAAGACAGCACGAGAAAGATAATGAGAGACTATGCATCAGGATGTACAATATAGGTTTGTATATATATTTGTATATATATGTCCAGTATAGATGGCTATCATCGAACCCAGTTCCGACAAAACTATCAAAAAATTCCGCTCAATTTGCCTGCCAGCCTCTTTCCAAAAGAGAATAAATAGTACAATAAAATCAACGCCCCAAGTGGTATATGTGTGTGGTAAAATTAAGTACACTCTGATTCCTTGAAACCCCCAGAAATAAATAAAGAAACAAAATCCATGTCTTCAACTCATTCTTGACAAAGAAGGAAGAAATCATCTTGCTTGGAGCCTATTTTTTTGGCCTGCATCATCAAAAAAAGGGAAGAACAAAAGAAAGTAGAAGAAGTAGAAGAGGGGAAAAAAAAAACTGATATAGTCATCACAATTTTGGAGATTTTTTTGTTTTTGGCCTTTTGTTATTTTGGAAGCCATCACCTTACATCGCCTGTCCGTATGATGCGGGACCTGCAGTGTATGCGCCAGGGATGGGCACGGCGTCATATGTTGGCTCGTGTGCAGCAACAGGACCGTGCTCTTGAACGTTTTCTGATGGAGGTGGTGCCTGAGAAGACACGCCAAATGGCAACGGCGGTGCTGCCTGTGTCAGAGGGCTCTGAGTCTTGGGCGTAGCCGAAGGAGCCTTGTTGGGGGGAGCCTGCAGCTTGAACGCAGCTGGAGTTGGTGTAAACACCGACGGAGGCTCGGCGATGACCTGAACACTAGGGGTAAAGGTGCTCTTCTCGTTGATGCTGGAAAGGCTGCCAAAGTTGGCCGGGGCGTGGCGAGGCGACAAGGCGTACTGGCTCAGGGCTGGCGACTTGGGCGGGAACATGGCCGGGGTCATGGGAGCGCCTGCAAAGCTTGGAGAGCGAGGGAAGCCAGGCGTGTTGGGGGCGGACTGTGAGCGAAGCTGGGCGAGATAGAGGTCGGAGCGAGCGCGGTCTCGGACGTCCATGGACTTGTGCAGGCGGCGCTTGGAGTAGTATCGGTAGAAGACGATGCTGTAGAGCAGGATGCTGATGACCTCGACGACGACCTCGATGATGATGCAGATGAGGGACCAGTTCTGGAGGCGGCAGACCAAGCTGTACTTGACCTTGTCGGAGAAGACGACGGATCGGGTGTTTTGGACGCAGGACCATCCCCACATGTCCTTGTTGTTGCCGTTGTTCTTGGAGTTGGAGAAGACGGCGGCGGCGAGGACCCAGAGAATCAAGCTGACGATGAACTATCATTCGCATTAGCTTATAGTCATAGACAAAGCCAAGGAAATCTTGATAACTTACCCATCCGATAGCAAACATGGTGTAGTACGTGCCGACCTTTTCAGCGCGGCGATGTCCTCCGCGGCAGTAGGCGATAAAGACGGCGACGGAGATTGCAAGAGAGAGACAGGCCATGGCAAGGACGAGCTTCTGTGCCCAGGGATCGGTTCCGTTGGCCCAAGAAGGCATTGCGCTCTGCGAGGGGAGGTGCTTAGTGGCGTTGAAGATGGCGAATGACGAGGAGAGCATGGCGAGGATAATGAGAGAGCAGCTGAAGTGGACGCTTCGAAGGGCGAATTTGGCCATGCGAACGCGGACCTTGTGTTTCTGTGTAGAGGTTAGTTGGTTGACATATTCCTCCAAAGAGTAGAAAAGAAAGAAGGCTTACTATATCCCTAGCCTGCTCCTTTTCCGTCTCGAGCTCGCGCTTCTCCAGGATGGCCTCCTCGCGGAATGTAGGGCTCAGGATGTGCATCGTCCTGGCTGGCGTGCCGGGCACCTTCATGGCGCTCTTGAGGGGAGACTTTGGCGCCATGGGAATCGATTCCCGGTTGGAGTTGCTGCCAATGTAGCCAAAGCCGACATCGCTGGGCTGAGACTCTGAGGCTTGAGGGTTGACGGGGTCGGCAAAGGGCGAGATCTTGTCATCGTCGACGGGAGAGTGGACGGAGGTGGCTTCGGCGAAGCGAGGCGTCCGCGGGACCTTGAGCGAGCTCTCTGATGATGAGCTTGAAGAAGTCCCTGTGCGTTGGTGTGTGAGGTTGAGGGCGGCGGGCCGCTTCTTCTCATTGAAGTTGAAGCCTGTAGGCTCTGGCGTGTTAATGACTGCCGTCTCTTTGTCTTGCGCTGCTACTGCCACGTCTTGTTGCGGCATCGTCTCCTGCGTCAGTGAGGACGGACCTTTGCTGTCCATGTTGGACACTGTGAAGAGCTATAGCTCTGGATATTTTATTTTATTTTATTTGCTTGGGTTGTGAGGGTGAAGAGGGAGGAGTAATTATGTGCGGGCTTGGTCGTGTAAGTTGAACTTTCTTCGAGCCAGTCGATAGCAGTAGGCCTCGTAATGGAAAAAATCCACGCAGCGATATAGCGTGTAAAAGCAAAGCAGACAATATCGAAAATTGAGGAAAAAAAGAAAGACGAGATACAGTAATCACTGTTGAATAGTGTGACGAGACCAGCTATCGAAAAACAAGAGAAGGAGAAGAAACTCCAGAAGCGCTATGTGGAAGTGGGAGCGCAAGAGTTTTGAGCAGGACCGGCGGCAAGGCAAGAGAAGAGATGCAAGACGCTCATTCGACCAGCTCGAGGCGCCGGAGCCAAAAGAAGGAAAATTCAATAGCGAGATGGAGACCTGTTGAAGCGAATCTGTCTCCCGCTGGGATTGGAGCAGAGGAGGGGCGTCGATTTAGCAGACGACGAATCCTATACTGACGGGCGGCTGTCTTTCGTTCGTATATACGGTACTGCGTGCATATACTATGGGAGGGAATCAATGCTAAATGTAAATGGGCATTGGAGATGGGACGAAGGAAAGGGCCATCTGATAGGCGATTGGAGGAGGGTGTGATGTGCCCAGAGGGTGGGTGTATGCGGCTAGCCGCCGGGCGACAAGAGAAAATAACGACGCCGGGCAAGCTGAGGTGCAGATTGGCTCAATCTGGACGGGGGATTGCAGATTGGCGCTTCAATGCGGGTCTGCTGTGGGAGCCCTTGTCGCGCAGCAGATTGGCGACTAAGTGCACTGAAGGCCGTTGTCTGTTATTCTTATTGTGTAGAGAATAGATAGAGACAGAAACAGAGAGTTGAGTTGAGTTGAGAGTCAGACTTGAATGAGGGGAAGGGAAACCAACAACCAGACAGCAGAGGCGAGTCGGCAAATCTACCCACACGAGCAAGGCTCTGACATCCGGGTGCACTATTATCTCACTCAGGACCTTAAACCGGAGGGCGCTCGCTCAACCAACAGCACGCATCGTTCACCAGCTCTTTAGTCGCCTCTGCCCTTGCGAGAGAGCGGGCGCGGGCCCCGGAAGTGGCTGGTGGTTGGACGTCAAAAGCGGCAGCACAATAGCCACGACTTGGACTAACAAGCCGGCAACCCTTGCTAGATCGCTTTGTTCGCTTCATTCGCATTCCCATCATCATCTTATCGTGTACTCGCATCGCTCTTCCTAGCTTCCGGTGATTTCTTCGCTTCCACGGCCGCCCAAATGCCAAAACCAAAAACAAAAAAAGAATTTACACGCCCAGATGGAGTCTCTCCGTCCACTTCCTCCGCCCTTCAACTTGCCTTGCCGCCGGGCCTGTTCGATATCTCGAATGGCGACGGCAAACCGCGCGCTCTGATTGGCCCCGCGCAAGGCACTCCCGGCGGGCCTTTTTAGGGCCCTGCTTGGACCGGGGGGGCTGTCTTGTGGCTGCTGCATTTATTGCCCTGCAGCCAATCAGCGCGCGAAGTGCTGTGATGGGTGGCAAGCCACCGCAGCTGGTCGGCGGCAATGAGCTCTTTGGGATTCGTCCCTGCTTTGCCATGCGAAGAAAAGGTCCCGCCCTTGGTTTTGCCAGGAATGGTGAGTGAGTTGAGTTGAGGTTTGCTGCCGTCTGCTGTGTAAAGTACGAGTACGAGAAACAAGAGACTTTGTCAACTGTTGCTATTTTAAAACACACACAACCTTCCATGCACTTCAGCAGCCGCGCGCCGAAGCCATCACAACCACAGGCCATACACCCTCCCGGCACTGCGTCTTTTTCTTCCTGCCGAGATGATCATCAGTCGATGCCTTTCATCGTCCTTGCTTGTATTTTCTCTTTTCTTTCTCTTTGGCCCCGATTAACCCCCGCAAACTTCCACGGCTTCTTCTGAACCAAAATCGTTCAGCACTAACACATGCCGTGGCGTTAAGGAACCCCAGCAAGCCCGTCAGCAGACGCTGACCTTTTTTTTTTCTTGCTTCTTCTCCGCTAACACCTTTTTCGTGCGCATTTCCGGGGTTGCGGTTATGCTATTCGGGGCGGTATAACGTGTTTGTCCGCGCTGCCGTGTTTTGTCATTGAGTGCATATGCTAGCTCAGTTTATTAATCTTTGGAATCTCTCTGTGTGAATGCGTAAGCTGCTTGATATACGAACGTCTACTTTGTGCCTAAGGTAGGTAGGTAGGCTATTAGGTTGTATAGAAAGGTTGCATCTGTTGGTGATGGGTGCTGCTCGAAATATATCAAAAGTGGATCGCGTAAATCCATGAACCGGCTAATTCATGTTCATGTTCATGTTCATGCTCATGTTTCTTTTCACGAATACCCACGCTCGCTACACTTGACAGCGGCATCTACGCTGCGAAACGCTGCGACACGCATTCACAGAGGCTTCCCGCCAAGCACAAGGCTATCAACGAACCAGTGGAATACCTCTGCCTTGGTGTGCCATCCTTGTCATCATCGATATGCACTCCCCATGCACTGCGTCCCTGCGGCCGTTACCACAAAGTAGACAGACGCCCTAGACGGTAGTGCCAGGAACATGTTCTACCTTAAAATCCTTTAGCCGTCTAGTATCTCTGTTGGGGGCCAAGTCGTCGCCTTCTGCCACTCCACCCACCGGGAATATCACACACTGCAGTTTATTACTAGTAGCAGCAGCAAGCACGTCATGTGCTGGGCACTGCATCGCAACCGTGGGGTACATCGGGCAATTAGAGGATGGACAAGAAGGAACTCATCCGTCGTGTTATGCTGGCAACAGCTTTAAAGCCATTTCAGGATGCAGTCACATAGTCCGTAACCGTGACTGGAAGGCAATACTTCTGCAGGTCGGCATTGATTTGTCCCGGCCAGCCGGTAGACCAGGTTGTCGTGTTTTAGTCTCCGACATCTCCTTGATGATATTGTTTGGAAGTGTAAGCAAAGTGTCAACAAGTGGCCTTGGAGTTTACGAGTGTTATGACAGCAGCTAGTTATTGCTTGCTCAAATAGGATCAGAGTGCGACATAAGCATACTCGGTTCATGAAACTATTTGAGAGCTTATGCGATCATCAAAAGCCATGCACATCATATGATGCTTCTCAGATAAAAATCGAGCCAACAATTGCCAATAATGCCCGTCTCACAATAGCAAGTTTTCCAAGCAGTATCCAGCGGCGTGTTGTGATGTACATATCACCAAGGCCAAGTCTCGAATGATCAATCTCCACCTAACTAGCAGCTGCGTTTAGTAAGAGCTTCTTTAGCAGCAACAAGAAAGTGGTTGTTTCAATCTCTTTAGGAATACATAGCAGCAAAATGACGCTCTGCCAGCACAATTGCTATATCTGAAGAGTCGCTATCCGTACGCCCAATATTTCTGCTAGATCTGGACCTGTATACCACTCTGTGTCAACTCTTCGCCGTTCGTTTACGGGTTTGCTTTGATATCTACGAATTCTCCATTGTCATGTTTCAAGTCATAAAACTACATTGATATATACAGGATAGCTATTTCTTACATGCATTTCCTTATCATACATATACAGAGCGCTCACATTGATCGCTAGGGGAAAAGCTCCTAGCCATCATCATAATGCTGATAGCGCATAGCGATGCATAACCATAAAACTCCATGGCCAAGCTTTTTTGAACACCATTTCCAATTTTGAACCTAAAATACAATTTTCCATCTGCGTTAACATATTCTTTAATCTTCTAAGAGTATAATGTCGAGTGGCCTTTCTCATGTCTTGCCCATTGATGCTAACACTCTTCAATGCTCGAGGGGCTTACCGAATCTACACCTGTGGAGGGGCAATAATCCTTATCAGTCTATCAGGCCAAATTGGGTTTAGAGTAAGAGTCATCCAGCTGCACACGATGAATTTTGACCACTCGACAGCGAAATGGGTGCTTGTGCAAACCTCCGCAATTTTATAGTGACAAAAACCTGGTAGGCTTTTGCCATTCTCTCCACATCCTCGATAATCATCCTGTGTTTTCTTTCCTCCAGTCATCCATTTAGAGCCCTATTAGCTCCCGGACTGCCCGAAAGAGAATAATTCCTATACACTCTGAAGAACCACCCCCCGAGTCCTTACGAATTGTCAGAGACTGAGACTGCCCCGCCTAGCCACCATGTCTGACGATCCGAAATACGACGATATCCAGTCCGACTCTGACTCTGGAGAGTCCATCGACGCCCAGGACAACGCCGTCGAAGAAAAGGCCCTCAAGCCCGCCCTCAAGAAGTCCAACCCCGTCATCCCCGACAAGACGGTCGCAAAGCCCCCGTTGCCCCCACAGACCGATCCCAAGGATCTCGATGTTTCCATCCTGACGCCTCTCACCCCCGAGATTATCGCCCGACAGGCCACTATCAACATTGGTACCATTGGTCATGTCGCTCACGGAAAGTCCACTGTCGTCAAGGCCATTTCCGGCGTCCAGACAGTTCGATTCAAGAACGAGCTGATCCGTAACATCACCATCAAGCTGGGTTACGCCAACGCCAAGATCTACCAGTGCGATAACGCCGCATGCCCTCGTCCTGGTTGCTACCGAAGCTACGGCAGTGAGAAGGAGGTTGACCCTCCTTGCGAGAGAGATGGCTGCGGTGGCACATACCGTCTGCTGCGACATGTTTCGTACGTCTGCCGTCCTCTCCTTTCTTCCCTATCCCCAGAGACGTAGAATTGCTATATGAGAGCTGTATTATTGATACTTGATTTTCCAGATTTGTCGACTGCCCTGGTCACGATATTCTCATGAGCACCATGTTGTCAGGCGCCGCTGTCATGGACGCCGCCCTTCTGCTGATCGCAGGTAACGAATCCTGCCCTCAGCCTCAGACATCAGAGCATTTGGCCGCCATCGAGATCATGAAGCTCGAGAACATCATCATTCTGCAGAACAAGGTCGACCTGATGAGAGAAGAAATCACTCAACAGCACTTTGACTCGATCCTCAAGTTCATCCGTGGAACTGTTGCTGAAAAGTCTCCCGTCATCCCCATCTCTGCCCAGCTCAAGGTCAACGTCGATGCCGTCCTCGATGCCATTGTCAACACCATCCCTGTTCCCGTCAGAGATCTCTCCCTTTCACCACACATGATCATCATTCGTTCCTTCGACGTCAACAAGCCCGGTGCTGAGATTGACGACCTCAAGGGTGGTGTTGCCGGTGGCAGTATCCTGCACGGTGTTCTGAAGCTGGGCGATGAGATTGAGATTCGCCCTGGTATTGTTTCCCGCGACAACAGCGGCGCTCTCAAGTGTACGCCTCTCTTCAGCAGAGTCATCTCTCTCAACTCAGAAGGCAACGACCTCAAGTATGCTGTTCCCGGTGGTCTGATTGGTGTCGGTACCCAGATCGATCCCACCCTTTGCCGTGCCGATCGTCTGGTCGGTTTCGTCCTAGGTCTCAAGGGCAAGCTCCCCGATATCTACAGCGAAATCGAAATCAACTTCTACCTCCTCCGACGCCTGCTCGGTGTCAAGACTGCCGATGGCAAGCAGGCCAAGGTCGCCAAGCTGGCCAAGAACGAGGTCATCATGGTCAACATTGGTTCCACATCCACCGGTGCCAAGGTTGCTGCCATCAAGAACGATGCTGCCAAGCTGATCCTGACCAGCCCCGTCTGCACGGATATTGGCGAGAAGGTTGCCCTCAGCAGACGTATCGACAAGCACTGGCGTCTTATTGGATGGGCTACAATTGCTGCGTAAGTTTTTCCCTCTCACCCTCTTTCAACGTTATATTCTTTGTTGTACTTTGAGAATTTAAAGCTAACGGAATCTCTATAGTGGTGTTACTCTGGAGCCTAGCTCTGCATAAGCAAAGAGCTAGAAAAGAGTAAACTTGTCTATGAAGCGATGTGTTATTATGGATTTTGGGTGAGAAGCGAAAAAAAGAAACCAATGCTTCGGGTAGTAGTATATCAGCAGAATCTTTGGCCTAATCAGCAATTTTCCTGCAGCTGTGGAAACGGAGAAGATGAGGAGAGAAAAAAGGGAGACAGCGATTAGTCGGTTCCAAACGAGCCACACAGCGCAGGAATGAGAATTCGTCTTCCCAGAGGCTAGGTAGCGGCGTCAGGAAAGGTCCCTTCATTGGTGCTATGAAGCTATAGAAGGATATTTTTTTTTTCTTCCCCAGAATGATAACGGTGAAGAAAAGAAAAAGAAAAGCACAAATAGCTACAAGAGCAACTTTTGAGTTGAAGAATTGGACAATCCATAATATATAAATCATCATGCAAGTTTCTACTTTCGTACTTTACGTGCGTGTGCCACCAAGTTTTCTATAACTCCTTCAAATGCCTCCCGATCCCCAATCTTTTCATCCGTCCGTTTTGTCCAGTAATCCAGTACCTCCTTGGCCGCTCCCTGCATGGCCTCCAGCTTGGCTACATGGCCCTTTAGTTCCTCATCAGTCATGCCGCTCAACGCCTCGTCGGTCGTCTGGCAGACATGTTTTGCCACAACCAAGTCCAACTCCGGCGGGGGAGGCGGTCCTTTCCTCCTCTTAGACGCCAACGGTTTGCCATGCGAGTCCACTGACGTTGATGAGGCGTTTCCATCTCCTTGGTTTAGTCTTGTCGCCGAGCGCAAGTCACTTGACCCTCTAGGCGAGGCGGCAGGGATATTAAGCGACGGCAGCACAAGCTTCTTTTGCTTGGATGCCGGAAGGATTTCGTCCAAGTCCACGGGGACTCCGAGAGAGACGAGGAATAGACGGCGGGTTCGCGAACGGATCCAGTCGGGTGGTGCCAAGGGCGGGGGAGCAACGAGCTGAGACCACAGAGAGGCGGAGCGTGGCGTGAGGAAGATGGATGATGAGTCTTTGGATATCGGTGGGAAGGCCTGGAAGTCGAGTTCCTCGGGAGGGAAGAGATCATGTAAACACGGTTCAATTGCGGATGTGACTTCATCGGGGCTCAGCCCATCAAAGTCGGGTATCGACTATAAGGGGGTCAGTATTGAGTTAATATATGTGTGTGTTCTTTGCGGTGCACATACGAATGGTAATGAGTGTTGGGGTTGAACCGGGAGAGGTGCCGATGTCGTAGCCGTAGTAGGTTCAGCGTGTTGGAAACCATCCTCAAAGTCATCAAAGTCATCATCGTGGCCGCCTTCTTCAAAGTCATCAAAGTCATCTCCGAAATCGTCTTCTTCGCCGTCTTCCTTCTCATCTCCGAAATCATCTCCGAAATTGTCTGCTTTATCGTCTGCCTTATCGTCTGCCTTATCGTCCTCTTTCTCGTCCTCTTTCTCATCTTCTTTCTCATCTTCTTTCTCATCTTCTTTCTCATCTTCTTTGTCATCTTCTTTCTCATCTCCTTTCTCATCTCCTTTGTCATCTTCTATCTCAGCTTCTTTCTCAGCTTCTTTCTCAGCTTCTTTCTCAGCTTCTTTCTCAGCTTCTTTCTCAGCTTCTTTCTCAGCTTCTTTCTCAGCTTCTTTCTCAGCTTCTTTCTCAATTTCTTTCCCAGCTTCTTCCTCAGCTTCTTCCCCGCCTTCCTCGGCCGTCACACCATCATCGCCATCGCCACCTCCACTGCCAGTAACAGCTACTTCTGTTGGTTCGGCCAAGACCGTTGGCTGAGATGATACAGACTCTCTTCTCGAATGGGCTGCAGAAATGGCAGGCGAAAGAGGGGCATCTTGGAGAGAGTCAATAGCCTGTCTTAGGGAGTTTTCCAGCTTTAAGTGTATGCGTACCAGAAATAGCATCTTCGTTGCCGCTCCTTAACTCGCCATTAGGGCTCAGTATAATATCAGGGGTAGCGTCTGCTCTATGCTTCTCCAGCTCCTGCGGAGTGTCTTGGCCGGGATAGTCACCAATGGACTCTTCAACCATCGTTACAGGGATATCGGCTGGCTCGAAAGGAGTGGGTGGCGTTGGCTCGGTAGCATTTTCGGGAACAACGGCAATCTCGTCGGGTTCAGCATCTTGCTCTCTCTTCTCGTATGCTTGAGTGCCGGGCACTTCTCCATATGCTGGTTCGTTGTCGACCAGTTCCACTCGTGTCTTAGGGACCGGTGAGCTGACGCCGGGGCTCGTGGGCGCGGACTGTGCGTCTGTGAACTGATCCTCCGAGTCTGAAGCCTCAGCTATCCAAACATATCAGCCCGGCCTCAAGAATATTCACTTGCTGAGAGTTGAAGACCTACCAAGCTGATGGGCCCCCGGGTCCTCGACGTGGGTCTGTGGCGGGGGTTCAAGATCCCGGGAGTCCGCCATTGTGTTCTGCTGGTGCTCTATCAAGCTGAAACTATTGATTAATCCAGTAGGTGTTTTTTGACTGCAGGATCCAATTGGTCGAGGTGAATGTCGAGTGTATGGTTCGTAGCAACGAGGCTATGGTTCTATATTCGGCGTCGAGGCCAGGCACTTGAAGGCCTTCAGGACATAACGGTCCCGCGCAATGGCTCGGCGGTGTAGGAGTTACTGTATCAAGTCTAGGGGTAAAAAAAGAGAGAAAATGCCTAAAACCGCACGTAGAGGCGCCTGTGTCGTCGTCAGTGGTGGTAAGGTCAATCAGCCTCCCGATAACATGGGAGCTCTCGAGAGTGGGAGTACTATCATCACGTGGGAATGGCCATTATGCCATGCTTCAAGGGGTCGGCTGTGGCTGATTCTATGCAGCACTAAGTAGCGTGGCTGGAGATCCCAGCACAGTGGATCCCCCAGCCACACTACGGCTGCGCGTGCTGGGTCTCGATCTAAAGCTCCCAGAAAACATGACCGCGAAAAAAGCACCTGGTCAACCAGCCTTGGACCGCCTCGATCTTTTGTTTTCTTCGACATCGGCTCCGAACCATCCCAAGGCGAGCTTTCGGCAGTCCGCTACGGTTCTCAATTCCTTTCTCTCAACTTGGCCGAGCCTTGGGCTATCATGAAACTTGCTGAACCTAATTCTTCATAAGCTGCTGCCTCTCGCCTTTCGCGACCGACGATTCAGATAAAAAGAAGACAAACTCGCGCCAGTCGCCATGTTTTCAACTCCGAACTCTTCGGGTGCCGCGCCCAACAGCACGACCAGCACTGCGCCGGCCAGTGGAGGATTGTTTGGCAATGCTGCTGCTACGTCTGGAGCGCCCAGCTTTTCCTTTGGTAATGCAACAACCACTCCTGCTACCAACCCTCCAGGATCCCTCTTTGGAGGCCAGAACGCTGCTGCATCAAAGCCTGCTGGCGGTCTCTTTGGTGGAGCTGCTGCTGCTTCTTCATCTGCTACTCCAACCACTTCTGCCGGGGGCCTATTTGGAGGAGGAGCCTCGACCACACCGGCTACAGGCGGCCTGTTTGGCGGCGCGACCACTACAACAGCAGCCTCAACCACACCGGCGGCAGGTGGGCTATTTGGCAACACGAAAACAAGCACTGCAGCACCAGCCGCTGGCGGTCTGTTTGGCAATAAACCTGCATCGACTACTCCCTCGACTGGTGGCTTGTTCGGAACCAATGCCAGCCAGACGCCAAGCACTGCGACAACTCCATCTCTAGGCTTGTTTGGAAACAAACCAGCTCCTGCTGCCCAACCGACTACCCCGACCCTTGCTGCTGGAGCGACAACACCTGCCAGACCATTATTCGGACAATCGACAACGCCTGCCGGCGCACCCCCCGCAAACCCTGCCAAACCTGCGGGTAACAATCTGTTTGGAACCGCTGCCAGCACTGCTCCAGCTGCTGGCGGTTTGTTTGGAGCTGCTAAGCCTGCTGCTGCCTCGACGGCGACAACGCAACCTGCGGCCACTACATCAGGATCGGGACTGTTCGGCGGTGGAGCCCAATCAGCCACGAGTGGACTATTTGGAGCTGCTAAGCCTGCTGCTACCACTACTCCCGCTGCCAAACCGGCTGCTGGAGGACTCTTTGGCAATACCGCCGCTAGTACTGCGCAGCCTGCAGCTTCTACAGCCGCCGCAGCGCCGGCCAGTGCTGGAACGACAAATTCTCTTTTTGGAACTAAACCTGCCGCCACTACAGCCCCAGCAGCAGCAGCTGGTGGTGGCCTCTTTGGTACCGCTGCTCCTACCACAACCTCTGCAGCTTCAGCATCTACTCCGGCACCTGCTGCTGCAGGAGGTCTCTTTGGTCTGAAGCCTGCTGGCGCTGCTGCTACGACTACATCTTCAGCAGCTCCGACAACAACTGCCACAACTGGTGGCCTGTTTGGCGCCACTTCTCAAGCTCCTGCTGCGACTTCCAAGCCTGCTACCTCACTGTTCGGTACTACCACGCCTCAGCCTGCCGCTACCACCGCGGCTACCACAACGGCCGCACCAGCGGCCGGCACGACTACTGCTGCTGCCGGTGGCCTATTCGGAGCCAAGCCCGCTGGTGACAAAGATGCTGCGAAGCCCGCCGCCCAAACAACCACTACAAGCGCATTGGGCGCGTCCACCAATGGACCTCCATCTCAGATGGCCCGGCTGAAGAATAAGACGATGGAGGATATTGTCACTCGATGGGCCTCGGATCTTTCCAAATACCAAAAGGAGTTCAAGGACCAAGCCACTATCGTGTCCAACTGGGACAGAAATTTGGTGGACAATGGTGAAAAGATTCAGAAACTGTATCTGGATACATTTGAAGCGGAGCGAGCCAGCCACGAGATTGAGCGCCAACTCGCTGCTGTGGAGAGCCAACAGGAGGAGCTGGAGGCCTGGTTGAACCGATACGAGTCAGAGGTCCAGGACATGTTTTCCAAGCAGATGGGTCCTGGTGAACAGCTTGGAGGACCGGACCAGGAGCGTGAGCGCACCTATAAGCTAGCGGAGAAGCTCACACAGCAACTCGATGAGAAGTCGCGAGACCTGTCCAAGATGGTCAAGGAGATTAACGAAATTTCTGGAACACTGAGCAAGGGAGCCAAGGCTGAGGATCCAGTAAGTTTTACCATTTGCAAAATATTGACAAGACCTATATGCTAACACGATAATGCAGCTGAGCCAGATTGTTCGCGTACTGAACGGCCATCTTACTCAATTGCAATGGATTGACGCCAACGCCTCAGCTCTACAGGCCAAGGTCTCGGCCGCGCAAAAGTCGAGCAGCAACCTGGGTAGCCACTACGGTAGCGGAGAGAGCGACGTGGCGGAGAGCTTCTACAGATCTTACATGGGACGGAGGTGATGTACCTAATTACGAGGCATTGATGATTGAAATTGGAGTTTTGGGATGGCATCAGGGAAGAATGAATCTAATAAAGGTCTTTCACACGCACGACCGATTGAGGGACATGCATCTGGTGGACACAACAACATTGGAGTAGCTCTTGTTTTTTTTTATTTCCTTTATATATTCGGTTGTTTCTGTGAGGGGGAGAAGAGTCATGTAGCTGTATAGTACCTTAGACGGCAACAAGGGCAAAGAAAATACGCAAGCATATTAAGACAAACATGTAGCGCAGCTCAACCCAGGGCAGCTGTTGTTCACGGACTTTGGCTTGAACAGCTCAGCTCAGCGAATGGGCTGACATGCGTTGAGTAATTTTTTTCCTTTTTCTCTTATTAAGTTTTAATTTATCTTTTGAGGCGTTTTCCGTCCTCCTTAGTTCTGCTCGCCGCCCTGCTCCTTGGTAATCTCATCGCTAAAAAAGTAGCAATGGCTTCATTAGCGGTGCCGTCCTAACTTGAATTGAGAGGGGGTTACGAGGACTCGTGTTGCGCATACATGTGCTTGGCAAGGCGATCGAGGTGCTCTTGCTGCTCAGTGAGCTTCTTCCTGAGCTCGACGAGCTTTTCCTTCTCGCGCTGGCGGATGGCGTACTCCTCCGAGGCCCGCTCACGGCGCTGGAAGGCGTCACTGTAAAGTCGCAAAGCAGTTAGACATATGATGACTAGATAATAAAAAAAAAAAAAAATATCGCAATTGAAATACGGATTGAAGCTTTATTCTTTCACTTACCCTGAGCCGCCGGTCTTGGGAGGAGCACCAGTGTCGCCTTCGCCCATGGCTCGAGCAGTGGTGCTGAAGGCAGCGCGCATGGGACGGAAGACGGCCGTCTTGGTGAGGGTGGTGCGGAGCATCTTGATGTTTGTGAGAGAGGGAGGTGGTCGTGGAGGTGTTGTTTTGGAGAAGAAGAGATTCAAGATGTGGAGGAGGGAAGGATTGAGGTTATAAACGGGAACGGAACGGTGCCTGCAGCAGCAATTGGTTAGAGCTTTTGTCCGAGGTGCTGGCCTGAGGAGCGAATGCGCCAATGGAGCTAGTATGGAATGCTAATTGCAGCAGCAGCAGCACAGCAGAGCTTCCTTTAGGAGTGGTGTGAGGGGCTGAAAGGCGAGCGTCATCGAAGCCGCCCACTATTTCGGATTGGGGACAGCGAAAGTGGTTCGATGGAGATTGTTAGTAGTTTGGCATGTGGGGAGAAGAGAGAACTTGGCAGAATTGCGATTGGAATCGCAATTTCGTGCAGGGGGGACGAAATTGTAAAGTGTCGATTAAAATGGGAGCTTTCAAAGCTGTTATCAATTGTATGTAATACTGCTAGTACCTACCTAGGTATTAGTCTTGGAAGCATATGCGAACAATACTCGGTCTTCTACAACGACGCTATTCACAGAGTGGGCACCAGAGACAAGCTTGTGATGAGCTCACGACAAAGTTCTCTCAGAGAAAGTTTTACGTGATTAATCCATTGTCATGAATATTTAGGGAAGGCTAAATTTCAAAATCAAGCACTGTGCATCACGATATGCTCTGGTGGACTGATCGGAAGCAACGATGAATCGTGGGGCGCATGACTAAAGGCGTCGGGAGATGTTGGCGCAGATGGCCATGTGCGGGTAAACTGAATTAACTTTCGAGGGCGAGTATCTGGATATGCGCAAGACTGAATATGGTTGAAACACACCACTGCACAAGTAATCAACTAGCATGAGGAACATTGAATTGTTTGGTCGATTATCTGCGGTAGTATCCCGGGTAGGCAGAGCTTATTGAAGTATAACATGGGGAGAATGCGCCGCTAGAACAGCGCCAAGAGGGAAACATCCTTCTTGGGGTTTTCGCCTTTTATATGACAGATTGCCTAGGCTGGGCACATATACCCAAGCCTAGCAGCGCAAGGAATATCTTGGAGCGGCTGTATCCGTATCCTAAGACCCAAAGCTAGCATGCTCTGGTAATGCCTTCTTGTGCCTGATCTGGGCGATCCTATCCAACAGGGATGGCAAACTCCGACTATCTCCACTGGCTATTTCGATATTCATGAGATTTAAACGCATGCAGAACTTGATACGTACCTAGAGTTATCCTGGTCCACTCAACGCGGCCGTGTATGAGTTCATGTTAAGATTGATACATGGGTGGGGGGGAAGGTTATGTGTATACTCGATTGATAGGGCGTCCTCCTATAAGTCCGCTCTGAGTATCGCGCCCGTTGTTAGTACTTTTATACGATATTCAACAATGTGAAAGTGAACAGCTCCCTGGTATTGGGTTTTGTTTTGGCATGCTATTGCTCGTATAAGAGATGGAAAAAATGAACCAATTGTCCAGCACCCCGGCTTCGTTGTCAACCGCAGTTGTGGCTAATGCCATAAAATTACATTTATTTGACCGATTGCCTCTTTGGCCACAGCTGGGCTGCTGGATAATAACATAGAAATAAATATCTACTGAGCAAACATTTCTAGAAATACTACTGGTTAGTTACTATTACTCCGTACGTAGCCCAAATGAGGCGCATTTGAGTCTGCTATGCAATGGTTCCTCAACGAGAGACATCAGGATAATTATCGCTAAAACAAGAGCAAGAGCCGGCAGATCAGAAGATCTCGTCGTAGATCTGGGGGATGGGTAATAGGGAGTATGAGTGAAGGTAAATCAACTCATATTACCTGCTACGATCCGAACCAATGAGATTAGCTTCAGCTCAGAGCGGCCTGGAGTTGAGAAAGCAAGCTGGACGAACGTTCCGTGAAAGGAGATTGAATCTAGGATGCCTGTGCCCATGCTCTCCGAGTACCTAATCCTGTATGTATCGCGCGACAGAATCCCAAGTTCATTCTTCTTTCGGGTTCGTACCAGCTTGCCACCAAAATAAAACTAGGGAACAAGAGCCTAATGATGCACTGAATATGAGAGTCAAGTCGACTTCAAAGCCAGACATTGTCGCTGCTGTTCGCAACACTCAGCCTAGGCCGTGAAAGATATCACTTCGCATCAGTGCTGCGATTGAACGGGGGTACATGCATCGGTAATGATTAAAGAGTGAATGCGAATTGGTGACAACAACGTTGGGCACCCAGTCACTATCACAAAAAAACGTGGAAAGTGGTGGCTTTGGACCGAATCACGAGCAATCAAGGCACAGCAAACAGGGACTTACTTAGCAGGGCCAGATGGTGATGACGACGTCAAAGCCCAACGGCTGCGTCTCCAACTGCCTTGCAGCCAATTCAGACCTACGTCAACGCCACCCGCGAGGTGCATTAGCAGTTCATCTACTCGTAGGTACCCGCTGCGTCGTTAGGCCCAGCACAGGGATGTAAGGCACGATAATTGCTCTGACGTGATGGTTGGAGGGCTGGGTACCTGCAGTCTACAAATTGCCCAGCTGAGTCAGTGCGGCCAGCCGTGCTAAAGCGTGCTAGAGGCCCCGTCGCTGCAGAGCGTCTGAGCTAGCGCCAGGTATCTCCTTGTACCCGACCGTCCTGGCCCCCCCGGTGCCCTGAAAAGGGTGAGGCGCCAGGCTCCTGTACGGCACGTGAGACCAGCGCAAAAGCCGCTCCCAATGTTAAAGCCAATGCGCTGGCTGCTCGGGACCCTCATCTACAGCTCTCTCTAACCTTGCCCTTTCTTTTCCTTTCTTCTCTCAACGAAACAACAAATACCCCCTTTCTCTGAACCGCGTCCCATCGACCGTACGTATCTCCCACTCCCCGTGCATCCTGCTGAAATCGCCGTCCCTGCCCTCTTCTCCCCCCGACAGCAGCCCATATTCCTCCCAGCTGCCGCCTGGCAGCATTCCCGCAGTTCGGTATGTGAGCGCCTTATGGGATGGCGCGCGCCCCTCATCGCTTTCGTCATGGCCTGGCACCACCCCTGGCTCAGCACAGCAGCGCTTCGAGGGGCCTCAGTCGCGTTGGGACAGCCGGGCCTCTGCTTTGCGATTGTATCAGCGCTCGTCGGCCGCCTCGCCTCTGTCGATTGGAGGCCTGCGTGCCTGTCGCGGTAGCTGGCGCATTCATTGCTGCTCTCGAAACCCCCTTTGGTGGGGTTTAGGAGCGGGGGAACAAGCCTCACTTGGGGCCTTGTCGTAAAGTCAGCCCTGCGGCACTTGTTCCTGCCACGGTGCTTTTCTTGCGCAAAGATTCACGTTTCTGCCTCGACGAGGCTGTGGCTGCTGCCTTGCTCCTAAAACCCGGATTTTTCTCCCATCCGCGATTTTCATCCATCATCTTCCATTTGCATATCCCTTTGTTCAGACTCCTAAACGAACCCACGCCTATTGCGTTACGCCGCCACCTGGGGACGCGTACATCTTGCTAACCGACTGAGAACAGCTGCTCCAAAAAACCAACAAAAAAAAGTTCAAAAATCTACCGTCAAAATGGGTCACGAAGATGCTGTTTACCTGGCCAAGCTCGCCGAGCAGGCTGAGCGATATGAGGGTTCGTTGCTCGCTGATATCTCCGTCCCTATTCGATGGACCGATTGCGCTGACAGCCTATAGAGATGGTTGAGAACATGAAGATCGTCGCCTCCGAGGACCGCGACCTGACCGTCGAGGAGCGCAACCTTCTCTCCGTCGCCTACAAGAACGTCATTGGTGCTCGCCGCGCCTCTTGGAGAATAGTCACTTCTATCGAGCAAAAGGAGGAGTCTAAGGGCAACTCTTCCCAGGTCACCCTTATCAAGGAGTACCGCCAGAAGATCGAGAACGAGCTTGCCAAGATCTGCGACGACATCCTCGACGTTCTTGACCAGCACCTGATCCCCTCTGCCAAGTCTGGCGAGTCCAAGGTCTTCTACCACAAGATGTGCGCACGCCAAGTCATCCAAAGCCGTAGCATGACGTGTTGAGCTAATTTTTCTTTTTTCACTCGCTACAGGAAGGGTGACTACCACCGTTACCTCGCCGAGTTCGCCATTGGCGACCGCCGCAAGGACTCTGCCGACAAGTCCCTCGAGGCTTACAAGGCTGCCACCGAGGTTGCCCAGACTGAGCTGCCTCCCACCCACCCCATCCGCCTTGGTCTTGCCCTCAACTTCTCCGTCTTCTACTACGAGATCCTCAACGCCCCCGACCAGGCTTGCCACCTCGCCAAGCAGGCCTTTGACGATGCTATCGCTGGTAAGTCTCTTTTTAAACTTGCTGAGGACGTGCCAGCGTCATTGGCGGTTAGTAACTGTCATTTTTGCTAACACACCCATTACAGAGCTCGATACCCTCAGCGAGGAGAGCTACAAGGACTCCACTCTCATCATGCAGCTGCTCCGTGACAACCTCGTACGTACATACTCTATTTCCATTAACTGGTAACGTTCCTTTTGCTAACTCAATCAAAGACCCTCTGGACCTCCTCCGAGGCCGAGACCTCCGGCCAGGCTGATGCCCCCGCTAAGGAGGAGACCCCTGCTGAGGCCGCTGCTCCCGCCGCCGAAGAGCCCAAGGCTGAGTAAATTCAGGGGAGCGCGGTATAAATCTCTTGGCTTGGGTCGCTTTGTTATCGGATGGGCTGGTGTCTACGGTGTGGATGGAAGACTTCGTTTTTGATCAAGAGCTTCGGCATCGTTTTAGGTAAAACACGCAAACTACTTTCGGGAAGGAATCGATTTGGTTCCCCCTCTTACGGACTGGCAGGGAGGATGAAGAAGAAGAGCATATTGGAGGTTCTGCTTTTAGACTCTTGATGCGTAGCCGTCTGGACAAATAAAAACTACTAAAATTGCTTTTTTAATATTATATTATATGAACCAGAACGCCTCTGTTTTCTCTTTAAAATTCAACCATTTCGCTCCTAGATGCGCCTTGCTTAAACACAATTCTGCCCAACATTCCCATGTGTTCCCAGATTATACTCTCTCCCCCCCTTTTAGCGACACCACGAGCTGGTCAGCTTGACTCTTTCTGATCTGATGCCGATGTATGATTCTCATCTTATGCATCTTCCACAACGGCAAAATGGACTTTGAGCCAAAGGCTGCAATCTTGGCAGCCAACCATGAGTACCCCTTCGTGCTCAACCTCCTCTAAATCTGACTCTTGAAAGGCGTATCCATGGTTATTGCCGCAGCGACAGGATCTATACCAACGCTCGCCCTCTTCGTCAAACGGCAAATCATCCAAATCCACGTTTTCAATACCTGTCTGAAAAGGGGCCTGTGATTCACCAGCGTTTGCTCTGGAAAGACGCAGGCCTGCGTCGTAAGTACTGCGCTGATGAGGTGATGAGAGGATTGTGAAGGCTTGTGTGATTTGGTCGATTGTGTAGAGCTGAGAGTTTGAGGATCTCGAGTGAGACGGTAGAGAGGCTGATGTTGAAGATGTAGATGAGGATGCGGCCTTGTCTGGATGATGCCGCAGAAGAGCTCGGCGATAGGCCTGTTTTAAGAGTGTGGAGGGGTCAGGCTGGGAGCTGAGGATTGTGGGGGTGAGGCCGAGGACGTCGTAGTGAGATGGCGATGTGAGGGCCATGATTTTGAGAGGATGATTTATTCTGAGGAGGTATACTCAGAAAAAATATGGTGACATGAGAGATGACGTTTATGTGGATTTATTCATACTATGAACGTGAGTTTGGAGTGCTTTTACTTGAAGATATTTTGAGGCGGCAAATTTAGACATTGGAATCACGTGATGTTGTTGAGCTTTTGATACTCGAAATTCGCAATTGACCACGGCAAATACGTAGCAATGAAAAGGGAAACAGAGTGAATCCAAATATTTCGTTTCTCATTGTTGTACATAGAATTACACGGCGTATGTACAGGCTCGCCAGGATAAAATAAAGAGGTTTCTGCGTCACTTTGTTTATTTCGGGAACTTTGTCCAGTTCCTCTTCCCGACCTGTTGTTTTTACCAAGATTAGCTATAATAACGGGTATAAAGAGATGGAGAGATTTTGTGCTTACACTCTTCCAGGCTCGGATAAGCTTTGGCATCTCCAGCATGGCTTTCCTCCTCTGTTCCATCCTAAACGAGAAATTTGTTAGTCACGATATGTGAAGAGAGAGAGAGAGAGAATATGAACAAACGTACTTTGCAATCATGTGTCGTTCGTGGATATGACCCTTGACCTTCTGTCCCACACCAGTACCCTTTACTCTCAAACCATGCTCAACACGCTGAGCCAACTGGTACTCTGTGCCCTTGTTTGTCTGGGGCAGCAGCTCCTCAACGCCGTGCTCTCGCGCCAGCTTCACGAGCTGCATCTGCCTCCTCTGGGAATAGACCGGGTCCTGCCATCGTCCGGTGACGGGGTGCTTGTAGAATCGGAAAGGGTTCGGTCGCTGCTCTTGGAAAGGCGTCGGGTGTGTGCCGGGAGCAACGAGCGCTGCTGGCGGCCAGCGGGCAAAGAAGCGCTGCAGAGGCTCCGGCAGGCTCTTTGCGAGCTGGACGAGATTTGATGGTGAGGCCATGGATGATGCGATGAAGGTCCAGGCCCTAGCATTGACTTGGATCGAGAGGTGAAGAGATGGCAGGGAAAGACAAGGGCTGATCTTCCGCTGAATTGAGGCTATCGCGGGGAGGTTCTTTTTCGAGGTTCCCAATTTGATCGAATTCGAGATTCCCAAGGCTGAGCGCCCGCTAAAATGGCCCGCCAAGATAGAAGCTTTTCATTGGTCATGGCGGCTCAAGTGGGTCTTTAACTCCCCGTAGTTCATAGCCTTGCCTGTGATCTCGAAGATGGATGCCTCGCCACAATCCATTTTCATGAATCAATTACCGTCGCTAAAATAATCCTCGACGACAATTATCTAGAGCAAGATTTTCATTTATTATTTTATTAGACACACAAATATTGCATAAAAGCGTCAAAATCGAGATGCCTCTCGATGTGGAGGAGATCCTACGACAAAAGAAGGCGGCCGATGCTGCTGCCGCCAAACCCAGATTCATCCCCAAGGCCCAACGCGAGCGACTAGCGGCCGAGAAGGCAAAGCAGGAGGAACAAGAAAAGCAGCGCAAGACAGTTGACGAGTCACAAAGACGACGAGAGGAAGAGAAGAAATGGGAAGCCCGCGCAAATGGCCTGCCAGTCTCAAACGGCGTCCCCAACGGCGCCGTCGCGCCTCCTACGGGCCCCAGAGCGATGAACCAGGTGTCTGGTGGCGGCAGAGGGCGCGATGGACGAGATGGACGAGAAGGAAGAGATGGGAAAAAGAACTCAAAAGCTGAAAACGCCAAGCGCTCGGCGGCGGAAATTGAAGATTCGCTGCTCCGGTCGCGATACCTCGGGCCGGAAGTCAACAAGCAGTCCAGCTTTTCGGCTAAGAAGAAGCGCATGCGGACGACGGAAAAGAAATTCAACTTTGAATGGGATGCCGAAGAGGACACATCCAGAGACAACGACCCGCTATACGCGAGCCAGAGCGTCAACAGAGGCGGCTCACTGGCGGGCGTTGGTGGCGAGTTCGACGAAGAGGCCGAGCAGCGGGCGCGCAAGCGAGCTCGGATGATTGAGCAGCGCGATATCGAGCACGGAAAGGAACGAGCAAAGGGCATCATGGAAGACTTTTATAGAGCGCGCGCCAGGGCAAAGGAGAGGGCGGAACGGACGGGCCTGGGACGGCACTGGTCGGACAAGGACCTCAACGAGATGCGGGAGCGAGACTGGCGCATCTTCAAGGAGGACTTTGGCATTGCTACAAAGGGCGGCGCCATTCCGAACCCGATGCGCAGCTGGGAAGAGTCCGGACTGCCGCGGCGGCTGCTTGACATTGTCGACAAGGTCGGCTACAAAGAGCCTTCTGCCATTCAGCGGGCGGCCATCCCCATTGCTTTGCAGGCCCGCGACCTTATTGGTGTTGCCGTCACGGGTTCCGGTAAAACAGCTGCGTTCCTGCTGCCCCTGCTGGTGTACATCTCCGACCTGCCGCCCCTCACAGAAGCCAACAAGAACGACGGCCCGTATGCGCTCATCATCGCCCCGACCCGTGAACTGGTGCAGCAGATCGAGACCGAGGCCAGGAAGTTCGCCGAGCCGCTCGGCTTCAGGTGTGTCAGCATCGTCGGTGGCCACTCCCTCGAAGAGCAAGTCTTTGCCCTCCGCAACGGCGCCGAGATCATCGTCGCCACGCCGGGTCGTCTCGTGGACTGCATCGAGCGAAGACTGCTCGTGCTGGTGCAGTGCTGCTACATCATCATGGACGAGGCCGATCGCATGATTGACCTCGGTTTCGAAGACTCGGTCAACAAGATCCTCGACGCTTTGCCCGTTACCAACGAGAAGCCGGACACGGACGAGGCCGAAAACGCACAGCTCATGAAGCGCTACGTAGGTAAAGACCGTTACAGACAGACCATGATGTACACGGCCACCATGCCTCCCTTGGTCGAAAAGATTGCTAAAAAGTATCTCCGCCGCCCTGCCATTGTGACAATCGGTAACGCAGGCGAAGCCGTCGACACTGTCGAGCAGCGCGTCGAGTTCATATCCGGCGAGGACAGGCGCAAGAAGCGCCTTCAGGAGATCCTCGGCTCGGCCGCCTACGCGCCGCCCATCATCGTCTTCGTCAACATCAAGCGCAACTGCGACGCCGTCGCCCGCGACATCAAGTCCATGGGCTGGTCCGTCGTCACGCTGCACGGCTCCAAGACGCAGGAGCAGCGAGAGGCCGCTCTGGCATCCGTCCGCTCGGGCCAGACCCAAGTCCTCGTCGCTACGGATCTTGCCGGTCGTGGTATCGATGTGCCGGACGTCTCTCTCGTCATCAACTTCAACATGGCCACCAACATTGAGAGCTACACTCATCGTATCGGTCGTACTGGTCGTGCTGGAAAGAGTGGTGTGGCTATTACCTTCTTGGGCAACGAGGACTCGGATGTCCTGTACGATCTCAAGCAGATCCTGAGCAAGAGCTCCATCTCCAAGCTACCGGACGAACTTAGGAGGCATGAAGCAGCGCAGTCGAGGCCAGTTCGCGGCGGAGCTGGCAAGAAGGATGAAGCTGCCGCTTCTGAGGGTAGCAAAGGAGGAGGCGGCAAGGGAACCTGGTAATTTTGATTATAACAGTGCCGTGTAGACCATGGCTGCATTAGAGGGAGATATATATATATAGGCGTTTTACGCAAAAGGGGGAGTTTTGGACTGCAATTGATCACTAGGCAAAAATGATATTGTACTTCTCTTTAACACCTGTGTTTTATTCTCTTATCATGTACTCTAGAGGCCCCTTACTTTTGTTTCTGTCTACATGAGAGTAATATATAGCCTTATTATAAATCCCAGGCTACAAATTTCTTTTTTGATATATGATCCCGTGTCGTCTACTCCAACTTCAGCTGCTCAAACTGCTTAATCGTCTCCTCCAAGCTGTGCTTCTCCTGCTTGGCATCGGCCAATCTCTTTTGTTCAGTTTCCTGAACGGCCACAGACACCTTCTCCTTGTATCCAGGGTCGGCAAGAAGTTTCTCCTGCTTCTGAATAACGGCGGAGGCCTTGTCGAGCTTCTTCTGGGCTTTCGAAATCTCAGCATCCATGTCTACACGGCCCTTGACGTGCAGGAAAACGGAAGCGGCAGTGGAAACCGGGTAAGCAACGCTGCCAAGGGGTCTGGGAGCGTCAGGGCCAACGACTTCCACAGTCTTGACGGCCTTGCCACTGAGGGACTTGATGGAAGAAACCTCGTTCTGGCAGGTCTTGAGGGACTCTGCGTTGTACGCCTGGATGATGACTTTTGATTTCATGTTAGTTGAGGAACACAATAGCTAATTGTGAGATGTCACTTACTCTCTGCATCCTCCTTGATGGCATACTCTGACATGAGTGATCGCGAAGCCTTGGCGCTGTCGAGGACAAGCTCATAGGCAGCCTCTGATGCCGGGTCGTCGAGGACGGCGTTGTAGGTGGGGTACTTGGCAACCATGATGGACTTGGTCTCATCGCTAGGTCGTCGGGGCATTCTCTGCCACATTTCCTCGGTGATGAAGGGCATGTAGGGGTGGATCATTGTCAAGGCTCCCTCCAAAGCAGTGTACAGGGTCTGGATAGCAGAGTTGCGCTCCTCTTCGGTACCATCGCGGATAATGGCCTTGGAGTTTTCAATGTACACATCACAGAGTTCGTTGTACCAGTAACGGTAAACGATGATGGTGGATTTCGAGAACTCGCGGTCGGCAATGGCGATGTTGATCTCCTTGGCAGCTTGGTTCATCTTGTGCAGAATCCATCTCTCTGCCAAGGTCTTGCCAGGCACAGCGCCCGTTTTTGAGGGGACAAAGTCCTTGGGCAGACTTCCCAGAACATACTTGGTTGCTTGGAACTGGAATCGACGTTAGCACGACTAAAAGAAATTGTTGACAGCTCTATGACGTACAATCTTGTTACAGAACTTTCGGTAGCCGTGGATACTAATCAAATGGTTAGTTGGACTGAAAGACAGCATCGAAGCAGCACGTTGCTTACATCTTGACCTCCAAGTTGATATCACCACCACCGGTTGTAGCGTTGATCATAGTGAAACGGAGGGCATCAGCTCCACACTCGGGGATACCATCAGGGAAAGCAGTTTTCTGGTACTTGGTGGCCTTCTGGACTTCGTTAGGGTGCAGGTTACCCTGGTTGAGCTTCTCGTGAAGATCTTCTAGTTTGATACCGGCGATGACGTCCAGGGGGTCGACAACGTTGCCCAGACTCTTGCTCATCTTTCGTCCTTCCGAATCTCTGACAAGACTGTGGCAGTAAACTTCCTTGAAGGGAACATCTCCTGTTAGCTTCAAGCTAAGCATGATCATTCTGGCAATCCAGAAGAAGAGAATATCCCAACCCGTCTCGAGGACGCTCGTAGGGAACAGCTTATCAAGATCCATGGTCTTCTCAGGCCAGCCCAAAGTGCTGAACGGCCACAGACCAGATGAGAACCATGCTATCGATGTGATTAGTATCGGCAAACTACAACAGGGATCGGTTCAACTTACTGTCAAGGACATCCTCATCTTGCTCGAGGGTAAAGGTTTTGCCAGGCAGCGCCGCCTGAGCCTTCTTCTCAGCCTCTTCTCTGGTCCTTCCAACGAACCAGAGCTTCTCCTCAGGGATGTCGCCGGAGCCTCCTTCGATTCTGGCAAAGTAGGCAGGGCATCTGTGGCCCCACCACAGCTGTCGGCTAATACACCAGTCGTTGATATCCTCAAGCCAGCGGTAGTAGCTCTTCTCAGCACTCTCGGGTCGAATCTTGATTTTCCCCTCTCGGACGGCCGCAAGAGCGGGCTCAGCAAGCTCCTTCATTCTGACCCACCACTGGGGCTTCATGATGGGCTCAATAATGTCCTTGGACTTTTCGCACAGGGGAACCTTCATGGGGTTGTCCTTCTTGTCCACATACAGGTTCTTCTCCTTGAGGGCGGTCTGGATGGCATATCGAACGTCAAAGCGCTTCTGACCCTTGTAAGGTCCGGCATTCTCGTTCATCAAGCCGTCGTCTGTGAGAATGTTGATGAACTCCAGGTTGTGCTTCTGGCCAAGGTTGAAATCGTTGGGGTCGTGAGCAGGTGTCAGCTTGACGGCACCAGTTCCAAACTCCATGTCGACGTACTCGTCAGCGATGATGGGAAGCTTGCGGCCCTCGATGAATGGGTGGACAGCATTCTTGCCGACAAGGTGAGTGTATCTCGGATCCTTGGGGTGGACAGCAATACCAGTATCACCCAGCATGGTTTCAATACGAGTTGTGGCGACCTCGACGGTTTCATCGCTACCCTCAATAGGGTACTTGAAGTGGACAATGACACCAAACTCAACCTTCTTGTCATATCCAGGGACATCGAGGAGAGTTCTTCCAGTGAGCTCCTTGTTCTGGACCTCCAGGTTGGAAAGAGCGGTATTCAATTTTGTGCACCAGTTAACAAGTCTGTTTGCACGGTAGAGAATGCCCTCTTCGTGGAGTTGAACGAACGTTTCCATAACGGCCTTTGTCAAATTAGGGTCCATGGTGAAAGCTGTGTGACGTTAGAGACAAGCATCTACACCCAAGTGGCTCGGATTGATACGCACCCTCTCGACTCCAGTCAAAGGAGCTACCCAGACTAGTCAGAGCCTTGTTGATTCGCTTGTGGTAATCCTCCTTCCACTCCCAGACAGTCTCAACAAACTTCTCTCGGCCGAGGTCATGTCTGGTCTGCTGTTTCCGTCTCCACAGCATGTTCTCGACGACGCTCTGGGTCGAGATACCAGCGTGATCACATCCAGGAAGCCACAGAGTAGTCTTGCCATGCATTCTGTTCCATCGAATCATGAGATCCTGGAGCGAATCACCCAGCGCATGTCCCATATGCAGGTTACCGGTGACGTTGGGGGGCGGGTGAACAATGACGAAGCTTCCCTCATCTTTGACGTTTCCGTCCGCCTTGAACTCGGGCTTGAAGAAGCCTTCCTTCTCCCACCAGGTATACCAGGCTGATTCGACGGCGACGGGGTTGTATGCCTTGAAGTGAGGGTCGTCGAATGATCGAATGCGCTTCTTCTCGCCGACGGGGGTATCCTCGACGTATTCGGGCAGCGGCTCTTCCTCGACCTTCTCCTTCTTCGCCTTCTTCTCCTTCACAGGAGCCGTAGCGGCAGCAGCAGCCCTGGCCTTTTTCGCTTCGAGCTTCGCGGCCTTCTCAGCCTTCTTTCGCTCTTTTTCCACTACACCAGCACATCAGACAAGTGGACGCCGAGGAATGCTAAGGGCCATCTCTTACGTTCTTTCTCAGACTTTACTTTGGGAGCTCCCTGAGCAGCAGGCGCGGCACCTGCATCTTGACCTGAAGAATGAGCACCAGGAGTGGCAGACTGAGTTGAAGCAGCAATCTCTTGCTTGGTCTCACCAGAAACGTTGGGGGGAGCTGCATTTCTCTCCTCGACACCCTCGGCCGCCGCGACTGTACATCAACTGCGTTAGCCACATGCTTCAAGAACATCTCAGAGATCCATCTGCAGACATACTGGGATTTCCTCGTCCACTGTTTGTCGCCATGGTAGCAGCAGGTATAGCAGCAAAAGGTGATGTACGTCTAAGTGGCCGCACTCGAAGTGCTCGAGCCGCGAGTCTAAACGTGGTGCCGGATGGGATTCGGGGAAGCCCTATGGTGAATTGGCCTCCTCGTCAATCTTATGCGCCAATATTTACTTTAAATAGACCAGCGTAAGCCAGCTTTAACGAGCCGCATGTAAGCAGAGAGTCATCAATAAAGATCCTTCGATCTGAAATTTGAGTCACGAATTGGAGGGGTGTGGCGGTGTCGCGGGGTTGGATAGTAATCGATAAGCGGTCCAGCCACACGGTGCGCCACAAATCTTCGGGTTTGTGCCGTTTCCAGGTCTAGTGTATGCTAGGTGATGCTCTCAAGCTTACACTTGATCCTTTGATATCCATGGATATTTCCTCCTGCCTAAATTGGTGAAGCTGTATAATCATTTTAAGGTGTAATCGCCGAATTCTGATTCTTTGAAACACTATACTCTCTCGGAAACTTTTATCTCTTCTATAAGATGATCATTCGAGCCTCCTCACAAGCTGTGAGAAGCTCACTTTCACGGCGAAGTTCATCTCTTTTTAGAAAGTCATATTCAAGCATTTCAGGGACTAGTCAAACAAGATTCACATACGCTTTGCCAGATAACAAAAAAGTCGTAATTTATGATTTCCTGAAAAGAGTAAATAATGATTATTAACTTGTTCTTTCTTCAGGTCAGCTACCGAGAGCTCTTTGAGAATGTGAGAGGCAAGAAAATCTTGGATAATCCCGATGGCCACAACGCAGCAGTCATCCTCACGACGCCAAGCTTTGCCAGGGACCTTGAAAATGCTGACATCATGGGCCAATTTGCCAAATTGATGGCCGGTTCCGCAGATTTAGGGAAATTTCATGTTCTAAGTGCCGTCGTCGACCACCTTGCAGCTCCAACAGGGTCACTTAGATCGCACCAGGGAGTATCAGTTCTACGAGGCCATTTGGACCATATGTTACCGCATTTATGGCAGCCATTACCGCCAAAGTCCAAGGATGATGCAGATTCGGTATCTGCGTTGACATTCAGCCTTGGAGACCCCTCAGTGACGCTGCCCCTGGCCAGAACTACATTCCACAACAGCAGACCGTCCACGCTCTTGACATCTGAGTTTGACCTGGCCCATAGTGTGCCTCGACTCACCCAACAGGCCGAAAAGCACTCACAGTTTGTGAAAGTCTCGCTGGACCATGATATCGAGTCACTGGCGCATCTTGATATGTGGGCACCTCTGATGCCACTGACTCAACCGCGAACTGTGACTGAAAGCTTTGGGAACATCATTCGAGGTATCGAGGTTGATGGGAATACTATTCCAGCATCTACCGAACTAGAAGACATTGTGAACAAGCTTCACAAGCAAAATGGCCCGTCTGGCGTTTTATCTGGCCCAGTAGGAGTCTGGGCAATGGTTACCCCTGACCCTAACGCATCAGGCGCGCTAGAAGAATGGTTCGAGGAAGCTCCAGAGCCAATAACGGCGCTGCCAGATGTCGAGGATATCAGGGAAACTGTAGAACAAACAGCTCAACATCTCAAGCTGCTTTACAGCCACGGCGGTCGCTTGTACAAGATATGTACGTGTTTCTGGTTTCCTGCGCAGCCTCTTTCAGGATAGACTTGTATGCTAATCCCGATATCTAGTGAGCGGGGGCGGCGGATGGGGAGCCAAAAAGGGACTGTTGTCTCTGGATCCTCAGCGCGCGCACTTTTCTTTTTCAGAGGAAGAAGAAATGCAAAACTTTATACAGTCGATGAATGGCGGAGGCTTCACTCCCGAGGGCTCACAGATTCAGTTTTTCATGTCTGCACCGGCTCTGCCAGAGAATACTGCGGAGCCCTTTACGCCTGGAGTTGTCTTTGGCATTTCTGGAGATGTTGCTGTTCCCGAGGAAGCTGATCCGATAAAGGGCTTCATAGGACAGCATTTTGGCGCGCTTTCAAACTCGGCCATTTATCTCTCTGGGCAAGGGCTGCCGGGTGGTAAGGAGACGAAGCTGAGCGTGCCACACTCTAGAGTGTACAGCAGAGAATCTGAGGTCAAGATGGGTGCTTTTGAAAACCTCGCGTATGAGCTGGCAGATGTTGGAACAATAGCACTTGCAGGGCTGAAGCATTGAAAAGGTGTATGAATAGTTTTGAGAAGATTCATTGTATCATATATCGAGTGATGAGGCGGCCACCCCTTTCTATCTAATCTAATACATGTATATATCGCCTCTCATTCCGCTCATCAATTTGTATCATCACAACAGCCTACTCAGTCTTCTTCTTCTTCCTTTCTAGCCCCTCGGCCATCAAAGCTGCAACGTCATCTATACTGGTCCCCCTCTTTCTCTTTCCAATCTTCTCTTGTCCAAGAACCCCATCTTCCGCGACGGCTTTATAAATCCCAGCGATGCCCTCAAACACCGTTCTATCCCAATGGCCCTCCTCATGGAACGTCTTGGAAATCTCCTCCATCTCTCTCACCCAGCGATAGGCCTTTGGCGGCATCCCTACAACGCCCTTTTCTGCTCTCGTCAACATGGCCGGCACCATGATACCCAGCTCCCGCTTCAGCTCATCCGTCACCCCAAGGCGATGCGCCGTCGTAAAGGACTGCGTAACCAGCGCCGTGAAGCCCTTTGTTAGCGACGCAAAGCACATCTTGAGACCGCTGGCCGCGCCAATCTCGGGCGAAATCGAGCGCAGCTGTAAGACTGACGTGAGCCTTTCTCCATCCGGCAAGGCTGCGAGCGAGTGAGGCCCCGAGATGGGAATGCTGGGCTGATCCCACACGGCCTCTTTGCCTTCTTCGCTGGGGTTCTTAAGGCTGGGAGGTCCACCCAGGATGCAAGCGTCGATGAACTTGACGGGCACTCTCGCCTTTTCGAACAAGGACACGATGCTCTTACATGTTGAGGGCGCCACGGCGTTTAGGTCAACATAGTAAATCGTTTCCTTTTGAGAACCGCCTGACAGCGCATCAACGATTCGCTGGGCCGAGGCTTCAGCATCTCGCGGCGGCACCACCGAGAAGATGACGGAGCACTGCTGCACGAGCTCTAAATCTGACGAGAGCAGCTCAACCTTGGCGTTGCGGGCTCTCTCAAGTGTATCCTCGCTAGCGAAATAAAGATTTAGCTCCTATTACCCCTCATCATCTCTTAACTCAGATCCAGGTTCATCATAGACCCTTGCGATTTTCATTTACGTACCTTCGATTCTGGCCGTTGGTAGCTACGGGAAATCCATGAGCAATTAAGAGCCTGGCAATGCCAGCGCCCATATCACCCAGTGATAAAATGCCGACTTTGGTCGGTGTGCTCTGACTTGAAGAAGCCATTCCTAGTGAGATTGAGCTTTTGTGTAGGAAAGAGAGGATGATGCTTATACCCTGCTGGTCATAACTTGACAAATGGCGTATTAAACGAAGCGGTTGACGAATGGTGTATATCCGGGCCGCTCTACCGTTGTGGTGGATCTACCTGTTAGCCAATGGCCCCCAACGGTGAGATTGTGAATAACCAGATTGAGCCGTATGATGGATGTATGGATTCAACTACAAGATTTCCTAATCAGCATCAATTGTAGGAGGGTTTCTTGAAAAACCCCCGCTACTTCAAAAGTGCATGTCGTATTGATACGTGGAAAGGCATGTTCATATCAAATCTCGACAGTTGTATTCGTAGCATCAAACATCTTAACCCGACCTGAAAAGCAATCCATTCGTAATGACAACACACTATGCTGAATTATATATGCTCTGTCTCCCATGCTTCAGATGGCTTTTTTTTTAAAACATAGTCCCATACTGTCGAATCCTAACACCCACATGAAATACACCCCCTCTGCCATGCGTGATTATTACTCAATCATATCAATGTCATCAACGTGAGCCGGCGCAGGGGCCGCTTCGCTTGCTGGAGCTGCAGAGCCTGCCGCAGAAGCGGCAGGCTCTGCAGCTCCACCATGGGCATTGAAGTAATCCTCCATCTCAGCATCTAGTTCCTCTTGAGTCTTCTTGGGTCGAGGAGTGTTGGTTCGCTCAGCACGGGCTGCTCCTCCTCGGCCTCCTCGGCCGCCACGAGCCGAATCCTGATCTCTTCCACCTTCGCGGCGGGCACCAGGGCGACGTCCTCCTGCGCCACGACGAGGCGGCATAGGACTCCGTGAACGGCTACCACTACCTGGAACGTATCGATCAATGCCTCTACGAGCAGCGTCTTCTTCGTCGTATCTTCGGTGAGGGGAGAGGGATCGGGACCTGCCACCAGGAGCAGAAATACGTTCTGACAGGGGCTTTCCTGGCATCACGGCGGTATCGAACGGGTTTCGAGAGGGACCACTTGACAGCGCAGTCAGCCGAATTGGCTGGCCTATACATCATATTAGTCGCAAAACCATGATACTAAGTTCGACGGAAGATAGCGTACCGTTGGCGTTTGCACCATCAAACTGTTTGATGGCTTCAGCAGCGTCTTCCTTGTCTTCGTATGTGACAAAGGCAACGCCCTCAGACCGACCAGAGCGGTCATAGCGCAGTTGTAACTTCGTAATAGGGCCAATTCTTCTGAAAAGTTCCTATGAAAGAATCAGCCAAAGTGCCCCTTGGGAAGTTGAATTGTGAGTAGGACAAACATCGAGATCCTCCTCTGTGAGGTCGTAGTGGATATTCTCCACGCGAAGTCGGGCGCCGCGAGCATCTCCTCTAAGAATAGGTATTAGACCAACTTATTGCGATGTAGATTTTCCGTTTCTATGTAAACCGACTTACCCGCTGGGGGAATCGCGCCTGCGACGCGGTGCTGCTCTGCTGTTGCGATAGGCTGGGAAACGATGAGTCGAGTTCATTGGAGGAAAGTTTTCTGCAGAGGTAGGAAGGAGGTGACTGTACTATTCTCTTCGTATCGATCATGAACCCATTCACTGTGACAATTGGGTCAGCATTGGCTCTATGGGAAGCGTTATACACCGATTCATGACCAACCTGTCTAGGTTTCGAGGTTCGTTGCGACTAGACTGTACGGTCGACCCAAGAGCTGGTTAGCGAGGAAGTTTACAGTGAGATCCATTGCTGGATCGGCAAAAACTCCGAGATTCGATTGACCGAAGGAGTGCGCAGAGCATCAGACGAAGTCGATTGCTAGGAGGAGAGGAAGTTCAACCTAAGCAGCGAGTCAGCCTCGCGCGGCCACTTGCAGCCCCCAAAGGCTCCCAGAAATGATGGCAAGACGCACCTTTTTCACCCCGTCACGGGGGTAATCTTGACGATCACGACGGCGGTCACCACCGCCACCGCGTCGGTTGCGAGACCCATTGCTGCGCTGGTGGACGAGTTAGCCGTTGTCTTTGCGGCCTCGCAATAGAGGCAAGGCTGGCGGATTCGAGATGGACAAGAGGTACCAACCTTGTCGGCGATGATTTCGTCGAGGCCGCGGTCCATTTTATCAGAAGCCATTGCAAAGACGAAAGTGTGGAATGCCGTAGACGGAGTTGTGCACGGCTCTGGACTGGGCGGATAGGAGAAGATGCGAGATGTGAAGGAGACGAAGAATAGCCAAATCGTGAGTCCGAGGCGGCGACGTTAGGCTAGTCGGTTTGATAGGTAGGTAGGCATGGGAGACACAGTAGTGCTGCTACGTACTAGCACATGCCGCCGCAGCGCGTAGGGGTCGCCGAAGGATTAGGGGTCTCCAGCGTGCTGGGCCGAAAAAGGTTCCAGCCATCGGAGACTTGGCCTTCTATTTCAGGTGCTGTACTAAGACGGATGATTTTTCTCACTTCTATGAAATTCGTTGCAAAAACAGCTTTTTGCTTGAAATGATTGAAATTCTTGCATTACGCCATTGCTAGAATTAGAGCATAGCTGAATGTTATTATGAAAATTCCCAATACAGCACAAGAGGAATCTGCAGTCTCGACGCTTGGACGGACGCTTGCAGCACTCAATGGCGGGCTGCTTTTGCATCTACAGCATGTCCCGCCACTAGATTAGCGGTCGAAGAATGCAACTGAAAATGGGCTTCGGCCCCAGAATTAATCCGGTGCCCCTGAACCTCCAAGGTCGCCAATCGCAGCAGTAGCACCAGCCGGTAGAGCATTTGCTGTCGTATTTCACAAGCAATTCCCTTGTTTGGGCGGCGATTGGCTCGTATTCCTTGACTCTGTCCTTTTTTAGGGTACGGTGGGAGTAACGAGATACGGCGTGTGAGCACCAATTGCGCCTTGCTTCTCTGTCTTCTTCCTCTCCCTCTCTTTATTCTTCGTTCCTATATTCTCCCCCAGCGCGGGCCACCTTTTCAACTACTACGAGCTAGATCCAGTGTCTTCAACGTTCCATGCCCTGACGCTCGTTTCAGCTGGACGCAGTCTCTTGGGTTTATTTTTGCGCTGCGCTGATTTCCGGTCGAATCGATCGCGAAGCCGAACGAGGGCCTACCGAGCCAGATTCTTAATATCTAATCACCTAAAAAACACCAGATAAGGCTCCATGGCTCGACCCTTGGGGTCAGTCCGCCTCAAGAAGGCCAATTCCTCGACCCTCCTCTTGGGTGCTGTACTCTGCATCTTCATAATCATCTTCCTCGTTTCGCCGTCAAGTCCTGCCTCCGCCGGCAGGCTGTCCAACATTGTCTCGGCCCAACACCATCTGTCGCCCCCTACGTCGCCGTACAAGAGCTCGCGATCAGGCGTTCAAGGACCCCCGCCGGTTACGCGATATGACCTCAATAAAGTCACGGTCACGGCCGATCCCATCAAGAACCAGGAGCACATCCTCATTCTGACGCCAATGGCCAGATTCTACCAAGAGTATTGGGACAATCTCCTGCGATTGAGCTACCCCCACGAACTGATTACTCTGGGCTTCATCTTGCCCAAGACAAAGGAGGGAAACCAGGCTACTGCGGCGCTGCAGCAGCAGATTCAAAAGATACAGAACCATGGCGCAGAGAAGGATCGGTTCAAGAGCATCATCATTCTGCGCCAAGACTTTGACCCTGCGGTTGTGTCTCAGGATGAATCGGAGCGCCACAAGCTGGGTAACCAAAAGGCTCGCCGCGAGGTCATGGCCAAGGCTCGTAATTCACTGCTCTTCACGACGCTGGGCCCGTCTACATCATGGGTGCTGTGGCTCGATGCCGACATTGTCGAGTCTCCTCCGACCCTGATCCAAGACCTCGCCTCCCACGATAAGCCCGTCATCGTAGCGAACTGCTACCAAAAGTACTACGACCCCGAAACCAAAAAGATGGCTGAGCGCCCATACGACTTCAACAGCTGGCAGGACAGCGAGACTGCGCTCAAGTTGGCCGAGCAGATGGGACCCGACGACATCCTCCTCGAGGGCTACGCAGAGCTTGCGACTTACAGGACCCTCATGGCGTACATGAGCAACCCTGGTAGCCCCAAGGACCTGGCTGTCCCTCTGGACGGAGTTGGTAGCACCGCATTGCTAGTCAAGGCCGACGTGCACAGAGATGGAGCCATGTTCCCTGCCTTTTCCTTCTATCACTTGATCGAGAGCGAAGGCTTTGCCAAGATGGCTAAGCGCCTGGGATGGCAGCCATACGGCCTTCCCAACTACAAAGTGAGTTCTCGCCGCAACTCCCTCTATCCCTCAAAGGAGATGCTAACAGTGATACGCTAGGTCTACCATTATAATGAGTAAATCAAAGATACCTAATCTACCTTTTTCTTTTACTTCACAGCGGCTGAGAGAGCATTTGCTCTCGTGTCACTCTTATTTCATTACGATTACGACTTTGTTGGGCTGAGGCCTTGAAGGCAATTTGGGCTCGAACTGGAGAGGTGCTGTAAGATCAATGGGCACTGATTTGATCTTTTCTTTCTTGGCTTTGCATCTCTAGAATCGAATTACAAAAAAGGGAAGATGCTCGGACGGTGTCTTGGTTAGGGAAGTCTGGGCAGGGCAAAGGCAAAGGCATAGGCAAAAAAACACAAACAAAAAACAAAAAGGCACGGCGCAGCAGGGCGCGGGCGTTTTTTTCTCGTTGAAAGCATCTACCTATTAACCTCTGGCATATGAAACTTATATAGATAACCCCCCTTTTCCCCTTTACTATTTTTTATCTTATATTTCAATCACCATTGTCGAATCGCAGGCACCAGCAGGGAAGAGGAAGGGAAGCCGAGGGAGAGACAGATGAAAGCAGAGAAACAATAGGTGGCTCCCCTTGGGAGAAAAGCCGTTCTTTCTTATATCTCGAAAAGTGGGAGGGAGTTGCCTTGCGATACATGCTTATTACTTATATGCGTTTTAGTCAAATTATGTTGGGATGGGGTCAATGGCGGCAGTAGAGCTATGTTTTTATACGTATTGTATAAGTTGGGATAGAATCAAATGAAAGCGATGCACAATATGCCTTTTGCGACTTTTTTCAATGATGATACCTTGAACCATCGATATATAACTCTCAAAGTCTCGTCCAGCCAGCCTATATAATGCCCTTCCGCGTACCCAAAATCATTACAAACAACAGCTACTACTATACCAATTACATTTACCATATATTCAAACCAAGAACCGAATCACAAGAAGAATCAAAACAGCAAGAAAGAAGTCTCCTCTCACCCTCTACTCTCCTTTCTCTCCCCATCAAGGCCCATCATACCGCCCCTCCGGCTCAGAACACCAATACTGCACCAACTTGCGCGTCCCCACGACATCGCCGCCCCTCAACAGCGCCGCAACGTCCACGTTCAGCGGGCTGTCCGTCTCCGGATATCCCAGCAACATCCTCACCGCGCGCACGCACTGCAGCACGCTGTACGTCGGCGTCCACTTGTCCTTGAGCAGGTCCAGGCAGATCTCGCCCGTCTGCAGCGCAATGTTGGGGTGGATGATTTGCGTCACGAAGCGCATCTTGGGGGGCGCCAGCGGGTACGACGTCGAGAGCTGGATGCTGATGAGCCATCGGCCCTCTGTGCAACATGTTAGTAAACTTTTCGAGATCGCGAAGAAGCAAAGAGAGAGAGCGAGAATTAAAGGAGTTGAAAAGCTCACCATCGTATCCAGATCCAATCCCCTTGCCATTGATAACCGCCTCCCACTCAAACAAATCATCCTCATTCACCGGCCCAAGCCTCTCCACGCCCTTTTCGTCCTTTTGCTCCTTGCGCCAGTTCTCCATCTCCTTGATGAGCCGTTTCGCTCCGCTTCTGGCGCTGGCAGACATTGTGATTTTGTGGTTTTGAATAATTTCTTGTACTGGTAAATGCAATTCAAATGCTGTTTGGTCGCTAATTCGATGCTCGGGCGCAGTTCATAGATGGGAAAGCCGCCGGCTGGCTTTGCTGGGATTTGTTTGCGATGTGATGGAGTGTCGCGTAAAAGTTGACGGAAGATGGCTTTCCGCTTTCGCTTCCGCTATTGGGATCAAATTCAAACAGACGCGAAATTAGAAAAAACGCTTCTATGCGACTATCATGCTGCGGCGGGTATACGAAGTGAAATTGCAAACAATAACAAACAACAGCGAGGCTACCGGCTAGAGCTTGGAGCTGAGCGCAGGGGTCCAGGCCGCGGCTACGGGTGACATTCAAGGTGAGCTGAGTCAGCACATGATTTGCGCAGTCGAGTTAACTTGAATTTGTACAGAGGGCCTTGCTATAATCTATGCATATATACATCGTCTGGTAATAAAAGCATGAGCGTAGTCTTGTTTGACAAGTATTCTGGTTTAAACATATATTCGTCATGGTAATACGAGCTATATCAAACAATTTTTTTCCCTCGCCTTAGAAAATATGGAAACACCAAACATCAGCGCACGCCAAACATTTTGCTTTCTATTCCCGCTTCTTCCTTCGTACTCCTGCAGAAGCCCCCGAAGTTCCAGTGCCTGTCCTACTTGATACTGTCCTCCTCGTTGGTGCCGGGTCAGACTTCTTCCTGGTTGTCGAGCGCGTGCGAGATGGCGCCCGTTCAGGCCCGGAAGGAGATTCAACTTCCACCTCGACCACGATTTCTTCTCTGCCCTTTGCTGTTCTGCTCGAACTCTCCGTTCTACTCGAACGCTCCTCTACCAATGCCAGATCTTCGCTTGTATCATCAGAGCTCTGCCGCCTGGACGATCCTTGCCGGCTCCACTCAGACACAGACTCAGGTCGGCCTTGTCGTGACATGGCACTCAAATCAGACTGTCCAGAGCCATGGCGCTTGGGAGCAGCAGCAGCGCGAGAACCAGCTGTTTGGTACTTAAAGGGGTCCCTGGAAGGTTCCTCATGGAAGCTGGTTGGCCGCGATGTAGAATGTGTAGACTTTGGCCGAGAGCGTGAACCGGATGGAGGGGGAAAGTATCCCATCTGAGGAGAGATCTCGTCATGCGTCTCGCTTCCCGAGGGCTGTCTTGATACTGGGTTGGAACCGGATTCTGAACCTCCCAGTCGAGCCATCGATCCAAATTGAGAAAGCGGTATGGCCACGCGCTCTTGGCGACGCCTGCGATTTCTTCGCTCCTCTGCCTCCATGCGCTGTTGCCTTCGCTCGAGGGCTTTGATCTCTTCCTTGCTCAGCCTCACGTCTGTCCTTCCCTTGGCCTGTGCCTTATTAATTCGATAGAGCGCCTTTTCCACCAGGGCCGCTTCCCACTCATCTTCTTCATCTTGCTGGTCGTCCGAATAGTCTTCGTCATGGCTATCGCCAGACGAGCTATCCTCTTCATCTCTCGAGTCGTATCGCCGCTGATTGCGACGCACGACGCCAGTTTCTCTACTCCTTAAACCTTGTCCATCCTCATCATCGTCATCCGAGGCCAACTCCTCGACTCTCTCATCGTAGTGCGCAGCATCTCCACTTGTCCTCCGCCCGCGCCGCGATGGTCTTCCCCATTGGGGCGCAAATTTGGGAGCTCGCGGCCGACCATTTAGACCGCCTCCCCGGAAAAAGCCTCATCGATGGGCTTATCCATAAAGCTTGCGTGACCCTATATTTAGTTAGCAACTGAGTACCAATAGCAATCTAGAGAACCAGCTCGACTCACAATAATTGCTGTTCCAGAAGCGCCTATTAACCAGAGCAGGGTAGAGAAGGGAGAGGCAATCAGTCCAAGGGGAATGCTGACGACGAGGAGTCCAGTGTAGAGCTGCGACGAAGTAGCCTTGAAGCTGCCGATTTCCAAATCTCTTCCATCCAATTTGCCGATAAACCACATGCCAAAGACGACCAGGATAATGTCAAACATCAGCAGCCAGTTGGTAAGCAGGGCGTACAGGCTGAGCATGACAAAGACCACGGCATAGTTGCTGGAGAAGTGGCTCAGGTTGTAGTTGACGCGCGACTGCACCTCGCCAAAGTTGGCAGGCTTGGACAGGCGCTTGAAGTCGAAGAACTCGGAGATTGGCCTTAGATTGGAGAATCGACCGCTCAGAGGCCCCGCGCGCAAACCCTGGAAGCGTTCTCCCAGGTTGAGGCGGGACGTGATGAGGTCGAGAGGGATCTGAATGCGAGACATGGTTGATGGTGTTTCTTCTCTTTCTCAAGCGTAGTGATGGGTCGTATAAATAGAATTGGTCGCACAAGACTCAAGCTAGGTTCGTTGCTTCTTGTTGTATACGTGTAAATAACGGCGGAGTAGTCAGGCAGCCGCGATTGCAGAAGCCACGGTAGCAGTATTGCTTGAATGGATATGCAAGAAGCTTGGATGCGCAACTAAGCAAAAAGAGGATCCTGTTAGCAGGCGTGATCGCGGAAGATTGCGTGGCGGAGCGGGTACGGAATCCCCAGAAAAAGGTGAATGTGTCAAAATAGAAGATATGTGAGAGAGAGGCTATGCCAGTAGCATCGCAATCAATCTTGCTAAAGACACAAAGCGCAATGTCCCTAAAAGTGAAAGGTACATACCAGAGCCAGTGAAGGTCAGACACTCGGAGCGATGCGAGAGAACAGGTCGCGCGTCGACTTTTATTTTTTGGAAAGGAGTAAATGGCGTCGATCGCTGTTAAAGTTTTGAGGTTCCTGGATTGCGCCAGGGGTGCAAGTACAAGCACCGCAGAGTTGTGCGACGGAGTACAACGAGGGAGGTACGTGCTGCGAATACGTGTTCAGTACGTACCACCAGCTACGCCACACAGCGCCTCTCGTTCTGGCTAAGAGAATAAAAAAAGAGACAAGACTGTGCTAGAATCACATGTGAGCCACTCCGAAATAAGGAAAAGAGGAAGAGAAGAGAATGATTGAAAGACGGGGGAGAAAAAAAAAAAAAGAGGCGCGAAAGTTTCCAGGCGTCAATGACCACCTTTTGACTATTCGCCTTTTCTTTTCTCTTTTTCTTTTCGGTTCTTCTTCACTCTTCCCCAATGGTCGCGCAAGAGTAAGATCCGTACCTCGTATTAGTCTCGAGCCTCAGTGCCAGTCTCGGAAGCCCCGCCTCCAGCAGGCGTCAGACCGCCACACCTGGGGTTGGTGCCGGTGTCTTGTGCTGTTCTTCTCCCGGTTTCCTCCCCCGAAACCGTGTATCGATGGAGAAAGAAGCCGTAGAGAAAAAAAAAGAAAGAAAAAAGAGGTGAGAGAACAGAAAGAAGAAGAAGAAGCAGGGAAAGGAGAAGAGAAATAAGAAAACAAGCGAGAGGCGAGAGCCAGAAGCGAGAGGAGATGGGCCGGAACAGAATGAATCCGCGAGCTCGGGCACCTACAGTCCACGTCCCAGAGTCTCAATTGCGACCGCCGCTACCCACTTCATGCAAGCCGCAACTCTTTGCTGGCCCGAGTCGACGAATGAGGTGCAAGACCAGCTGTCTTGCAGCAACCACTAAGTGCAGGCCTCCATGCCGATACCTGGACGGCCATATTTAGCACCTACACTGGTGTGGATGTGACGGTATATAGCAGCAGCTTTAGAAGGTCTTGAGGTCATCCTCAACCATCTCTAAGCCGGTTCTAGCGGCTCAATGAAGTGCTAGCAGCGCAGTAGTACCTGTATATATCGAGCTTCCTAGTTTGATCGCCCTCAATTGTACGGTGAGCGATGCCACCATCCGATATTTCACTGTAACCTTGACCTCCTCCTAGTCCTATCTTTTTCGAGATTCAGCATCTACTCCAAATATGTGCCAGTCTTGACTTGGGCTTCGATGTAATTCCTCACCGTGCACTTTCTGCGAACAGGTTCCCACGGTGGAGGATCCTCACCGTTCTTTGGGCACTAATGCTTTGCCGTCTCCAGGCATCACGACATAAGCACCTAACAATGTCAGACACCAAGTGGGAAAAAAAAAAAAAACCACTCCCGCTTAGATAACACTCCAAAATCATCATATATTACTGCTCCATTGGCGCTCTTTGTGGAGTCAAAGCAGTTGAGTTATGAGGCATATCTGCCATTCGTCTGCCGTGCTAATTCGAGACATGCAGTGTAGAGTGCAGATTAGTTGATAGGCAGCCTCTACGAAAGACGTCTTCTTCTGTTTGGTAAACTTTCATTTCTATTGGCTTTACTTTGTCGAGACACTATGGGCAGGTATCTCATCTATTATGCCCATATCCATAGAGCAATTATCTTAAAAGATTCTCCAGAGGCATCTAGGCTAAATTTCATTATACTACATTTGTACGGCCTCTTCTCCCATCGCATATTCTCAGAAATCAAGTCCATTCCCATATAAAAGACGCAACACATAGAGATCGTGGATGCTCTCAGTAGTATTACAAAACATGTATACTATTCATACACAAAGAATCAGAAAGAAGAAAGGAGAATCCAACGCATAACCTCTCAATGCTCCCACGCTATGCCAGGGCCTGCCATACAAAGGAGGGGGTATATATCAAACAAAAAAATGAAAAATAAATGACAGGTATATAAAATATGGAGAGACAAGAAAATATCGCAAAGGTGAGAGAAAGAGGGAGAAAAAAGGCCAGGAAAAAAGAGTCTAGACTTCATAAAAGTAGTCTTCATCCAGCCCTTCACGACTAGGCACGATACCAGCTCCAGGCGGAGGGCCTTCAACAGTGTCCATCCTGACGTTGAGAAGTCTAATCTTCAGCCCATACCCGCCCACCAAATTGACAAGCTTGCTCGTCTCCGTCGTGACGGGGGCTTGGCCGAGCAAAAGGAGCAATCCGTCCAGCCACTCGGAAGCGATGCTATGGCTGGTGGGCCAAAGAGACAAGACGGCTTGCTCTTTGGCCTCGCCACCGCCGCCGCCGCCAGCAGATACATCAGCAGGATTCACGAAGCTGTATATGGTAATCTTGGTCTTGGCCTTTTCTGCGGTGCTGGTGATGTTTTGTATAGTTGCCCCGCTCGCCGTTGTCTTGGAGTCGTCGTTGGTTGCAGAGACGTTGGATACGACGGAGCTTATAGTAGAGAGGTCAATCTTCTCCATCAGGGTGTTTAGACCAGGATCTTGTGCCATCTGCTTCTCAAAGTCGGTATAATGGAGGTACCGACGGTTGTGAGAAAGCCTGGCGAATCTCCAAGGCTTCTTTTCCGCCGCATCCTCCTTCTTCTGGAACCAGGCGCCTTCGAGGAGACACCTGATCCTTTGCTCTTTGACAAACTGCAGGGCTTCTTGCTTCAGCACGTCTCGCACCTGGTAAAGATGCTTGCCCCAGGTTTCCTCAAACGACATCTCCAGCAGCTCCATCTGGAGCTCTCGCAGTCTCGTCATGTCGTATTCTTGTAAATCATCCTCAATCTCCAGTATATCGCGGGTCCGGGGAGCCTGGCCGGCCACCTTTTCTATCAATATGCGCACCAGCTCTGCAACCTTGTCAAAGTCTTCCTGCACGGCACCCGTGGCTTTCCAGATGCGGAAGAAGCTGTGTAACCCAGCGGCATGCAGACGGGGCCATTGCAGCAGCAACGGCTGAAATACTCTATCGTAATCTTTCGTATCGACACCTTGGTGGTATCCCTTTGCGTCCTCCAAATCTGCCTTATCCACGTCAAAGTGCTCGTAAAGGATCATCGTCATGGTCAAGCTCGCCCGAGCAACGGGACAACGTTCATTCATGGGCTTTGTGGCCTGTTCCAGCAGCAGCTTCTGGAATCTGTCTTCGTTTTTGCGCACATAGTCTGTCATGTCCAGCATTCCCAGATACCCGGCCACATCAAAGTCTTGCGCGGGGCTCTCCGTCTCGAACCCAAGCCTTCTCCATTTCTCCGGGCTGTGCTTCCTACCATCCTTCTTAGTTGCGGTAGTGTCCGTTGAATTGTCTCTAGTGTGGCCATTGGTTGTTGGTCGATCGGGAGCGCTCGAGAGATGCAAGCTCTTGAGCGATCGCCTGTGTTCCGGACGCTCTAGGTCTACCTTGACATCTCTCCACTTTCGCTGGATGACTTTGCTCAGGTTCTGAAATTCCAGCGCAGGATGTGCAAGATCCTGAAGCCCGGTACCTTGCATCAGCTTATAAACCGCCTTGATCAGGCCCAAGTCCTGCAGCCGCTTCATCAGCTTCGGCCACTCATCGCCAGCCGACTTTCCGTTGCCGCCTGCCATAACACTCTTAGTCGACAAAGCATCTCGAATCAGCGCATTGACTAGCATGAGCGCATTCGCGCAAAGAGCATGGTCCGCGCTATTCAGCTGCTGCACGACCAAGTCAAAAAACTGAGGGTATATGGCCACCGCCGGCTTGAGCGCCCGAAAGCCAAAGGCCTGGTCCTGAATCGGCGACTCTGCGCCGCTCGACTGCGAGTGTCCAACAAGAGCAACCAGAATCGACATGGCGCCTCTAAGGATGTTAACCAGAGGATTCGTCACAATGAGTTCCACAATGCGCTCCACCAGCTCGCTCGCCGTCGGGCCCTCGAAGATGTCCCATCCCATGTCCACCTCCAGCAACCGCGACAAGCTCTGGAGCGCATAGGCGAGAGTGTTGCCGCCAGAGGTCATGATGAGCCGCCGCAGGATGACGAGACCGCCCGAAGATATAAAGACGTCGGCAAAGGCAGGGTCGTTGATCGACGACTGGAGCTTGAAGACGGCCATCTTACGGGCGGCATCTTCGTCGCTGGCCAGCCTCGAGAGCAGCGCGGGGATGTCTGCTTGGTCCATGATGGAGCGACGCCGTTTCGTGTAGATGTTGAGGAAGGATTCAGGTTCACCAAACGCTCGTATTTTGGTGATGCGTTGTCGATGTTAAAACCATTGCTTTGAAGGAGGATAGGTTTACGCGAAAGGCCCGTAGCTCAGGACAGCTATCGGTGTCGCTTAGTTGAATATGGCGACTGCTGGCGAGTCTCGAGTCGAGTCGAGCTCTAGTATCAGGGGATTAGATTGCTATCGCGCCCAATGCGGTTTAGTCGATTGATGGTTCTGCAGGTCCCGGCCTAGTCCCAGGATTTTTTTCAACCGCCGTTGCGCGCGTCGGGGCGCGTTTCTGCAGCAATTTTCTCTTTTTCAGCTTCTACAAGTGACAGGGCTAATTTGGACATTGCGTCTGCGTTTTATCTTACTTTTCAAAAGAAAACAAGATATTTGTGAAGTTCTATACATATAGTAGCAGCAGTTTCATATACCGATATACATGTTTCAAAGCTATAAGACCCGATAGCAAGGACGTTCTATATTGCCCCATAGGCCCATACCCCATCCTCATTACGGGATGCTTCCAAGCGGGTCTAGAAGTCTCCATTCAATTAGTATCAGCGCGCCACACGCACGTGACACACGCCACCTCAGCCTCGTCGTTCAATTGTGGCGCGCCACTCCTACTTCCCTACAAGCATGCCATCCTCATTACCATTTCCAAGCTTCAATATATCCATCCAGCCTTCAAGTGAGAGAACCAACATAGGAAAAACCCACACCAACAGCCCTCACATCCCATCAATTAACCACCCAAAATGGCCAATTTCCTCGCCTCCATTTTCGGCACAGAGCTTGACAAAGTCAACTGCTCATTCTACTTTGTAAGTTTTTTCCACTGCCGCGCGCCCGCGTCCTCGACAGTCAGAAAGAAAAATGTTGAATGCTAACAACCATTGTGATAGAAAATCGGCGCCTGCCGTCATGGCGACCGCTGCTCGAGAAAACACGTCAAGCCCTCCTACAGCCAGACCATCCTCATGCCCAACCTCTACCAGAACCCCGCCTACGACCCCAAGAACCGGATGAACGCCTCGCAGCTGCAAAATCACTTTGACGCCTTCTACGAGGACATTTGGTGCGAGCTGTGCAAGTACGGCGAGCTGGAAGAACTCGTCGTTTGCGACAACAACAATGACCGTACGTCTTCTTCTTCTTCCTCTCCTTCTCCCATCATATATAAGAGCTAACACAATCAATAGACCTCATCGGCAACGTCTACGCCCGATTCAAATACGAAGACAGCGCCCAAGTCGCCGCCGACACGCTCAACAGCCGGTGGTACGCCGCGCGCCCCATATACTGCGAGCTCAGTCCCGTCACAGACTTCCGCGAGGCCTGCTGCCGCCTCAACTCGGGCGAGGGCTGCGTCCGCGGCGGCTTCTGCAATTTCATCCACCGCAAGAACCCCAGTGAGGAGCTCGACCGCGAGCTCACGCTCAGCACGAAGAAGTGGCTCAAGTCGCGTGGCCGGGACGAGCGGAGCGCCAGCCGATCGCCTACACCGGAGCCTACTAGAAGGCGGTTCTAGGAGAAAGCGCAAGGCAAGAAGAGAAGAGATATGATGTCGCAATTAATGTCTTTTTGTTTTGGAATTGATAATCAGGATCAACAGATGGGATTATATGCACTCTACGTTCAAAGGCTCGGCGTTTTGGGGGAAAATTCAAAGCAAAAAATGTAATCAGTCATCAAAAAGGAGAGTTTTACAATTCTCGTTAGCATCAGCATCGGATACTTCGTCTGAATTCAAAGGTTGATATAGTTGATATACTTCCTAGCTAGCCAACGCTGTCCATCCCATCGCATTGCCCGTGCTAGGCCTAGACCAAAAGAACCCGCTCCCTGCCAACACTAAAAGAACATTAAGCACAAATGCATCATGATGCGCGCCCATTTATATATATAGTAGTAGCCTGGTCCGATGTTTTGCGCCGTGATACTGTTAAGGTATTTCCCGCCCTCCTAGCCAATGATATTACTCCCAAAATCTCAGTCCTCACACGAAAATCAGTCACCTTTTTTTCAATTTCTCTTCTCATCTCTCACAGCAAGTCGCCGTCAGCTGGCAAGTCTTTCTTTAAATCCTGAGCAAAGTCAATTAAAGGACCGTCGGCTGGCTTGCCTGTCGCTGTGAGCAATTTCTCAATTTCATCAGGACTCTTTACGGCCGGTGTAGAAGTTTGGTCATTGCCAAAATCGATCAAGCTGTCCTCCTCCTTTGGCTTCTCGACCACATGGTTTGTCGACTTTTTGACCGCTTTTGGTGAGGAGGCTTGTGTTGGAATAGACGGCCTTCGGATCATTGGCTGACCGGGTACAATAGGATATATAGCCAGAATCTGTTCAGTCTGCTTTTTCGGGGATGCTGAAGAGTCACTGTAGAATGTTAGTAGCATGATCATGGTACGCCAAGGGGGATGGAACCAACATGTGAGCATTGATTATCCACTCCAGACCCTCTTCGCCTTCCTCTGATTCGCCTGGTCCGCTGTGGACGGCGCGGAAGAGTCGTGGAAGCCACTCAACATTATCATGGGCCCTAGCGGCGGCTTCTTCACGTTGTCGATCTTCAATCTTTGTCTTTTCGTCCGTCGCCAGCTCGTGGTTGCGGTCCTTGACGGCGTTGGCAGTCTTCTCCCATAGTCTCTGGGATTCCCGCTCTTCCTGTTCTGCAATGGGTCGTGCCAGAGGTGGGCTAGGTTTTGACTTGTTGGCATCAAAAAACATCTCTCGGTGTCCCGTCTATATTCACCCATGTTAGTCGAAAAGCATTAGTTGCGCGAGGATCATGGCTAACTTACCGTCATATCCTTGATATACATCTCCTCGCTCCACAAGCCAGACAACTCATACAAAACCTCGCCAGTACTCTCCCTCTTTATAACACCGCCAATAGCGTTGTAGGTTCCTCCAACCCAGCCCTTTGTCTTGAAGTCGATATCAGCGGCCAAATCCAGCTCAGGGCATCGCACAAAGCTGTGGTCGCCAAGCTCATATTTCATCTTGCCAAACAGGATCCCCCTCGCATACATGTTGGGCTGTGTCAGGATGCTGCATCAATGTTAGCACTTATGGCTACGATCCGGGACGAATAATGCGGAAACTGACTATTGCTCTCCCTTGGACTTGTTGCTGCCTCTGTTTAATATGGAAAGAAAAGCAATGCCTTCCATCAAACTAGCTGCAGAGTTACCTAGGAATCGACTCCGGGGTTTGAGGGTTCCGTCGATCCGGATGTGGTGATCAGGTGCCATGTAGAAATAGCTTGACTTGGGCGGATGGTGTGAAGTCTGTTCGGAGATGTAGTAAGCTCGCTTGCCGCCTTCGAGGTCCCAGTAGCAGGAGAATATTTCGCCCAGGATCGGATTTAACGGTTTCTTGACTCCCCTGCGAATCGTTAGCCAAACTGCGCCAGCTCGCTCTGTCAAAAAGGATTGCGTACGGTGGTCGAATATGCCAGCCGCTCAGGTAAAACTTGACGACTGATACGAATCGTTCAGTAGGATCCTCGATTGTCGGAATATGCAGGAGCATCTCGGGGTGGCACATGAAGCTAAAAACCAGTCAGCACTACCATTGAGTGTATGGTGTCGGCAACTGTCGGCGCACTTGGTTATTCTCTCGAGCATGCTTCGAGGCTCAAGAATGAAGGTAGGCAAGACAACGCGACTCAAATCGGCGCCAGGGCGCAGCTGAGAGATGATGTGAGTGAGAACTGCGTGCATCGTGGTCAGCCCGGTGTTTCCTTGTATTGGCTGCGCAGAGTAATGACTGGGAAGCTGGCTTGCGAAAGTCTCCTAGCAGTTGAATGCGGCGCAAGCTTTATCCATCTCTCTAAGTCGCGAGCCAAGCAAAGCCAAGCCATTTCCCCCCTCCCCGGCCATGTATATGGTGTTGCTGCGACTTACCATTGCCCTGATCGGGCTCCATCACCTGGGTATCGTCATCGTTATCGGTCCTCGCATCGTCGGTGGAGGATCGGTTGCCTGCAGGTGGTTGCGTTAACCAGTTGGAAAACATTTTGGAGGTGCAGGATGGTGTCGCGAAGTAAATTTGACGTTGGGAAAAAAAAAGTTGAAGGTGCACGATCGTAAAGCCGAGCAAGCTTTGCGAGCTCGGAAGACGAAAGGAGGAAGCAGAAATTAAGGGGCGCTTAGGGCAAAATAGGGTATAGAAAAATGCTCGCCCTATTGCAGGAGAAACAGGGACGAGAGAGAATATAAAAATACTCTTTTCGTCTCTGCCTGGGAGCCGGGATGTTTGTGATTTGCAGGTTGTCGAAATGGAGCAAGGGAAAAAAAAAGAGGTCACTCAGGTCTAAAGAGATGACGAAGCGGAGGGGTCATTTAGCACCAGACTTACTACCAGTTGTAGAGGATCTGTTCCTCCGGGGGAGAGCTAGCACGGATGAAAGCCCCATGGCCCAAAAATCGGGGAGTAGCTAGGACAGCTCGGCTGAGAGAACCGAAGAAGAAGAAAAAAAAACCCCAAAGGCCGGTAGCCCCTCTAACTCCTTTTTTCTTTCTTTCGTTATCAATAATCTGATCGAAAAAGGGCAGTGGGAAAACCAGTAGAGACCAGGTCGGACAAGCTAGGGCGTGTAAGAGGGCGTTCGTGGCGAGAGCTAGCAATCGACAAGCTCCAGCAGGGCGAGCTGGATTCCTTCTTCTTGGCAGCCGGAATTGACTGTGAATCCCAAAATGTCTGGACAGGCTTGGCTTGGCCTGTAACAGCTTTAGATTTCTTTGGTGGGCGTAAAAGCGCCTTGGACGGTGGCGGAGCAGGTATGTTTAAAGTGACTGACGTATTTGTCTAACTGGCAGCGAGAGCGAGAGGCGGCTGATGGAGTAAGTTGAATAAGACGGCTCAAGTCCGTCCGCTTGGCTCCGAAGAGAGGCGCTTAGCAAAAAAGTTACCAAAGGGCGAAGGAAGAAGCGATGGAGAATGAAGAGGAAAGATGAGAGAGTGAGAGAGAAAAGAAGAAGAGAAAATGCCAAGCCAAAAAGGACGGAAAAGAATAAACAAGCTAGGAAAAGGCCAATAGATGGATCAGCCGGGTAAGTCTATGTCTTGTCCTGTTTTTAGCCAGGAATGCAGCTAAGTGAAGGCTGCCTTTGTACCACGGCCCTGCGTCAATGAGCTGATCTACCTGGGACCGCATCCATGTACACGGGATATACCACGGAATGGCCCTGCAGGCCCCCCAGATGCGATGAATCATACGGTACAAGATGGTAGCTGAATGGTTTCCATGCACGCCCATAACCGGTGCCGGCTGCCGAAGCTCTGTGTTTACTACCTAGACTGCTTATTCTTAGGCCGCATCGTTCGCAGCTCGGGTGCCTACAGATAGACTACGTAAGGCCAGTCGCAGGCTGGACTGAGGCCTCCTTTGCGGGCGATGATGCCATAGAAAACAATAGGCGGCGGCGAAAAATAGGGCACAGAGAGGCACATGTTAGACAGGACGCCTTTGCCAGGACAGGACCACCAAAACACGAGGTACTCTGTACCCCAGCCAAAAGTCGGGCTGTCACATGCTTTTCATGTCCTCTGTACATTAGTGCCCCCAACATTCTCTATGACGTTGCGCGCTAGGGCCCTCCGCAAGGCGCCAGAGCTAAGGCCGTTCCAGACGCATCCAACAGCGTGGGTTGACAAGCGAAAAGCGCTCGCAATTAGGTCAGCGGCATGTCTGTTGTGTCTGCACACGCAGCAGGCACTGATATTCGGACGTGTGGCCGCGTGGGATGGTGACGAGGCAAGTTCCGACGTCGTATGCCGGGGGGGGGGGGGAAGGGCTGAGAGAATTTATAGCAATTTGGACATGTAAGGCAGCCGGACAGATAATTAGGCTACAAAGGTTAGTAGACAGCAGAGCAGGTCTAGTTCTGGTCTAGAAGAAAACATACATGTATCGTGGTCCTTTCAAGCACTATTACTGGACCCTCACACTTCTCTACTGACTGAACTGGCACCAAAACTTAACAGCACACCCCTCGCAAGACGACTTCCATTCTCGCCCAAGCGCTTTCCATCGGAATAAATCAATGGGTAATGCAAAGAACAAACAGCAATAACCACCCAGTAATTTGAAACGCCATAAGCAGCCAACCACTTTTTGTCTTTTCCCCTCTCTCTTCTCTCTCACTAACCAGGCCCTGCATCATATGACAAGCAGTAATACCCAGGTACCTAGGTATAATAGCTCCAATAGGTAAAATAGAAGGTTAGGGCCATGGCCATCCTTCCCCAACAAAAAATCCCTTTTTTTTTCCTTCCCTTGTTCAGAAAAACCCAGTTTGTCCCATAACAGTGATCAAATTCGGTTGCCGGAACTCTCCCCAAAGCCGCGCGGGGGTCACCAGCCCACGCTCCTCGGAGTCGATATAAACTCCGGCCATTTAAATTTGCTAAAAGACAGAAAGATAGACGTAGATACTACATAACAGAAGGAGATAGGGAAAAAGACTCGTACATAAAAGGATAGCGTCCACGCGACCTACTACTCTCCCGGCTTAAACCTCCCGGTTCAAAAACAAGAAAATCAGCCCCCTTATTAGCATCCCGCCGCTCCCGAGGAATAGGCCAAAAGTGTTAAACAAGTTGCCACCGCCTATTCCTTGTGCTTGATCCGAGGTATCACTTATGGCTTTTTGTCTTGCATCTTACATGTCTCCGGCTGACGGGAGCATCAAATTGCCCAAGTTGGTGTGTGGCGCTCTCTTCCCATACTCGTGGTCTAGACTTTGTCACAATACCATGAGTTGAGGCATCACCTTGTCAATTTATACATCACTCGGTCCAACTAATCTGGCCATCCTCACTCGTCAAAAAGGCCATGTGGTTCTAGAAACAAGAAAGAAGGTAAAAAAAAGGGAAGCTAGCACCCCAGGTATATCCACACCAGTATCTTCATGTTGATTTTCAACTGCGCTTCGCCGGCTCGGGTTAGAGAACATAGCATTTCCAAGACACTCTGTCTCCTTCAACCAATGCTTGTAAGAAAAATAGGATAGGAAAGAAAAAAATTACATCAATCGCTAATTCTGACGCTGTTCTTCATGTCAGGGTCATGCTCCTGCTCTTCATATTTTCTCTTCTTGGGTATTCATATAGTATGCCTCCGTAGATGCATGTGCTGCATGCTCTTATACTGGTAGATAGCCTGATCATTTGGCTCGCTCCCCCACACATATCCGTTTCCAACTTCCTCTTGGCTCTTCTCCTCTCCTCTCCTCTCCTCTCCTTCTACTCCTTGAATCTGCTCTTTCATTGCTTTTAATATCCCATGATACTAATACTAGTAGTCTACTCCAAAAAACTCCGGCACGCTAGAAAGCAGGATGCATATTGCTTGCTATGTTGCAGCTCTTTTGACAACGTGTTTGGGGGCACGTAGCGTGACCGTTGTTCATGTGCGCATGCCGTCGCCAATTTCGTACAAGTTGACATTCTACGTGTCCTCGTAGGCGCTATCCACTCATTTCACTCGTGATATTCTCGAGGAGCCCTTTATAGGGGCTGGAAGACACTGCGCAAGGCGATCTCGGTCTATGCATGCATTTCGTCAGCGAACAGTTCATCTTGTTTTCCCCTTGGACAGTTAGATACGACGAAAAAAACGTGGGCTTACCTTCTTCGTTTTCAAACATGATTGATATATCATCATGCTCACCCGGCAGGTCCGGTAGATCCAGGCAAACAAAGGCCATATCATCATAATCCCCGTCCTTGTCGGCCGGCAGCCGCGGGAGAGGAAACTTGGCATCAATAAACCTGATGCCTGACTTGCCGCCTCTATGGAAGGCCTCGTACAGATCTGTTTGCTTCAACACAAAATTCATACAATGCCCATGGCTAAAATCTTCGAAAAATGCCAAGAGCTGGAGCTGCTTGTCCTCTTGCTTGATGACCTGGATTCGGGTGTATCCTGCCTCCCACTTCTTGTGGATGGGCACAACCATGCGGCGTCGCGCAATGGCAAAGGTCACTGCCAGCGAATCAAAAATGACTTCGAAGCCGAAAACCGCGTACTGAAAGGCATGGAGATCCTTGAGGTTGTTGAATTCGATTGATCGTATCGTTTGGTTCATCTTGATAAGCTGCAGCGAGTCCCACATGTTCCTCGGCACGTCCTTGCCCACTTGCGATTCTGCAATGGCGATAGTCATATCTGCCTGGGGTTGGCGAAGTAGCTTAAGCACTCTGGCATTCTGAACCTCCAAGCGCATGCGTAATTCGCCAGGCTCGACATTGATTCTGTCCGTAATCGTGCCATACTGATGCTCTAGAACAATCCTCAGTCTGTCTGCGAGGACCGTAGGGGCCTCCTCTCCCTCCGAGCCATACTCGTCATTCACGACTCTGCCTGCTTTCCACTGCAGTCGGCTGAAAGGCGACATGCCAAGCGGCTCGCGAAGGCTTTGAGCAATGGTAACGCTGGTAACTGGCACATCGGCGAACACTTTCTCGCCAGGCTCTACAGATGTACCCGTGAGTAAAGAGTGGAAGCGATTCCGCTCCTTTTCGTCACTAAAAACCATGACCATGCGTCCCTTTTGCCGGCCATTTTCAAATTTGACCGAAAAGGCAGGCAAGTCTCCCTCAGCCCTGAAGAATCCAAACTGCACAGGCAGCGGGGGAGGATAAGAGTGAGACACTCCACAAGCCGTCCTCGTCTTTGGTCCTGTGACAACTGCAATGCGGAACCCGGTGTGCCAGGTCCGTTGGCCCTGAGGGCCGTTCTCTTTTCGGAGTTTTTCAAAGAGGGCTAAATCGCATGAAGGTATCGATTCCTTGGGGAAGGCCCGGGAATTGGGATCCGCATCCAGGTACTGAAATGATCGGAGGGTGTTTCGAAACACGACTTGTTCGTCGGGGCGAGGCTGGAGAGTCGCCTGGAGCTTAGTGGCGTAGTCGTACATGTTGTAAAGCATCTTGTAATCACTCTGGGATAACTGCAAGGCCAACTTGAAACCACGCGGCAGACGCAGATCAAAGGAAGAGGTCTCGGGCCTCCAGCGGATATCCTCCCACGACGGTCCGGTTCCTTTGCTTCGGTCTTGAATGGGGAGCTGGATATTGCCATCTTGGCTAGATACCACAAAGATGAGTCCATTCTGTCTGCTGGGTCGCACCAAGGAAACCATGCAGGGGAAGCGTAGCTGCTTGTTCTCTCTGCCTTGCTCCATCAAGAACACATCCGCCGACATTCTCCCATAGCAAAACGTCTCTGCTGTATCACCTACGGGAAATGCGTCCAGTAGCTCCAGATAATTCATGGGGTGCTGCATCGCGGTGAGGCCGCCGCCCCAGTTACCCGTCATTAAAGCAACCAGGTCCTGGCTTAGAGGAGGATATTCCACCCAGATGGACTTGTCGATGGTTTGCGGCAGTACGGCATCTTCTGGTGGCAGAATTTCGTTTCGCTTCATCGAAATCGCCAGTTTCGTCAGGGCAGTGACGAGATTCTTGGCCACATCAGCAACCTCGGGGTCTGGGGCTTGACCTTGTGACTCGACGATATTGGGAAGCACTTCCTGGCAAAGCCAATACGATTTGGCCAAGTTGGCGTGCGCCTGTTGTCGGTCAAGGTCAAGCTGCATCTGGGACTGGGGGGTCGTTGGGCGATCTCGTATAGCCGCCTCCAGACCCATCCTGCCCTTCAAAAACCACCACAAGCTACCCCGCGTAAGTTGTGACTGGGTACAGGACCCCAGTGGCCGAACCTGCTCGGCATGTAGTCGAAACAGTGCAAATAGGTGCCTGCTTCTGGCAATAAAAGTTCTGAAAGCTTCATTGGCGGCCGCTGCGTCGGTAACCCGCACTGAAAGAGCTCTCGAGGCCATGGACGGCGGAGGACGCGATGCGGGCTCATTCTGGGTGCCGCTGGGGCGTCGTGGCATCTGCTTTGGCGGGTTTGGATTGTTTGGCGAAGCGTGTGCGCTAGAGGTTGTAGACATGGAGGTAACGGGGCTGTAGTCCGTGGGCTTGATTTGGACTTCGGGGGATGTAGGCTCTGGCGAATCGTTCAGCTCGCGGGACGGAGGCAGCTTCTTCTCGCCCCAGTCGTGCTCAGAGGCCGCACTGGCGGTGCGAACAGCTTTGGCAAAGGCTCTTCCTTCGGCCAAGGCCATCTGCGCGTTTTGAACTTCAATGAAAGATTTTCTATTCTCATCATTTCTACCTCCTGGAGCCCCCAAGAATCCTCCTGGTGAGAGTCCTCCTGGAGAGAGGTTCCTCCCGGGGTCCAGCGAGTTCTGGCGGTCCACCCCGAGGTTCGAGTTTGTCCTCGTCTTTGGCAGAGTCTTGGTGTCAGCATCAGGGCTATAGATGGACGAGAAGGACGTCTGAACTCGGGATATGGGTTTGGGTATGAAATCATCCTGTGCCGATGAGATGCTGCTGTTCGAGTAAGAGGGCTTGCTTGCGGGGGGGTTTGGTCGGGTCTGAGGAGGAGGAGACGACTGCTGCTGGCCCTTTCGCCTCGACACCTCCATGGTAGGGTTCTCACACTCGTCACCGCCCTCGCCGATGACGTCGGGGTACGCCTCCGTGAACTTGACGGAGAGGCCCTTGCGGCTCGGTCGTGGGCTTCGCTTTGGGGATCGCACTTCGACGCCAGCGCCTGGGGCGAGAGGACGGTTCTGCTGGGCCTGCTGGTTGACGGCCAGGGCCTGGGGAAAGCGGGAGATGCTGGTGTCGAGCTTCGGCAGGGCGACGGTGGGAGGCAGCGGTGGAGGAGGATGTGTAACGTTGAGGGCGTCGGCCGAGCTCAGGAAGGCGTCGAGATTGGAGGCATTGCTGTTGCTCTCCTCCAGCTTGCGTTCCTTGCCGCCAAACAGCTTGCCCATCAGCCGTCCCCTCTTGGACGACTTGGCCTCGTCGGCCATGTACGATTGCGCGCTGTCCATGGTTGACCGACTGCAGGACCTGGTGTGGGCGGGATGATGCTTCTGGCGCTGGCGCTGGCTCTCCTGGGACGTTCTGCACCGCCAAGATATGGTGCGGTGTTGGCACCCCCCGTCGCCGGCTCGGGAAAACCACTGGCAGCGAGCAGTTCTTTTGCTGGTCTTACTCCCCGTGCGCGGCTGGATGGCTGCAGTTGCAGTGCAGAGGCTGAAGCCGCAGAGAACGGGCGATGAAGCTGTAGGAGGGACCGAGTTGGCCAGCCAGCATATGCAGAAGCGGTGCAGGCGTGGGCAGGCAGGAATGGCGATTGTACAAGTATGTTTTTGTTTGGGATGCCACTCGTACAAGTACTACCAACTGCTACAGAGGCCTGGGACTCTGGGAGGGTGCACTTCTGCCCGGCTGGTTTATTAGGATTTACTCGCGCACCAGGTGCTATGTCGTCACGAGGGAATCCAATTGGCCTTGATCGGCGTCTCCAGGGAATGGCAAGGAAGTTTCAGAGCATTCAAGACGGCTAGACCACGCAGCGAGCAAACCCACAGCCCTTCTGGAGATGGAGACGACCCTTATCACAGGCCCAGGGGTGCAGGTACCACGAGGCTTGTACCTCCTCCCAGAGTGCCAGGGACGAGCACAAAGCTGGCGCCGGTACTCGAAAATAGAACCTGCCAAGTACCGCAGGATTCTCTAGGTATTGGTCGATACGGCGGGCTGCAAATGCTCGTATTCTCGCAGACTCTGTCCTGTCGTGCAGATTCTATGCTATATTTGAATCTGCGCCTTTGTTCGTGTTTTCCCCTCGCCCAGTGCCTCAACCACGCCACCTCCAGCCTGCACATCCACAGTCGTGAGCTAAGGCAATCTAGGTGCTCTGCTCTCGCAGTGACCTCCATTTCTCTCCGTCGCTCTCCCCACCAACCAGCCCCTGAGCGCCTCCTCCTTGTGCTCATCGCGGGCCAGGAGGGGCTTCGTAGTGGCTTAATAGTGGGGCTCAGCGCCCATCCGCCCAGCCTGATGGCGCCTAATTCGCTGAAGCAGCAGAGCTGGCTGGTACGAGAACAGCGAGCACAGAGTCGGGGGGCTTCGCATCCATTCTTTAGCGCCGAGCCTAGACGAGCATCTCTCTCTTTGTTAAGGTTGTCTGTTGAGTGTTGGCTCAACGCCAAGTCAATCAACCTCCAGGGCCATCAATCAACCGCAGCCCTTCAGGGCCTTCCAGGGACATGTAGCCGCTTCGAGTGCCAAACCCGGCTAATACCTACAAACGCTGGAGCCAGCCTGCGAGATCCCTGAAACCGAGCGCCATGACCACCCTCGCCCAAGGTTCAAACTCATCTCGTTCAATATTGAAGGACGACGCATGCAGCAGCATCCCATCAGACTGTTGTTTCCCTTTTCTCGCATCCCTTGTCGGCTGGCTGGCCTTGTCCTCTCTTCGAAACAAATCAGGCTCTGCGCGGAGGGTTGACCGCCCAATAGTTTCCATTCTACAAGGGGAGTTAAGGAATGGGCCGACATATTCGCTGTTATTGCCCAGGTACATGCATATTTCCCAATGTTTCGAAGATATTGATTCAAGTCCAAAGCCAATTCAAAACTATCGCAACGTCTGAATTGAACAAAAAAGGATCCCCCTCAGAGCAATAATGGCGGTCGCAACAGTCGACATCTATTGGTACTAGGTCCTTTAGGGCCAGAACATGATTTGATCTACGCAAGTTATAGCCTCGTTTATCCATAGCGGGCGACGGGGGGGCACATCAAGCCAAGATCTTGTCTCCTAGTCGCCGTATCTATCCCATCCCGTCCCAAATTCGAAAATCTTTGTGTGCGCTTGGAGATCGCGCCTCGTAATCGTGGGTTGCACCGCGACAATCCCGCACACCCTCCTGGCACGAGCGCCCAAAATAGACGCAGCCTCGCATGCGTACATCCCTCAGTGCTGCAAAGGAAGCCGACTCATCGCCATCGTCGACGAAACATCGTATTGCCGTCGGAAGCCACGCTTGAAATAGTAGCATTGTTCATTCCAGCTCGGGCAGGGAGCACTAAACCACAGACTAGGCCGAGGCATCACTAGTGGCTCTATTTTCTAAGATTGCAGCTATTTTTGCGCCTGTTCTCGAGCTGCACACAGGCGTCTTCTGGGTAGACGATACTTGGCACGCGAGTAGAAGCCCCCCGAGCAAGTCGTTATCGGGTAACCTTTTCTGTCACTTCAACCGCTATCGGCTGCATCAAATCTGCAAGCCAAGCCCCCGCCAAACGAAGTTGGTTCTTGAGTCTTAGCGGAAGGTAAACCGTCACGCGACATTTAGCATTTGATTACTTCCACTCCCAATACCACAGGCCTTTATCGCATGCAATTTAGCCAATATTCCATAGACCCCATCCGCCTAGAAATTAAGATTGCGGGCATTCCCATCGTTGCTACGTGGTGCTTTGGGCGCATTCCGGGCGCAAGCGAGCTGCCCACGTTGAACCGTTGCGCTTCATTTCCACATTTGGTCTCACCCATATCTAACATTGAACCGAAGTCCCTGTGGCTGAGAGACAAAGCATCTGGATTCAGCAAGCGGAGCGAGTTTCGGCGCCGCGTCCGGGACCCCACTTCGGAGCGAGTCTCCAGTATTATTCAGGATGCCGTTATCGATAAGAGATAACGCCGATAAACGCTAGATGAATCATCACCTAGGCCTAGTGTGGCATCCCACTTCAACTTTTGATTCGCCTCATCGACCTAGTTTCAATCTTCCAGAAGAGCATGTAGTTGTGCCTCCCTCCCCGAGTGGCATGCTCTCTAGGTTGCTGAATAGAATCATGGCTTCAGAGGTCAAGATGGTCCCCATCCCTCGCCGCGGCGTGGACTACCGCGGCAAGATTGTCCTTGCGCCAATGGTGCGCTCTGGAGAACTTCCCTCCCGTCTCCTGGCATTAAAGTACGGCGCTGACCTCGTGTGGGGTGAGTATATACAGGCCTTTTCTGCTCTGATGTCTTACAGTTGCTAAACGTAAACATAATAGGCCCCGAAACTGTTGACCGCGCAATCATCGGCACGACAAGACGGTACAACGAGGCTACCCAGACGGTCGAATGGTTTCGGGTTGCTTCCCACGGACAGAAAGAGCCGCCGCCAGACGCAAAGGAAAACATCATCTACGCCACTCACCCCGAGAAGGAGAAGAGCAGGCTCATCTTCCAGATTGGCACGTCGGACCCGGACCGCGCACTGCAAGCCGCAAGATTGGTCGCGGCGGACGTTGCTGGCATTGATGTCAATGCCGGATGCCCCAAGCCCTTTAGCACCAGCGGTGGTATGGGCGCTGCCCTGCTGCGAACTCCAGACAAGCTATGCGCCATTCTAGAAACGCTTGTCAAGAACATCACCCCCGAATTCGAAATCGGTATTAGCGTCAAAATTCGCATTCTTGAAACGCCAGCTGAGACCGAGGCCCTGGTCAGAAGACTCGTTGCCACGGGCATCACTGGCCTCACAGTCCATTGCCGAACCACACCAATGCGTCCCCGAGAGCGTGCCATTCGCGGCCAGCTGCGTATGGTTGCCGACATTTGCCACGAGGCCGGTGTGGCGTGCTTGATGAATGGCGATGTGGAGTCCAGAGACCAAGGTCTAAAATTGGCACAGGAATACGGCGCAGATGGCGCCATGATTGCCGTATCTGCGGAGAAGAATCCTAGTTGCTTTAGGGCTGAGGCTGATGGAGGCCTCGCTCCCTGGGAAGAGGTCGTCAAGGAATACGTCAAGACGGCCATGGATGTCGAGAACCGATTCGGCAACACAAAGTATCTCTTGGCCCAGATGGTTCCCGGGAAAGCCGGGCTCCACCAGCCCTTGACTCAAAGCAAGAATTATACAGCCGTTTGCCAGATGCTGGGTCACGAGGAATTTATGGAGCAGGCCCAGGAAGCAGACGTCAGACGAGGGTTGGACAAGCCGCCAGTCAAACAGTCGAAAAAGAATAAATCAAACGCCACTGCTTTGGCCGCCGGCGGACAGACTGGCCAAGCAAGAGTCAAGACACAACAGAAAAAGGCGCTATCCGAGCGAGTAGCTAATAGTGCGCAACCGGAAATGGAGCTGAAACCCATCATTTCTGTTTGATGAAGCTCAAAAAACTATAGACAGATATCATAACTAATGAACAGTAGATATAACCAATAGCATATGCCTCAATGGCCATAGATATATAGCCCAGCTGCAGTATCTAAGGTTGAAAATGAATTTATATAGTCCGAAATATCTCTGTTACTACTCCAACCAGCACCTCATGCCCATCTGAGTCCTTTCTTTCCATTTTATCCCGTCTCAGCCGTTTTGAGTGTTCCACGTGAACTGAATGAGATGTAGAAAAAGAAACGGTTTTTAACAACAAAAAAATCTCTATGTATTGGTACAATCGCTTTTTATTAACACACGTATATGTTTCCCGTCCCCCCATTTTTTATTTTCCCTGCTTAACCCAGCTCTCCAACGCCTCCCGCACATCAGTGACCTTGTCGTCAACGTACTGTACACCCACCTCCCTGTGGACCTTGGCAAACGAAATGGTCTTCTGGATACCCTCGCGCAGCTTGACGTGAGACTCGGCCACGGCGGGGAATTTCTGCTCGTACTTCCACGCCAGGTCGGAGACGTTCCTCATCGTAATGGGCAGCACGGTCCAGCCAGCGCCGACGCCCAGGGCGAAGGGCACGGTGGCGCGCAGCACGATGTTGCGGTTGCGGGTGAGGATGCTGCCGGCCATGGCGGCGACGAGGACGTAGATGGTGCCGGGCATGAGCTTCTCGCCGCTCTCGCGCGGGGGCGCCAGGGAGGCGATTGTGCGGGTGAAGGACTGCTCGAGGTCAAAGGCCGAGTCGACGGTCTGGTTGACCTTGTTCTCGGCGGCGACGGCGACGTCGTAGAGGAACAGGCGCGCGCGGCCGATCTGGACGGCGAGGCGGTCGGTAGGGGCAGGGGTCCAGGATGGCTGCTCGTCCTTGTTGCTGCTGCTGTTGTTGTCCTGGATGGGCTGGCTCGGGAGAATCGCCGGCGGTGATGGTGCTGAGGGCAGCGGGGAGTAGTGCTCGGCTTCATCGTAGATGGGTTTTCTCTGTTCGAGTTACAATTAGGATGTCGTAGCCCTATAAAGAGAAGAGGAGGCAAAAGAATAGAGTCCCGTCTTCTCTACCATTTGAACATACCTTGGGAGCCTCAGCAAAGGCGACCGCTGGAGAAAAAGCAATACCACCCAGGGCGGCTGCGGCCAGCGGCGCAAAGCGCTAAATCAAAAGAAAGACAAGTCAATTAACCCGCACATACTGCTGAGAAGAAACGAATATCGGATTCCAGTTGCCTACCCGTTGCAGGAGCACTCTCGCGGCCATGATTGCAGGCGGTTCTGGCGAGCTTCGAGAAGTTTCAACGACGTATTTTTGGAAAAGGCGCTCATGCGATCGGATCTTGTCCCTACCCGCTCTATTCCGACTGATAGCGCGGCGCAGAGAAATTCCGGCCCGGGGGCTTGCCAGGTCATTGCCGAATGGGGAAATGCAAGAGACGAGCATGCTCTCTTGATCTCGTTGTTTTACTACGTGCTTTCTCAAATTTTGAGTAATAGGAGTAATTATCTCAGTAGTATTACTTGATACTTTTATCAGTTGTACACACATTTCTTTCTGCTCTTTTTTTGGCATAGCTTGTCGTCTTGGTAACCATGTTTGTCTCTAGCAAATCTATACCTAGGCCTCGAGTTTATGACCTTCAGAACAGCTACCTCTTCTTTTTGATGCTGGTCTTCTCTTCTTGTCTGCAAAACTCAACGTTTTTTAGGATGCTAATATCCATCCTTCATGATTATTTCGTACAATCACCAATCATAATTTAGACTTCATCTTTTTCGCGGCGGCTATTCTTTGCATCTGCTTTTGCGGGACTCCAGCACACATCTTCTCCACGGCCGTATAAGCCTCCTGCACAGTTGTATGCTCATATGCCCGTCTGTCATCTTGGAAAAACTGTTGCTTGATACTCAACAGGCTTGAATCGCTAAGATGACTCCCGAGATCTTTACCAAGCTCCTTGAGAACTTGGTTCAAGAATTCCAACGGGTCAGCTCCACCCGCGTTCGATCCTTGTGAGAGCGGCTGCAGAATCTTGTTCACGAATCCACATGCCAAAAGCTCTTCAGATGGAATACGCTTGCTCATCATCAGAGCTTCCTTTGCTTTTGCTACTCCGAGGCGGTCTCGCAACGCACGTGAGGCGCCGCCCTCGGCTGCAAACCCAAGCGAGGAGAATGGAAGAAGCAAGTAGGCATGAGGGCGAGCGTATATGAAATCGGCAAACGAGATCAGCGCCGCTGGGAACCCGACAACAGGGCCATTAAGTCCCACGACCAGAATCTTGGGGTGCGTATAAAACGCCCGAGTAAGGTCGATGTTGTTGAACAGCGATGCCGCCAAGATGTCTTTGCGGTTTGGCGCTGCCATTACTTTACCCAGATCAGACACATCCGCGCCGCTAAAGAGAGTTGATGACCGGGTTAGATACCAGAAAGCAAATTGAGCTGAGACTGGATGAATAAGTAACATGACATACGATGAAAAGAACCGGCCGGTCCCAATGAGCAGAGTGATGGCCACCTCATCGTGCTTTGCTATCTCTCGTAAACACTCCCCTAGAAAATAGAATTGCTCTTCATTGAAAGAATTCAGCCTTTCAGGCTGGTCGAGGGTAATTACAGCAATGCGCCCTTTATAATCAACATTGATAGCTTTGCTCGCCATTTTTATACGGTTCACAGAAGACAATAGCGGGATGAGGATAAGAGCTCGGGCGAATCAGGCTCTGGGCGATTATCAGGTTAGTAGATATAGCACAAGTACAGACATTACCTGGAACTACGAGTGTAACGACATCTGGACTTAGACCTAATTAAATTATTTTAGTTATCTAAGTTGTGATAAAAAAGCACATGCTGAATTGTATGCGACCAAAGTATTACTGTGGATCTCCTAAGCGTGTACGAACGCATTCTTCGATCTTACTTGGCGCAACTCAGCCGCAAAGTCATTATTGTAGCGCATTTCTTATTCGATAGTCTGTTCCATCATGCATTAGCCCATTGGCCCTTTTATCGGATAAATTTGCTCTTACAGATTTGTGCAAAGCTCCGGAAGGATCTGTGAATAGTAAATATATGATGGCTGCGGGGTGTGCATGTTCTGACCAGCAGAAAAGAACTCGTCAGCCCCCGTTGCTTACACGTCAATATTGACGCCCGCACGGAACGATGCGCATATTCCGAATTCCGGAATTCATAGCCTATGAGTTCGGTAGTTATAAAATAGATCGTGTTGTGTAAAGAGAAGTGACTTCCGTGCCCATGGAGTATTATGTTGTGTAATCGACCAAAAACGGTATTTATGCCAATATTATCACCTCCATCATTTAAGCTACATGTTTAGTAAACACTTATAAGTGTGTGTGTAAGACTGCAAGAGCATACATAGTCACATAGACTTATACGATAACAACATCTAATCAGAAACTTTATAAACTCACTATATACAGTGAAATTCAAGCTCTACCTTGTATGCATTCTATGTTCATTGGTGGCATAATGGAGCACTTTTCTAAAACGTCTTATCTCATCCCCATATTGCAGTCACAAGACTATGAGATTGTCCCGTTTTGGGGGCGAATCCGCAAGTCCAGCGGCGAAGACTTTTTCTTTTCTGAGACTCTCGCAACAGAATCGACGATACCATACTGCTTGATGCTAAAGAAAGCAACTCTTCCACCATTGGTAGAAGTATCAGAGGTCAATCCTACCACAGGTCCAAAAGAAAAGTCTATACACTCCTACGAAAATACGCCTCCGCACTTAATCACCCTGTTTGAATTATCCAGTCCGGGTGTTTGCTCGCATCCGTCAACCGCACATGGCGGGCTCTTGTCAACTATTCTTGACGAAGCCATGGCTCATACATTGGCTGTGCACTTTTCGACTGATCCAGAAAAGATTGACGACGTCAGGAGAACTCTGTTGACATCGAAACTCGAAGTGGGATTCAAACGCCCAGTCCGGACTCCAGGGCTTTTGATAGTGAAGTCATGGTGTGTAGCATACAATGGACGGAAGCATTGGATGAGGGCACAAGCTGTTCAGATAGAGCCTGTCAAGGGTCAAACACAAGGACGAGAAGAAGTCAAGTTGGAGGCGTCTGGGTTGTGGATTAAGACGAGTTCTAGATTGTAATTCTGATAATATATACTTTATTCTATATACTCTGTTCTCAATTGTTCGCTCAACAGGTGTTAGCAGGGGACAAGCAAGGAACAGAGATGGGAGCCAGATCCTCTCACGCGGTCTATACGATATCGGACGTCAGAGGCGTAAACATAACATCCAAAAGACTTGATTCTTATAAGCAATAATCTATGGGAATAGCTGTCTAGGTATATATCCTCTGGTGGGATCTCTTTCCTCCGGCTACTGGGGATGTCAGGGCAGGCGTCCCCCAACAGGTGCGTTCATCTAAGCTGCAGAGTTACTTGGAGCCCCTTGGAATCTCGTTTGGGAAATGGCGCCCCCAAATCGTGAACCGAAATAAGATCATCTTTCGTCGTGCCACTGTTTTCCACGTTGAAATGGGTGAATATATACGCAATCGCAATATATATTTCAGAGAATGCTAAGCTACAAGTTTTGGCCCAGTGTCAGCCCACAACTCTCGGATTTCAATGCAAGACGATTGCCTTCACTTACTGCATTCCAGGACATATCCTTGACCCAAGGCCAAATGGGCTGAGATACTTTCTCAATTGTTTGCTGTCTGGCTGGAGCCACCGGTCCGGACGGAAAGTGAGCGGTTCCGGGAAGAGCTGCGCATCTTCATGATGAAGCCTGGATGTCATGCTCACCGGCACCTTTCAATATCACATATCTAATTAGCCATCTCGAACAGTCATTATGGGATAGAAGAAGAAGAAGCAGTTTCAACATACACCAGCAGGTATGCGCCATTGCCGATATTGTACGTCGCTAGTTTTGTTTACTCTGGGCAGCCTTGAGCCAACACCATGAGCGAATCTAAGGGGGCACATGAGATGTCAGCACATTTCAGTCAGCTCTTTGCACTGTGTGAGCTCGTGTGACCCTACCGAAGCCCTTCCGTAATAACCGCAGACTAAAGTTACGAATTCGGCAACATGTCAGCTTGTGGCTACTGCTAATTCCAATTCCATATCCATATGGTTACCCAAAGGAGAATAACTAACCAAGTAAGGCAGATTCTGAAGGACTGTGATGTCGAGATGCTCGTTTAGGCTGATCTGCGCGTCGACAAGCTCTTGGCGTAGCTTCTTTTGAATATCCACATTTTGAAGGATATAAAAAGTAGTCACGGATAATGCGTAGCCGGTCGTCTCGGTACCAGCAACAATAAACTGCTCTGCTTCTTGCAGTAAACGTTCATGGAAGGCCCCAGGCTCCCTGTAGGTGTTGGAATTGATACATTCAATAAGGCATGAGCGTGATTTTCCCGTGTCGGATGGCTTTTGGATCGTCTCATCAACGCAAGCCTCCAATCTCTAATCAACTTGTCAAAACGTATATTCCATTGCCCCAATGTGTAATGGCAGAATCTTGAATTACTCACTCTGATAAGTTTTATCAACGATTTCGCGGGGTTAGTCAACAATCGCCTGAAAATGATATCGGGCATCATCATCATTAGGGGCTGAAGGAATCCGAGAAATCTCATAGTAGTGGCTGCTTCGAAGAACAATCTCAAGCCAGATTGAAACTCCTCGCCCAAATCTTCAGAGTCAAGCAAGTTCAGCGAAGCTGGCAAAGCATATGCCGACACCGTATCCGCTGCTATACACCGATATAAGTTTGACATGTTTACCGGCCTTCCCATTTGAGCGTGATGGCTCATGATGAGACCAGCTTGCTTCACTTTCTCAAGAATGGTGGGCACGAAGCCTCTAACAGCGACTGGAGATAGTAGGTTCTTGAACGTTGCGCGTCGACTTCTATGCACATCGTGATGTTCGGTACTGACGGTTGCGCCAGGTCCACCAAAGACTCTATACCACCAGCCATATTTGTCCAGCTTTTTGACTGGAGAAAATGCTTCCACGCAGAAATCAGGATCTTTGATATGCACTTCATATGGACTAATGCGTACAATTGGTCCTGCAGATACTATCGTCAGCCTCTTATAAGTCACCAGCATTCTAAGACTCTCTAACCATATTTTTCATGCATCTTTTCAATATGGCGTGTATACTGTCCACTGCATATGACTTCATAATAGAATTCATAGAGAAGAGTGCTTGCTGCCAATTTGGGACCTGGAAACTTTGCGAGAGGTGAAAACCAAAGATGGTATATCGCTGTTCCCGCCTGCCAAAGGGCAAGTCCACCAAATAATAGCACAAAGATAAACATTGTTATTTGTTATAAGTCACATTCAAATGCAGTGATAGAGCTTGATTTTAGGTTATCTTCATTTTCTTTCTTTAACTTGCACTGTCTATATATGCCAACGATGAGAAAATTAATTACTCTTCATTACCTATCAACTCAAGTTGTACAATGATAGGTGTGCAGCCTTTTCACATGTGATGCTTACTTTAGTCATGATTGCATCTTCGGCAGGATGCCCATCGTTGTGTCGAATTTTCATACGTCTCTTTTCGCAATATTGTTTCAAATAAGCGCTAAAATCTTATTTAGTTCGTAGTCCGCAGTTTTATTTGAGCCGCAAGACGTTATCTGGTGTTCAGACACTCTGTTTCGTGGATATCTCGTTCTTTTACACGGCGTGACCACTGTGGATCACAATCACAATACGGAGGAACAGGTACCGAAACGGATAGGATAACTGGAACGATGCATAAGCAGCAACATGAGCACATATAGGTGTGTATATTCTTATTGGTCTGAGAAATGCCGTAATTTACTGCACATGAGTCTTATCTTGGATTTCCTTACTCATCGTATGCCTGTGTACGCTTGCCGATGAGCCATCGGAAGTCAATATTTTCGTATTTACGGATGTATCTGCGGATATTTAGTACCGCTAATAGCTTAGGCGGGGAAAAGCCGCTGAAAAGGCAGTTGCCTTATCTAGAACGAGCATATAGAGCTTGATTTTTGCAGAGATGACGCTGCTACCTTCGGCTTGTCTGACTATTGATTTCGTCTACTTGGTCGGCTGACTTGGTTAGCTCGTACTGGAGAAGCATACCTAGATATAGGATGGCTAAATACAAGCCTAAGCCCTTTGTCCCTAGCATTGTGGGTTCGCATATGAGACTCCGGAGGCTATTTCGGGGCGGGCATCTTGATCAGGCATCGTGGCCGGAGATTTTGACCGGGATTTCTGATCAGGAAATCCCGGAGACATTGCGACAAGATATCGAGGAGACAGGTGGTCAATATGCGCAGCAGGAGTTGGAACTGAGCCTGGCTGAGTTTGATAAGGGTGTGCTAATTCTAAAACCTCATTATCTGGCAGTATAGTAGCAGAATCTATTGGCCGGTCTGTAGGGCACGCTATATTGAGGCTACATTGAGATTGCACCTAATTGACCCATCAGTTGAAGATGTTGAAGCTATTAATCTTGATTAATTGTATTCAACGATTCGATTGAGATCTTATTTGAGGAGTCTATTTTGAATTATCAAAGCAGCTTAATAATATGTTTAGACTTGGACATAAGAGAGGGTTGGCTTGCCGCATTTGGAGACTGGTAGAGTGTTTGGTTTGACTTGGTTATTTTCATGTCATAGTTTGAACTGTTAGCTAGCTATTGAAAAGCCTTAATCCCACGATCAACAGCCAATGAGAAGCGAATTCTGCTTTGGGTAATGAACTTCAAACGTTTGAAGTAATTTGGCGTATAAAAGGCAAGATATGTGTCTCTAACTCAAGCTGAGATGCGAGATAGAGGCCATAAACTGTAGGACGAGAGCACTAACAATACCACGCCCGGTATTTACGGTTTAAAAGAGCCGTCTTGATGCGAACAATTATTGACCATAGTTCGATCACTTTTCAAGAAAATGTGGAGTTTAAGATAACAACCTTGTTCTTGAGCGGCACGGCACGAGACCAGCGATCCCTTCCATCTGTGTAAGTGACTCCGGAAACGCGGAGTGAGGGGCTCATGGTTTGTAATAAATGAAGAACAATCGATTGGATAATAAATCACTATCTCAAGGCACTAAGAAAGAATCACTCGAATCATTTTCAACGCTCAAGGTAAAACTATTTTTGAACGTGTAGTTGAGCAGCAAAGTCGCTCTCATCAACGCTCAATTGGAGGGGCATCTTCCAGATATAGCCGGCGTTCGGCATCTCGCGGGTACATCCTGGAGGTACCCGCCCCTCGCAACTCCGAAATCGTCCTCCCACCTTGAATTTTTCCTGTCTCGTCACAGCTCCCAATTGCAATCGCCCCTTGACCATGCGTCGCGCATGTTTATTATGAGAAAACCTAGTGTTTCGCATGCATCCAGCATCCGTCTTTATCTCCAGCCCCAACAATGCTTAGCTCCAGAGGTTCCCGCCTCTGGGTCTGCACCCGATGCTCTCGTCGCGTGATCAAAGGGAAGCAAAACCTCAACCAGATCCGATGGGAATCAAGCACCGCGACTGCAACTGCGACTGCGACGCCGGCAACAGACTCTGCGAAGCTCCCATTCGACCACTTCACAAGCTCTCGACACGACGATGCGGTCCTCCGCGAGTTGTTCGACGCCCCATCCGGGCGAACCTTTGCCAGCTTCAGCCTGAAGAAGAGCCAAGGCCTGTTCAAGAACCGCTACCTGACCAGCCCCGATGGATTCCTGGCCTTTGCGCAGAAGAACCTGGAGAGAGCGACCAAGATTGTCCACCGCGTGCTCTCGGCGTCGACGGCCCGCGAGTACCAAACCCTCGTCCGCGATCTCGACCGGCTGAGCGATTTGCTATGCCGAGTCCTCGACATGGCCGACTTCGTCCGCATGACGCATCCCGACGTGCGCTTCCAGCAGGCTGCGGCAGATGCCTGGTCAATGGTGTACCAGTACATGAACCAGCTCAACACCATGACGGGACTGAGCGACCAGCTGGGGGAGGCCATGTCCCGACCCGAGGTCACTTCGACCTGGTCCGAGGAGGAGAAGCAAGTGGCAGAGCTTCTGAAGCTCGACTTCATGAAGTCTGCCGTCAACCTGCCCAAAGCCGCGCGAGACAAGTTCGTTGAGCTCTCCTCGCACATTAGCGACGTCGGCTCGGCATTTGTCCAGGGCATGGAACCGGAGCGCAAAGTCGTCACGCTGCCATCTCATCGCTTCTACGGCTTATACCCCGGCCTCGCCGCATCGCTCAAGACCCGGTCCAACATCTCGATCCCCACAACCGGCCCCGAGGCCGCGGCCGCCCTGCAGAGCGTCTACGATGAGGAGACCCGGAAGGAAATATATCTCGCCCAGAGAAGAGCATCTGGCCGGACAATCAAGCTCCTGGAGACGATGCTGAAGCTCCGAGCCGAGCTGGCTAACCTCGCCGGCTTCCAGAGCCACGGACACATGGCATTGAAGGACCGAATGATGGCCAAATCGCCCGCCTCAGTGATGGAATTTTTACTTGCCCTGAGAGACCACAATGCCCCCATCATTCAGCACGAACTTGGCGAGTTAACTCAGAAGAAGCGCGAGAGACTCGCTATGCAGGATGCCACCCTTCAAGCCTGGGACCGAGACTTTTACATGGAGCAGATCAGGGCCGAGATGCGATCCAAAGTCCGCTTCGATGACCATCTCACGGCCTACTTCTCCGTCGGCACCGTCATCCAAGGCCTATCCCGCCTATTCGACCGCCTGTACGGCATCCGCCTTGTCCCGCGAGAGACTCTCCCAGGCGAAACTTGGCATCCAGACGTCAAGCGCCTCGACGTGGTGTCCGACAACGGCGGACAAGTCGCCGTCCTGTACTGCGACCTCTTCTACCGCCCGCAAAAGTCGCCAAACCCGGCACACTTCACCGTCCGCTGCTCCCGCGAGATCCTCCCCGATGAAGTCGAAGAAGCCGGCCTGGACCTCAGTTCCCCCAACACACCTGCTTTCGAATCCGCCGAGCAGGCCGCCAACGACGGCATGGAAATCTCCACGCACGACGGCACCCTGAAGCAGCTCCCCACCATCGCCCTCGTCTGCGACTTCCCCAAAAACGACAACGCCAAAGAGCCCGCCTTCCTCTCCTTCTACTCCGTCGAGACGCTCTTCCACGAAATGGGCCACGCCATCCACTCCATCCTCGCGCGCACATCCTTCCAAAACGTCTCCGGCACCCGCTGCGCCACCGACTTCGCCGAGCTCCCCTCCACCCTCATGGAGCACTTCGCCGCCGACCGCACCGTCCTCTCCCTCTTCGCCCGCCACTGGAAGACCGACAAACCCTTGCCCTACGACCTCGTCGCCGAGCGCATTCGCGTCTCCAAGCGCTTCGAGGGCATCGACACCGAGCACCAGATCCTCCTCGCCATGGTCGACCAGGCCTACCACTCCCCAGAAGTCACCTCCTCCTCCTCCTTCGACTCCACAGCCGCCTTCCACGACATCCAGCGCCGCTTCGCCCACGGGCCTCGCGACCCCCCCGAGACACGCTGGCAGGGCTTCTTCGGCCACCTACACAGCTACGGCAGCACCTACTACAGCTACCTCTTCGACCGCGTGCTCGCCGAGCGAGTATGGCGCGTCGTCTTCCGTGCCGGCGAGGACGGCGCCGCCATTGGCCGCGAGAACGGCGAGCGCCTAAAGGAGAACTTGCTGAAATGGGGCGGAGGCCGAGATCCCTGGACGTGCCTTGCTGATACGCTGCAGGATGACCGCTTGGCCCCTGGAGACGAAAAGTCCATGGCTCTGGTGGGCAGCTGGGGGCTCAGAGATGGTTTGACTTACTAGTGATGTGATTCATTTTTAGGAGTAGCGAATTGAATAGGTGTCGAAAGGCCCAATATCTTTTATGAATACCGGGAGACAAGGAAAAAAAAGAAAGAATATTTACTCGGCGCAAAGGGGGGAGAGCTTACAGTATAAGTCGTAAGACCAATACGTCTGGCAAAAACCACTCTCCCATAGACATCTCACAATAGAATACCACGCTTTTAGAAATAAATTTTTTACTTATTCCCTTAAAATTGCCGAGTCAATTTTCTCTGGCAATAGTCTAATGTATATAAAGCACGGTTTGATCCTCCCCGTACCGGATGATGATATTTTGTTCCAGTTCTCCCTCCCAAACCCTTGTTGACAAAAGAACTTCCGTTGGCCCACGCCTTTCAACACCTCAAAGAATAAAATGCTATAGTCAAAAGCTTCAGACGATATTTGACATCGTTTGAATGGGGTATAATATACAAGTAATGAAGCGCTAGCAACTTTTCAATAACACCATATGCTAATGTTTCTCTCCGGCTGCAATCCAGACTCATTCCGATTTAAAATGGCTGCGATACGGTTTGCTGCGATGCGGGGTGTGCCATGAAATGCGGCGTTGTGAGTTTAGAAAGCGACAGTATCGCATCGGGTGAGCTAAATGGCAGATCTGCCTTGGAGTTGTGATGCTCGTCGTTGAGGGTAGCAAACGATTCGGGGTAGTCTCTGTCACCGGATTCGGTTCCAATGCCGGAATCTTCGTTCTGAGCCTTTCTGAAGCTTCGTCGAGCCTTTTTTGTCCTCAAATCGTCGTCCTCCTCCTCATCTTCGCCAAAATCCAAGACTGGTGGCTGGCCAAAGGACGGGGACGCTACCTCATCATTTGTTTGGGCTGCACGAGTTGCGGGTATGCTTTTGGAAAGGCGACCAATTTGTCGACTGAGCTCCTTGACCTGTGCCTCTAGTGCTAGTCGAGCAGCTCTGTCGCTCTCCATTGTTGATACGAGTGCATTGTAGGTCTCATGATCCATGAGAAAGGACCCGGTCGGCACAGATTTGGATAGGGTTGGAGCTGCAAACATGGGCTGCTTTGATGTTTGTTGGCTTGCTGATCGTGTATAGGTCGGTATCTCGCCAAAGGAGAGTCTGGATGTTCCAGAAACTTGGGCAGAAGAGTGAGAAGATGGTCGAACCGCCGTTGAAAAGGTAGATGACCATGCAGGCATGGGCGGCGCCAATCGTTCAGAGGAGTCGTTTGCCAATCCATCGCCTGGAGATGCTTGACGGGCATGCGTCAAAAGACCTTCCACAAGACTCAGACGATTTTCGACTTGGCCAATCCGCGTCTCCAAGCCAACCGCATCTGTAATTTTCATGCTCGCAGTACCGGCAAACTCGGCCATATAAGGGATATTCGAAAAGGTAAAAGGTTTCACCGGCGAATCAATCTCGTCTACTAGCTCTGCCTCATCATTGGACTTTTGGCTAACAAAGGTGCGCCGATCCCCGCCGTCGGGAGCAGTCGATGATATCGGTGATGCGGGCTCCTGATCATAACTTTCCCGCCAGCCACGAGGGAATTCATCGCTGCGGCGTCGTGTGATGTTGGGAGCATCCGCGGTTTCGATCAACGGGATAAACGATAAGCTCCTTGATCTGCGCTTGAGGCCAGTGGTTACGGCACGGCCAATCTCTTCAGGGTCATGGCTGGCATCAACCAGCCTGCTACCCCAGTCAGTCGTACTGGCAGGGCGCGGAGTCAGGCCGGTTGGCTTCACCCAGCGCGCACTGGCCGGATGGGCATCACTGCCAGTTCCATTTCGTTTCCTTGAATGCCCGCTATAATCGGCGTTTACTGGGCTGCGCGCGCTCCGAATGGCCATGACATCCTCGGGGCCAACGGAATGAGAGCGCAAGGCTCGATCATATTCAGAGATGGGAAACGTTTCAATTTTCTTTGGAGGTATCCTTTGCGCAGGTATGGAATCCCTCGCAGCATCCTGTTTATCCTGTTTGCTTGCATCAATACACGATCCACAGAAAGTTATAAATCACTAGATTCGCAGAGTGATAGACTTACACTGAAGTGCGAATCTTGCCTTTCGTCTTCCGAATCAGCAGAGGCTAGAGGTGTTATAGGCCGGGGAGCTTTTTTGCGGCCAAATATTTTGCTAAGAGCCGTTCGGAGGACTGATCTAGATCGCTCAGGTGTTGAAGAGATACGGCGGCGAGCAAACTCGGCTGACGGCCGGGAGGTTTCCATGGAGGGCTTGGATAAGTTGAGCTGCGGAGGCGGTGCGTATCCAGAGGCTCCGGTATCGTGTGGTCTCATGTACAGTTCCTTATCCAGCGGATCTTGCATTGGAATTGGGCTGGAAATTTGGCCCCGAACTATCCTGGAGCTGGGCTGTGGGCGAAGTTTGGGATTATTGTTGTTGTTGATGGCAGCGGCGCTCGATGACCGGGGCATGCCTTGGGGAGGAAGGGGGGATGTAGATGATCGATGCATCTTTTATTTTTCAATAATACTGAGAGAAATGACATGTAAGAAGGAAAAGGAAAAGAAAACAATGAAAAAGGAAATTGCTAGTTTTAAATGGAGCAGAGTAAGTTGAACGAGTGTCGAGGATTGAGTTGTAGAGAAGGGGCGATTGGTAAGTAGGGAAAGCTTCAGCGGCAGGAAACCGAGTTTGCGTATTATTATTATTTGATCTCGGTTTCCTGAGGAGCAACTCTCAGACCAGTTGGTGAGAGCTTCGGCTTTTCCGTCGTCAGGTTGTGTTAATTTTGGCGCCAGGTCAGTCCGTCCAGTCGGCTATGTCAGGTCAGTTTGGCGAGAGCAGAGGCCGTTCTGAGTCCTCAGTCCACTGACAGCTCGCCAGGCTACGACGGAGCGATCAAAGTCAACTTGGGCCAGGCGTTGTCGAAGGGTCCGAGGGGCCAAATCGCGGGGCAAGAAGAAGACTGGAGCAAAAGATAAAAAAAGAAAAATATCACTATTAAGAAACGAGAGACACGAAATAAGGTCAATGCGATCTGGCCAACGGCGCCATGGCCAGTCGCCACAAGAAAGTTGCAGAAGTTGAAGTGGCACAAGGTAGCAATGGAATGGAGCGGCGATGAAGATTGATAGCTGGCGGCCACGACCGGGGCGAGCGAGTAGCTGGTCTTGTGTAATAGGCCTTGGACAGGCGGAGGATGAAACACGATTGCGCCCTGGTCGCATTTTAACGGAGCCCCCAGATGGCCCCAAGCATGCAGCCAGGCTAGCGAGTGATGAGGAGTTGGCATCGAGCCGGCCGAGGCGCATACTTTGAAACGCCCAGGAAGGGCAGGTCAGAGACGCGCCAGAGAGCCGCCGTGGACATGAAAGAGCTCGTATGGGCTGCGGTGCACCGGTATCAGGCCGGCCGCCTTATTCCCCTTCGAGTACCTTCACCTGGACCAGGGCCGGTGTCTCTGTCCTGTCCATGTATAATAATACGGCGAGCTGCTGTCCGGAGCGCGGAAGACGGAACGCAGATTCAAACGAGGGTCGCGTGCGTGGAAATACGGCCTGCACTTCGTATGTACCAGATCCAAGCATGATGGAGCAGCAATGCCCAGGGCCCCTCTCTTTCTGCTGCCTGCTGCGAGCTGCAGTGCCGTTCTAGCAGCCACCGGGGCGGCACAAGCACGGCGGCAGGCGAATGGCTGGCCGCGCAGCCAAGCGTCTCTTGCTGGCCGAGACCATCGCTCTGCATCAATGGCGCCGGACGAGGCCATTTGACAGACGTCTGTCGTGGCAGCTGCAGCCACAATCCGCAGCGACTCAGGATTCCCCGTTCTCCAGCAGGGCTCTCCGCCAAGAGATGCCGGCCACGTTGTTCGCAGGGGAGGGCTGATGGGGTCTCGGGATTGGACCGCACTCCGACAGCACAGAAAGGGGCTCCCGGCGCAGCGTCGCGAAGCCTGTGCAGTACGCAGCGAGAGGCAGCTTCGGGATTGATGCTGGATCACTGGCCGGTGGATGCCATACTGGACTATACTGTAAAGCTCGCCGCAGGACAGGGTCTCTCCGGCCTTGGCTCCTCGATTAAGCGACCAGAGACGATGCCTGGCTCCAATAGCGCTGGCGGTGGCTGTAGCTGCGAGTCGCTGCAAGGACTAGCAGATGCTGGTGGGCGGCTGAACCCGACGGGACCGCCACCATTGATATCCATTGAGATAGCTGGTGTTGCTATCTGATGCTAGTGGTGGAGGTGGTGGTGCAGCTTCCGCTGTGGCTTGTCAGAGGCCGAGACGGCAGGCAACTTGAATGCAGAGCCAATTCTGGCGAGATACTGATCACGGAGCCAGAGCAACGAGAGCGGCGAGAACAGGCAGTCCAATGTCACCAACAAAGAGAAGAATTGCGGCAAAGAGACCAAAGATCTGCATCTGCACCGGCAACGTCCCTGTCAGCGTTACCACCGCTAACGGCTCCAAGCTTCAGGTGAGAGGCGCCGTAAGGCACTACTGCAGCGGCAGGTGCGAAACGAGTGAGCTCTCAAAGCTGCACCTTCCCGAACCCATGGCCTGTGGAGATGACAAATTGGGCGCGCACAGAATTTCCGCTCACAGCTTAATTTGATACCTACAGTACCATTAACAATCACAGTCAGAGAGAAGCCAAAATGATCCATGCCATGGACTTTAGAAACTCCAAACTCCGCAGCTGCTCAATTCCCTCTCCTCGCTCTCATCAACTAATATCCAGTAGCGTATCATAAACTACAGCCAGCACAGACACGCCGTACTCGGGCCGGCATGGTGTTGAAACATACAATATACAGCACGAACGAATTATGGGACTGGCTGCGGAATAACGCAACCCCAAGCAGAAAATCGACTCACTCACCGAGAGTCCTGCGACCATCTTGCTGCCAGGATTTTGTGACAAGTGACGAGACAGGCCGCGCTACTGTCCCAGGCGCATGCGTGGCTCGTCTCAAGGGCTGCCAAACGGGCGCCTATTCCATCTTGTATTCCATCTCCGAAGCAGGCCAAAATAGCTCAATCTTTTCTTCCAGTTTCGTTCTACCGAGCACTTCTTCTCTCGGGGCAGCGGCCGTTTGCGATTTCTTGCTTTCGTTGTCGTGTGGAAAGCTACCGAGATATTTCTGCTAGGGGAAGCGAAAACCTCCCCTGTCAGACCATGGCCGCCAGGGAATCCCAAAGCGCCGGTGGAATTGCTGTAATTGGCTCTGTGATTGTCTCTTCTGGGAAACCTGCTCAGCGAATATTGCAAACTCGTGGCTCCCCAGATTCGTTTCTCGTCTCTCCATCTCTACTCCAGACTGATCCTTTTTCTTTTTTTGTTTCCTCCGTCATGCGGCCAGCCAAGCCGGAGCCGTTATCCGACTAAGCACTATGCAAAGCATGAAGTGGCTGTAAGCCCTGTTGCACTGGTCGCGTCGCCCAATCGTTTCAGGCCATTTTGGAGATCTGGACCAGGGGGTCTTTGATGCGTGTGGTTCATGCGGTAGATCCGCGTGGCTTCAAGCCTCCTTCTAGAAGGAATGTAAGGGAGGGCCGTGCTTCTCTCATCTCAAATTGCCACGCAGAGGCCACACGGCAGCCATGCCCTCTCGAGATGCCAGTTCGTGATTTGTGATGGCGATGATGTGCATATTCTGTTTGCTTGACGCGGAGTAAATGTGAGCATGGCTGGTATCTCGCTGCTGGGATTGGCAGGTTGACGGAAATCGTCTCCCCTTACCGAGATGAGATACCGTCTGGCTAGCGAAAAAAGGCATGTCTCCCCAGCCTGAGAACATGTACGTACACAGCAGGGGATAAAAAGAAAAAGCCCTCAGAAGCTACAGTACGCCGACAGGTTTGAAGATATCATTCAAACCATCGCCCACCTGCAGCTTCTCGCAGCAATATTACCCTTTCGAGCACCAGCATCACACAAACTTGCTCCAATACTCCCACCTCATTCCACCTCAACCGACAAACAGCATGTACCTAGGCAGAACGGTAGTACAAGCGCACAATTACACGGCATGGGATCCTCAAAAGATGTCAGACGGAATGAATTCCAAGATTTGACGGCAAATAAACATCGAGACCCGTCGGAAACGCAGAGCGCCGTCGTACCGCAAACACGTGAAATTAAAGTGTAATTTCAAACCGGCGTTATTTCCATCTAATTGACCAATTCGGGCATATGTAGAGTGTAACCTTGGTTACCTAATCTCGGTTTGTCTAATTCTTTTTCTTTTGGCGAAATGGCTGTTAATAATCATGGCGTGGGATGCCCTATTTCCGTAATTGACCATGCTATTTAGTCAGTATCGAGTATATTACCTTCTCATGATGCTTAACGGTAACTTGTACTTCGTATTTCTCTTTCGTTTATTCTGCATCGTGGATGCAGTCTATTTCGATTTACTCTCGGCTAACTTCGGTCGCGTCAGGATACCTCAGATCGGCATTTTCTTCTAGAAACTCCATCCACTTTTTCAGAAAATTGCTTCCCCTACGAGAACAAGAAAAAGAACTTTCGTCAGTACTTCCGCTTCCATCTTATGGTCATCAATGGGAGGAAAGGGACGTTACCTCTTGACCGTCTCGGAATCTCCAATGACCGTCAATGATCGCTTGGGCCGTGTCATGGCGACTGTCACTTATTAATGTCGCTGCGCTGGACCACGGAAAATGGGAATCAACAGGAAGTTTCCACATGCAAAGAAACTTACCATTCAGTCGTCTCTTTTCTCCCAAGAAACCCACCTCGCCGTCGGGGTTACTTCGCACAAGACTCACAATCACAGCCTCCTTTTCACGCCCCTGGAAGCCATCCACGCTGCCAAGTTCAATGCCCGGGAATTTCTCTTTCAACGTTGCAAGCGCAGCAAGCTAGCTCTCACTAGTCAGCATTGATCGCTCTCTCTCTCTCTCTCTGTGTGTGTGTGATATATGAACTCATCTCTCTTAAAAAGAGTACGAATGACGGAAGAGTGTGTTACTTTACCTGTGCATTATAAGGGGTGACGACAGCAATGTCCTCGGGTCGGACGCCGGCTTCTACCAGCTGCTTCACATGCAAGCGCACCAGAGCCGCTTCCATGTCATTGCTCTTACTCTCGCCGTGCAGATTGCCCCTTTTCGGGCCATCTTTGTCGTCATCTTCATTTCGCTCTGGGAAATCACCTCCCTGGGTATCAATAAAGATGAGCGGCTCTGTAGTGTCCTCGTTGCCTTCCACGTCGTATTCTAGATCCTTGAGCAGCCGTGCTTTCACCGCGTCAGCCGCAATGAGCTCCGACCCGTAAAGCTCGTCTGACGGAAACCGCATAATCTTTTCATGCATTCTATATTGCGTTGTAAGCATACGCTTGATAGCCGGCCCGTGAAGGGCCAGAAGACGGTCAAAGAGAGTGGTCTCAAGCGTCATGCCCCTAATGACAGACGTGCCGTCATCGCCTTCCTTGATTTTCGATGCCTTGACTTTTGAATTAAGGGATTTGATTGTCGGCGGTAGTTGTAAATGGTCTCCGGCGCAGACTACTTTCTTTGCTGACAGCAACGGGACCCAGCACTGCGCTTCCAGAGCTTGACTCGCCTCATCAATGATGACCACGTCAAACTGTTCGTTCCTCAACTGGAAGCCTCCGGCACCGTGTAGCGTTGCAAGAACAACTTTGCTACCGCCAACGAGGTTGCTGACGCATCTCCTTTCCCGCTCTCTGTATTCCTTCCGTAGCTCCTTCAAGTCGGTGTAGATGGCTTTCCGTTCTTTACCACTCTTGGTCTTTTTGATCGACGCCTGTTTAGCGTCCATCTCCGCGCGGACATCTTTGACTATAGCACCAGCCTCAGACGTCTGCGTGAGAACATCGAGAGAATGGTTAAGAACAGATGGTAGGAGCCGAGCAGGGTGGCCAAGACGAAGGATGGGTATCTTGTGCGGCGAGAGCCGCTCGACAATGTTGTCAACAGATATATTAGACGGGCCGCAGACCAATATTCTCTGATTACGCTTGATCATTTGCAGAATCAGCTCTATCAGTGTGTGAGTCTTGCCGGTCTTTGCCCAAATTAGCATCACCAAGCACTTTACAAGGAAGAGTACGTCACAGGATGTTACTAGTCAGTCACTTACTCCAGGAGGTCCGTGGATGAGGGCTACTTCTCGAGAAGCCAGCGCAAATCGAATGGCATCCTTCTGCGAATCATTCAGAGTTGGGTCTATCCATTCAAGGTTACCAACCTCATCGCTCGTTGATAGCTTCTGCGGTACCGGTGAAGGGCTCGATAGTCCAAACAGCACCCTGATGAAGCTCGAGTACTCTGACTCTCCCATCTTTTGTAGCTTCTCCATAGTCTGGTTCATACTTGTCATGGTCAGCTTAAAGACTCTGGCTTAGATAATTATATAAAGCGTTTCGTCACTCCCTACCGTCGATATGTAACCTCGTCGGCCAGTTTCACCATCCACACTCTCCCCGAAAACAGAACATCATCTTTCCCCTCATCCAGCGCGACGTTAACTGCCGCTCTCTGTACCCTTGTAACTACGCCTCTGGCTCCCTTCTTCTCGAGCTCTTTGATTTCTCTCTTCTTTGCACTCCCCGCCGGCTGCTCTGCCACCAGGACAATGTCCCCAGTCCGAATGCCATGTTCAGGCAGCTCCCCCGTGCTTGAAGTTGCGCTGTCTGGACTCAGCTCCAGCACTGTCTTGCCCCCCAATCCTGTCCGCTGCGAGGAGATGTTCAGATTTGTGATGGCCAGTCCAGCTCGCTGCAGTCCAGTGGGGCTGTGATTGGTGATGAGAGTGCTCGTTTCCTGGATCTCGCTCTGCAGCTCCTGGTCTAGCAGGGCAAGCTGGGTCGCTGCAAAAGACGGCACGTATACTGAATCCATGGACGGCGTCTTACGAAGCTGCAGCGGACAGCTTGGAGAACTCCAGATGTGTCAAGTCAATTCGCAGCCTGTAGTATGCGAGGGGTGACAAAGCGGCACCAAAACCCCCACCATCTGGATTATGACATACCACACCCATATCTGCTCTTATCGGCCTTGGGAAAGCATCGATAAGCCGACCAGCACATTTTCACATGTACGACAAACAGGAGTGCACAAGTTAAACGCGAGCCAATTGGTAAAAATGGTCTGTTTTGTACATGTTCAACTCTCTTTCTTTTCAGTCTGCGAAATTGCCAAATAGGTATTAATTGGTGAGATTCGCTTTGATCCATGTGCAGACACGCGCCTGATACACCATATTAAAGAGTAACAAGAGTAACAGAAATCCAAAATACAAAACCCAAAACCAAAAGTATCTCTACGCCGATCCCAATGCTGCCCCGAAAGTATGTAGCTCCGTTAAATCATTCTTTAGAAGCGATGATGATAAGAAAAAGATGACCTCCAATCACTCAGCACCACACTACGAAGGTTGTATGACAATGACAACCACCAGTGACAAAATCATGAGGGCCAGCGCCACGAATGACATGATGAGGATGGTCCCGCGACTGGCCGGAAACTTGCCCTTGAGGATCCATTCCTGTGCGTGAAAATAGCGTTTGCAGCCCAGCAGCAGCGTCACGATGCTGATCACGAGGAATGTCGCACCCAATGGCCGGCCCATCTTTTGCAGTTTTGTGTGATCGAAATCGACCATGTTCGCAGAGGCAGAGCCGGTATTGAGGCGGAACAGCTGCGTCACGGCGACGCCAATGGATGCAAAAGCTAAAGAGGTTCGTAGCCATGCTAGAAAGGTGCGCTCTAGAAGTAAACGAAAAAAAAAAAAGAAAGGTCAGCGTGGTCAATCAATTGGTTTCTCCGAGACATGCAGCGCAGCCGTCGATGTGCACGTGGGCGCTGTGGTGGAAGTGACATGTGCGACATACCGAGAGCGAGGTGGTCTCTTGCGACACTTCCTTTGTTCTCCAATTCGAGGGATTGAAACTTGCGAAACGTCTCCTTCGTCCACGATGGCTTCGACGAGTTCGCCTTTGCTGGCCCGTCCGCCTCTTCCGAGCTGGCGGCCCCGTTCCGCCGCCTCAAAGAGTGGTGGTCCTGGTCTCTGTGGTGGTTGTGGTTCTCATTCTTCTTCGTCGTATCGCTGTATGAAACTTTTCTCGGCGGGCGGGAGGTGTCGCTTTCATCGCTCGTCGGAAGCGTCTGGTAGCCCAAGATTCCTCTTCCCATCGCTGCCGAGGCGCCATTGTCGGCGCTGGCACTGCGGGAGGAGCTTTTCTGGAGGAGGCTCAAAGAGGCGGGATCCATGGTTTCCGCCCGTTGCAAAGCTGTCTGGAGTGCCGCCAACATTTGTGATTAGCGCCTCTTATATTCAACACTTTGCCAATGCCAGATTCGGGTGTCGTGGCAAGCCGACCTGCATGCCGAGGACGCTTGAAGCTGCGGTGCAAGGACAGAGATTGGAGGGTGGCAATGGAGATAAGAAAGATAGAAGCACGCACAAACGACGCCGCCTTTTTAAGCAAAAGCTAAACACAACAACGGCCGCGTCTCACCTCGAGAATGTCATTAATCCGGTCAGTCGACTGGCGGCGCTGGTGCAGGTCAGCCCTCGACAGCGTCTTCTTGGGCAATGCCACAGAGGCTACCGCAGCATCGGCGTCGTTGATCTGAGAGGCCATGGCCATGGTCACGTCCGCGTCCGCGTCCACCACGCCTGGCGCAGGGGTGCTGCTGGTCTCACTTGACTACGACTCTACGGCACATGTGCCCAAGCTCTTGTGGGGATGGGCGGAGGCTCGACTCGGGCGCAAAGCGGCGCATTTAGACTTGGACTTGGGCCTGGTTGCGTGATTCTGGTGCAGAGTGGCGGCACAGCCAGCGGCGGCGGGAGATGGGAGAAGCAATTGAGATTGATCTCAGAAGGAGCAAGGCAGCTGGAATTAAGAAATAAATTGGCTCCCGCGCGGTATAACTAGTTCAATGCACAGATAAGTGGTGACTTATCCATCCCGCCGTCAGTGGCCACTCGGTCTCCGTCAGCCCTTCGAGGAGCGAGATCCGCGATGCCAGCCGCGCTATATACGTCATTGCGCCAGCTACACGCCTCAGCGTATAAGTGCCGGTGCAGCTTTCAGTTTGATATTGACGTTTCCATTTAGGCTTTATGTTGCCTCTGGTCCTTGACTGTCCTTGAATCCCTCTCTTCTCTCTCTCACCTCTCTGCCAAAGACGCCAGGATCAAGACTAGATCTGCGCTGAGGCCAGCTTCTTCCAAGCGCCTTGTCATTCTCAGTCCCAGCAAAGAGGTCACACGGGACCAGTAGTCCTGCTCATGCCCGCAGAGAAGGAAGTTCGCATCTTGGCTTATAGATCGTCTGACGGGCGTGGGGCTGCATGGCGGCGGCGCAACCCACCTTCGTCGGCTCGTCGGGGCTCTCGCTGCATCTATTGAACGGCAGACTTAACGGTTATCAAATGCCATTGCCGGCGTAACGTCTGGAAATTACTTCTTCTTTTTCGTTCATCTGTTTATTTAATCTGTCGGTGACTGCCTCATAGCCATTTTATACAATGCCACGCACTTTATCCTTTCTCCTCCGGCGGACCAGATTGTATGGCACGGAATTGTCGCAGAGGGCACCGACGGCCCAGCATCGCCGACATCCGACGACAGAAATGTGACGCTGGTGGCCTCTACATACGCCAGGTGAGGGGTTGCGTGGTGCACCGGAGGCGCCAGCCCAAGAGCCTTTACTGAACTTGCGTATGAAGCGGAGAGCTCTTCTTGTAAGTCGCCCCAACTGCGGTCCTCGTAGTCAGGCGATGAGACGTGAGCCAGCGTTGTGTATACTAGCGTGGCTTTCTCTGTGCGAACAAATGTGTGCCATGCCCTCCAGCAAGATGAAGCTGTTTCTGGATGATACACAATCTCTGCGCTGCTCTCTTCGATTTTCGATAGACCAACATGCGCATGCCACTCTACAATAGACTGTCGAGGGAGCTCCTCCACTTCAGCAGCGAAAAAGGGAGGGATGCACGAGTCTGGCTCGTTCTGCTGTCTGAGTGTAAAGATGGACCAATCAGGTAGTTTTGCGCGCGCATTCTCTTGGTTGTTCCCCAGTGAGGCGTATTGAGAGTTATGCTTAAGATCCCAAGGATCCAGCTCGCTTTCGTCATCTTCGTCGTCCTCCGGTGACCCATGGGCCAGCTTCCACGCGAGACCAGCAGCCTTGGCATAGCGTTTCATTTCACCGGTTGAAGATGACTTTGTAAAGTAGGCTACAGCGCTGCTCCAGAGCTGAACCTTCATCTCAAGCCCGATTCGCCATAGATGTTGCAAGGATAGATCAATCTGCATGGCGTAACTGGTCTCCGATGGAGGTGGCAACGCCATTGACGCAGGTATCAAGGGAATCTGACCGGCAATATATATGGCACGTACATCAGTCTCCTCTGCTTTTGCTGATGCAGAGATATCAATAGCTTGGCTGTACGGACCAATATTCGCCGGGGCCCAATATGATCGAGACTGAACATGAAGGCCATTCCTGTGAGAGTTGACCCCTGATTTTAGTACAGTGAGAAACGCCATGACGTTGTAGCTGGGCGGAAGTAGAGGACCACATGAGATTGTGACTCGAGATGGCGGGTTCGGCCTTGTAAAGAGTTTGCCATAATCTGCATTTATTTTTGGAAAGTCCGTCATGTTACGCAGGATGATGGTTGTATTGATAATTCGAGCCGCATCGATAGACGAAGAGGAGAGCAACTCTCTGATTTGACTGACCACAGATTGCATTTCTGCTTCGATAGAAGATCGATCTGCAGAAGAGTTGGCCAAAACAGACCATCGCAGAGTATCATCGTCTTCTACCAACGCTGAAGAGAAGTTGTTGCCGAGGATTCGCGGCTTCAGAGCTCCTGCGTTCTGCTTCCCACTATTCTCAACCTCTTTCGTGCTTGAAATTGTATCCAATATTGACTGAAATTTGAATTCCAGTAGCTCAGGGGCTCTGACGGATGGTTCTGGGCTCGCACCAACGTCAGAATCCTCTGGTTTGTCCTGGAGGCGGGCTCCTCGAAGCATCAACCAAGTCGAGCCACCCCCTTCGTTGACAACTTTCCGCCCCTCCTCAGGAATCAAGATGCTCTTTTTGAACAGCCACGACGGCCCATCCAATACAAGCGTCTCAAACTCGCCCCCTTCGCCCAAAGAAGCGCCTTCAGCCGCACCAAACTTTCTCAAAGCGTTCTTCACTCGATTTACCCCTTTGATACTTGACACTCGTTCCCACAGATGGCTTTCATCGAGGCCCGCACTTGCAACTTTGATGATCCGAGCATCAAGCCCAGCGACAGCCATATCACGCAGCAACTGAGCCTCGTCTGCAACCTCATTCGCAGGAGGCGGAAGAACAGGGTATTTCCAAAGATATGCCAACGGAGTGAGACCAAGTCTTAAAGCTATCGACTCGACTCGAGTTCGCTGGTAAGTAGACAGGATAGCTCCGGAACAAAGGGCGTTTGCTTCGGGATGGCGAGCTTTGATAGCTTGAAGTAGAAGCAACATTGACTCGGTCTCGTCAACTTTCGAGAGCGCATCCTTTTGCTCTCCAGACGAATAATCATAATCCCGTTCATGATGCAGTGCCCCGCCGCGAATTGGCTGTCGATAGAGGGGTAGGCCAGTCGCGGCAGCATAGAGTGGGATGACTTCATGCCCAACCGTCTGATACATGAAGCTATTCAGGTCCTCCTCGATAGGCTCTGCATCTTCTGCAGCCGGTGATATTTTCTCCTGTGCTGGATCGATAAACTGGGCATCTTGGAGAGCTCCTGTGGTACCATCTACCACTGGATACAAATTTGCCAGGGCCACGATGCGGTGCCCATGACGAATGCAGTGAAGAAGATTAAAGAAGCTGTCTTTGCCTCCCGAAATGAGCGCAATCACATTTAATGGTTCGGAAGTCATTCTTTGGCCGGATTAAAGCTCGCACTTGAGCCTGTATGCAAACAAATTGTGAGGTCAAAAATGCGCATCTAAGCTCTCACGTGCATGCAACTTTTTTTTTTTTGGGGTGCTATCTTTTTTTCGGTACGCCTACACGAAAACCTACATGTTTACCAACTTCAAGTTTCCTTCCACAACATCACATTCGAGAGAGTATTGAGAAAAAAAAACTTCACAAGCACACATATCACAACAAGCCTCTGCTGACAACACACAGCATATTTTCTTCTTCTCAGATTCCAATTACTTCATTTCGTGCGCAGTGCACACGTGCAACAAAGCTACTTACAACGTGCGGGCTGATACGACTCAGTCCTCCACAGCCCACATCACCAACTTTCAGCCCTGAGATAAGACTTCTTCACGCTAATATAGCACAGGAGCTACCATGGTCTAATTCTTTCAGCTTGAGCACAAGAGGCCTCTAGGCAGATATCAACAACCGCACGCCTGTCCTAGCTGGCAAACTAACGACACATCTTCCGTCATCAGCGCACGTTTACTCCGCATCAAGCTATGATAGCAACGGCGATCCTCTGCTGCTAGCGACCCTTCACCCGCCATCGGCGTTAGTACGCGCCGGCCATGAAGGCGAAAGAGAGCTATGAGAGCACGTGTGCCATGCTAGTTATTGGCAGTCTATCAAGCTACGCTGCTAGTATTACTCGCGCTCCTAAAATGAGGCCCTGACTCGAGCACGACGATGAGCGCCCTGGGCTACGGCCTTTAGTCTTCTGTGGGGGTGGCCATTGATTGCTCCAAAGCTCAGGCGCTACGAGGGGAGCTATACGGATCAGTAGGTCAGTTCCTGATATGCTAGTGAATAGCTTGGAGGGCTAATATAGCACAGATACCAAAATACTAGTAGTCTGGAGTGAGACAAGGTCAATTGGTGCTTATGGCGTTCATCGGCAGAGATGGACATGGACAGGCAGTTGAGCAATGTCCATCGGCCGAGTCTCTCCAGAACGCCCGCAAAACAGGATGCTCTTCTCCGCATAAGCATCAGTTCAAGGCAATCTCTGGCTGGATTCCGAGCCTGCAAGCCAAGAGTACACTCCGAACTCCGTATCCTCCCATCTATGGAGCCGGTACGAGGGCGTGCCTTCTACTGACCTTCGACAACACGCACTAATTTGTTCTTCTGCTTTTCGCTTGGCACACATGTACCCAGCACCGCGGACCAGGAACGCCCAAAGCTATCACCGAATGGTTCCATTGACCGAAACCCACCGTCGAGTTAATTAGCCACTATACGATTACACGAAATAGCTTCTTTGCTTCGCCTCCCAATTAATCTGTCGCCACCAGAAAACGCCACTGGGGGGAAAGACTCTATCAGGGACCATGATGGCCAAGCTATTCGCCTGTCTAAATATGGCGTAGCAGCGCATCACCAATCTTTCATTTCCACCATTTCCAGAGCCCACACACCCCGGGCCTAAATTCGAAAGCTCCAAACCCCTCCCAGTCTTGAGCTAGTCAGGGACCGTTCGACAATGCTAGCAGCTTTTACCCTCTCGTCGAACCTGGACCGGCCTTGGTCCCCCTCCCATATTAGGGCGTTTCCGCATTGCCTAAAGAGTGAGCCCTGGGCAAGGCACGTTCCCTCTTCAACGGACCAGACGGGCCATACCCGGCCCCCGGATAGATTGCGCGAGAGATTAGCTCCATCGTAGATATGGAGTCGCACGACTTTCCTGTAGGCACGGAGCGCCGCCGTGCCTGGCCTGGTGTAATTCAGACTACGCCGAGGGGGGTCTTGTACGAGTAGCCCATCGCTAGCGTTTTCTCTCCGACAAAGGGTACTTCCCAAGAATGCCACCGAGCAAGCCCGTACGATTAAGCGAATATGTGACGGCTCACTTTTTTCATATACAGTACCTGGCTGTACCTGAGGTAGCGTCCCCGCGGAATGGATCAAACGCAAAGGAGGTTTTTTCTTCGCTCGTTTCCAAGTTTCTTCTATTTTCCTTCTATATTGCTACATAGACCAGGCAGGGTCCCCTCCTCTCCCCCCCTCCCCTCCCAGTACCAAGTTCACACTACGACGAATGCTACTACGCTACCCTTGGCTGGTCTGAGTATGGGGCCGGAGAAAGACGCGACGGGGTCGTTCTTCATCCCCCCTTCCTCGCTCCTCCTCTAGCCAGGGCAACTAGGAAGAAGTAGGTACATCCCCACATGTATAGAACCGTCACAGAAGGAAATCCAGAAAATGTGAGCTGAACTCTACGCCTCAACTAGAGAGAAACCCATGCCAGGGCCATGGCGTGCCGGATAAGGAACAGCCAGTAATGCCGCAAATGTTCTCCACTCTGTCAACCCGGCGAACTCTTCCATCAATTGTTCTTTTTGGGCCATTGCCCATTTTGCCATTGAATCCCCCCCCTCCCCTCCTCCTGAGACGAGAGATGTCACAGGTCGTAAACTGTCAAACGAGTTTCCCCCTCTTCCCACCTGTCACTCTTTCTGTCACCTCCCCCCTTCTGCTCCTTCGTACTTGCAGAAAAATAGTCAAGGGTTATCAACTCTTGACCTAGGTTTTCGGGTTTTAGTTGCAGGTATGGTATCATGTAGGCGGGTAAACGGCTCAAGAGCGTAACTCTTGTCGTTATGTCTAGCGTTGTTGGATGCGTTTGTGATAAGTCGTAGAGAATCCTATCTATCGCTTCTCGGACGGAGGAGCAATCGAGGGGTGGTAAGAACGTTATCTGGACGAAGCCGCTCTTAGCTCTATGCCGGAAAGAAGACGGCTTGCGCAGTAGCATCATACCACACACACAAGTTCACCCCAAGCAGACTAATCATGACAAGATAGTAAGAATGGCAAGAGACACAAAAAGTTTTAGTTAACATGATTTCTTTTCTATGTCTAGTAGTAGTGTATGTCTAATATGTCTAAAGTCCCATAATCTATATCCCATTTCCCATTTCTATATACAAAAAAATTCGTAACAAACTTCACTGGCCACAGGCAAACATTCAGTCACCATCTCAAAAGAGGCACAATGCAGTAAGTTATTTTTTGGCAACAGTGTTTTTTCTTATTGGTTTGGCGTAGCGTCAAGTTAAAATCTTTCCTAAAAAAAAAATGATTGCGACCCGCACACAAACTGCCATTAAACCCACGTGCTCAATGAAGAGCAGTACAAATCAAAAGAATTGATGTACTAAAAGATAAGGAATCAACCTTCCAAATGATTGGCGGTAGTCCTCCACTGGCCTTTGATGCTTTCCAAGGCATCCCGTCTCTATGTTTCGGTTATTCCCACCATGACAAAAAACGACTTTTCCAGCCATCGCTCGCGATGGATCATTACACTTGTGTGTAATAACAGGGGCAGAGCCAACTGATTGGAATGCCGTCGTTGTGAGTGCCAAATATATAAAAAGAAATCTAAGATAAAAAGAAAAGAGTCCGCCATGCGCGCCCAAAAGCAGATAAAAAAACTCATGTCCTCTTCCAAGTTCGATCTGTGTCGAACCTTTTTGTCATGATGCAAAAAAAAATAAAAGTGTAGAAAAGATAAGGGGATTGAGTAATCCCGATATAAAAAGAATATCATCAGTATGATGTTGCAAGTCGATACAAGAACTGAAGGTTTGAAAATGCAATCATAACCGCTTGAGCTTTTTCCCTGTATGTAGTGTATAACCTCCTGTAGGTAAAAGTGTATGTGTTGAAAATAGGGCTGCACTTCTCCTCAGGCTAGTGAGCGAGAAAGTGTAGCAAGAATCGGTAAGAATTATCATGTCAGGCGTGTGTATATAGGTAATCATAGACCAGTCGTTTAGTCAGAGCGCTTGCGCTTCTTCTTGCCCTGGTCACCCTCTTCTGAGGAGAGCTCGCTAGCGCTTCCAGGAATCTCAGAGGCAATCTGGAACAGGACCTTGCCATAGGTGTTGTAGTCATCACCCACTGGACCAGTCATCATGCTGCCATCAAAGGCGGGGACCTCTGAGCCATCCTCAATGAGGTTCATGACAATGGCGCCACCAGCGTGGGTGCGGGCGTGCTGAGCCAGGTTGTCGCTGCGAGAGAACTTCTTGCCACACTCGTTGCACTCAAAGGGCTTCTCCTGAGTGTGCAGGGAGCGGTAGTGGCGCTTGAGGTGCTCCTGGCGACGGAAGCGTCTGTTGCAGAGATCGCAGACAAAGGTCTTGGAGGGATCCTCAGTCAGAGACTGCTTGCGGCCACGGCGGTTGGTGGGAGCGGGCATGGAAGAAGGGTCCTCGGAAGCGGAGGAGGCATTGGAGTCGGAGGCAGCAGAGGCAGCCTGAGTGGCGCCAATCTGCTCGTTGCCAGACTGGGAGCCGCTGGCAGCAGTGTTCATGATGGGCTCCTTCTTCTCCTTCTTGCGTCTCTTGTCCTGGTGGACGTCGGAGAAGTCGACAGATGAAGTTGGGCTGGGCAGAGAGTTGAAGCCAAAGGCGTCGTTGTCCTCGAAGCTCAGCTCCTCGTCACCGATGAAGCTTCCGTGGCCCAGAGAGACAACTGAGGAGCCGGTGCAGGCACGGGGGCGAGAGATGTCAATGGGGTTCACCTCACCAAGGTTGACCAGGTTGCTGAAGTCGGCCTCGGACTCCAGATCGGAAAAGTCCTCAAAGGTCGGCAGACCGCTGGGCAGGGCTGGGTTGAAGTCAAAGGTGGGCTGGGCGGACAGCTGCTCGCCCTTGATGTCCTCGGCCAGGCCCGTCAGGGTAAACTCCGGGGCCAGAGTGGGGTTGGAGCCAACGGAGACAGTCAGGTTGCGAGGATCGCAGAAATCAACATCGTGCTCCGATGTGACGGACCGCGCGTAGGGAGTTGGCGAGGGAGACAGAGAAGGGCATGAGGCTGTGGACAGGATGTCGCTCGGGCTGGAGGTGGGCGAAGGCACCTTGCTAACCTGGGATTGAAAGTACACTGCCCAAAACGGATTAGCCTGAGTCCCGCCCCAATATTCATTTCAAGGTGCAATTCCGGCTATTGCTTCTTTTTTTACTTCCATGGAAGGAAGAGAAGGTTCGAATGCAACGGCCGCGGAAATTAAATCAAAAGATGCCCGGGGGGGGAAACACTTACCAGGCGACAAGGGTGGCGAGACGATGCTGGCCCAGTCAACGACCAGGCTCTCAGTTGTGTCAACGGCCTCCTTCATGGCGATGCCCTCCAGACCGGAGAACATGGGGTTCATGGGGGTCTGCAGCATGTCGCAGGCCTTGGGGCTGCCGACGGTGCTGCCAGAGGTGGACAGAGGAGGAGTGGAGGGGAAGTAGGGGTTGTCGCCAAACTCTGCGTCCAGCATCATGTGCTTGCGGGACAGCGGAGGAGTGCTTGTGGGAGTCATGACTGAAGGGCCGTTGCTGTAGAGGGTCGGGGGCTGAGAGCAGGAGGAGTTTGGTCGCGAGTACATGGGCGTGGGCGGCAGGGTCGGTACCATCTGGTAGGCGGCCATCTGCTGTGCGAAAATGGCCTGGCGGGCCATCTTGTGGTCGTGGTTGTGGTTGTAGAAGTAGAACGCTTGCTGTCCCATAGCCTGAGACATCATGCCGTCCATTGTTTCTCTGTTTGCGCAGCGTGTGTTAGCTCTTCAGGTGTTCCCTCTGCCATGATGATCATGTGGGCATCGTTGCTCGGCTTGTCTAACCTCTTTGTGGTTGCTTCCGAACAATATTTAAATATTAAGTGTTATAGTTGTAGGTAATAAGTAATAGGTAGTAGGTAGCGTTTCCGTATTATACAATTGCCCAGGCAATTGGTCAGACAGGGAAAGAGTGGTTTTGGTTTGTCGTCAGGTCGTTTCCGGCTCTGGTATAAAGAATGGATGGTTTGGATGTGCTGGCTGCGTTGTATGTATTGGCGCAAACAGACAAGATGGAAGAGAGGATGGATGGATATGCGAGTGGACGAAGAAGTGCTGAGCAAAAGAAGGGAAGGAGTCTCGAAGAATTATATCGAGGGTCCAAAGAATGTCAGGTCGCAAAAGAAGGAAGAATCGAGGGTATAAAAACAAGATCACACAAGCTCAAGGTTGTCGATCGTATGAGATGAGTTGATGGCTTCGGCGGGGGGCCATGGCAGGATAAGTAGGACGATGAAGCCCAAGCAAGATCATCAATCGACCGATAGGCAGAGCCAAAGGTGGGAACGCTCCGTTGCCTCCACGAAGGCCCATGTCCACTCTGTCTCACTCGACGGCGGGCCAAAAGCCAGGATCCGTTGCGCGGACATGACGGGACAGGCTTCCCTCCCTGGCCCCTGTCGGCCGTGAGGTGTCTGGGGCGAGTCCAGTGGTGTGCAAAGTCGAGTTGGGCCAGGGTGTCTTAGCACGTCTGGGATGTCTGAGGTGACCAGGATGGCGCCTGGGGTGTGTGAACCTTGAGAGGACCCAACTCCAAGGTCCAGCGGGCTTGCAGGGATGCCTTAGTATAGTATACGAGACCCTGGTCCGGTGGCCTAGAGAGCGTCCGTGGAGGCGGTACGTACCTAGTGCCGAGCTAGCAGGCCCAGGTGGGAAGTTGGCAAAAAAAATCGCAGTTGATCAGGCCAAGCTCGAGTCGTTGGCTCTGCTGGCAGTGGGTACGGGCTGCTAAGCCGGTGGGCCACCACCAGACAACACGACTCTGCGCTCTCGTCTGGTGAGCGCGCGAGCTAGCAGCGTCCATAGCATAGTAGCACGAGTAATAGCACTACATGTACATGAATACAAGTTACATGGCCGTGGCATTACATGCAATGCAATCAAATCACAATCAGGACCAATTTTGGGATACTCCGGATGGCCTCGCGAGTTGCCAAGCACCAACGCGCACTTTTCAGACTTGCTTGAAGTCCCATCAACCCATCTCGCAGTGGGCGTTTGTGCCGTGCAAATTAACGAGATGACTGGCTGGCTGGCTTTGAGTCAACCGCGGGAGGGCAGGGCGCAGCCACATTTTCTAATTCTGGACTGAACTTGTGGTGTGGGCTTACCGGTACATACGAGCGAGCGTAACGTCCAGAGCGCAGCCATCCATACGGCATGAGGAACAAGCATACTGTATGTAACGAGAGAGAGAAAAAATGCTGCTGCCTCTCGGCTGCACCGCGACAGGCACCGCACAAACGCACAGGCTCTCCACTGCAGCTGCTGTCTTGGGATAGCAAAATGAGAGTGGGAAAAAAAACAAGTGAAAAAAGAAGAGAGTGTGAAAAAGCCACCATCATCAACCCAGCCTATGAGTGTTGTTCTTCCCCGGTTGTTTGTTGCTGCTATCGCGCGCATACGGCTAGTACATCTATCACATCTTATCACAGTCCGTCTTGGAGGTGTGGGCGCGCGTGCGTGCAGAGCAGGAAAAAAAAAACCAAAAAAGCCCACGAGATCCCCCAAAGCTCGACAAGATGGATGCCTCGCAAATGACATCTCAATGGCGGTAGTGCCGATGATTGGGCCGTAGATTGCCATGCCGTTCGTCTTGTCTGCTCGATGATTTGATGCTAAATCCCACGCGCACGCACACTTGATGCCCAGCGGCCGCCTATGGCATCAGCCAGACGGCGCTCAGGCTATCAGACTGGCGGGTATGCAGTGCAAGTGGCCTGCGCCGGCGCCAATCCAGCTGCTACCACTCGTCCCATCCAACTAAACAGGTACCACCGCCCACTAAGAATCCAAGCACAGGTGTGCTACGCGTGCTAGAGCTTTTCCAGGTGGTAGCACTGCGCTGCTTCTTGCTTTAGCCTGCAACCGCAAATCTCGCTGCCCATCTTGTTGACAGGCTGCCTCTGTGCGCGCCATTTTTCCCATCGATGCGCCCCCCCACCTCCGCCAACTCGCCCGGCCACTCACAGCGCAGCACGAGCACACTGTGAGCGCGTCACAAGCCCTGCAGAGTGCCGTGGTGCGATTGATAGGGTAGAAACCTCACAGCTTGCACAGAAAAAAGCCGCCGTCTCAGCTCTGCACACTGACGCACACTCGACTATGCACAGCCATTGGACTCGACTTTTGGCGTCACACCTACGTACAGTCCCCACCGCTGCAAGGCACATGATATCGCTGCTTGGGCGAGGCGCCGCTCAGCTATTCCAGTGGTTGTAAGTCATTCAGTTGTCTAGCAGCTCAGGTGAAACCGGCCGTTTTGTCACTAGGATAGTGGGAGTGGGATTGTTGAAGTGACGGTGGTGCTCCAATCGTAAACCTCAAACCCAATTGCAATCTTGGGGCCATGGCAAAACGACGTCAAGTGCGGATGCCAGATTGGCCGACGGAGTGGGAATGAAACTAGGCTTGATGTTACATCCACAGCAACTGGCAACGGCTGAAGAGAGTTGTTTGTTTGGCCATGCTGCCGCCCAGGCTGTTTAATTATGTGATGGTGTGTTTGTCACGTCAGGGCATACATATCAGTGAGTGGATATCTTATGTGCTTCTCTACATGTATTCACCTGCCCGACGGGCCAGTCAGCTCACTCATCCATCCATCCATCCATCCATCGATTCGATGAATGTTTGCGAGCCGGTAGCAGTCACACAGGCTGTGCAGGTCCTACTGGTTGTGGTAGGTCCCAAGGCCAGTATTTCTTATCATCCATTGTTATGTATAAGCATGCAGGTTGTTATAGCACAAGCACGAATGCCTACAATACAGCATCTGCGGTAATGATCTGGTCTTACGGTGGCCATCGACAACCAAACGGGATCTGACATATTGCCCAGTTGCCAGAACTAGGCCTAGTGCGTCGATCCCAATCCAAGAGGAGCAGACTGCATGAATGGATTGTGCTTGTTTATGTACCATTGTACTTTTGTACAAGAATAGCATGGGCCAGCTCCACTCGGCACTATACGCTCAATACCACCTTTTTTCGTCATCTGTTTCACACTTTTGCTCCTAGCCTTCTCGTATGTGCTCCATAATGCTTATGCATTAGGACTCTTTTCTGTTGTTTGTGTGTCAAATTAGTGCTGCGCGCTAGTGCTGGCCGGGACAGTGGTATTGGAGCCCGTAGGCCGTAGCCACACACAAGAGCCCAAATACGAAACGCCAATTCGCAAGCAGTAAAAGCAGAGACAAGAGAGACAAAAGCAACGTGCTTACTTGGATTAGATAAACGGGCTGCAGTATAGATAGGTATACGAAAAGAGAAAAAAATACGGGCAGCGTGGCAAGCAATCTTGCAGCCAAGCAAGATGCACCCCCTTCCAGCAGAAACTAAAATATCCGTATTTGCATTGCTTCTCTTTTCTCTCGTCCCTATTCGCTCATATCGACTCTTTTTCCGTTCCTATTGCTTTGTATCCTCTATTGTAATTCCTGCTGCATGGAGAACAACCACAACCCATGCTCAACCCCTCCCCTCTCTGCCGTAGTCGCCTAATTGTATGTGTTGGCATATGTACGTATACCGCCTCGTGCCAAAAGATTCCAGCAAAGCTTCCATTCCATCCAACCTCCTCCCTCTCCGGGAAAGCCAAACGTAGAACCGCGCTCGCTATCGCCTGGTGGCCCCGCGCGTTCCCGCAAAATTGCCCCATTGAGGCTCCAGGGCCCCCATCGCCTGGGCTGAGAATCGAGCCACGGCCGTCGACTCGCCGGTGGGTTCTCCGGCCCGCTAAAGGCTACTGGAAGGGCATTGAAGCTAGCTGTACTCCGTGCGGAGCCAGCCACTTCGACTCCAAGTCGGTGGGCGGTGGCTTTCCCCGGCACAGCAAACCGCCAGTTTCACCATCGGCCGTGATGGCTGCTGAGGCGAGTCATAGCAAGTGTCGTCGATTGCGGAAAAGAGTGGGAATGGCTCTGTTGTCCAGGGCGATCTTTCTGCGCTGGCGTGCCCTAGCGTTCATGTAACCGATTTCTCCTCATCTCGACCAACAATGGCGATGAAGAGCATCGAGTACTTTTGCACGTGCTTGTTGATGGAAACAAGTCCAAGAGAATACATGCAGCTGTCACCGCAATTACAATGATGGGTGGCTGCCGGGATGCAATTCCACTTTTTCCCTTTTGACGGTGTACGTACATGATTAAGCGAGCCCTGGCAGCCGTCCGATAGGCTGTTGCATGCAGCCATTCCTCCGGACTATTGCCAGACAAACAGCCTGCATGGCCGCCACTTTTGGCATCTAACGGTGTGTCGAGAGATGGGTGGGAGGCTGTTTCAATTTTCAACCGCTTGTTTATTTCGTCCTTGTCCATTCGGGCCATATTCCATTAGCCAGAACGCCTGGCGAGCCATTGGGGTCCATCACCGTGCAGCTGGGGAAAATTAAGAGACTACCTGTTTGCTATGCAGCGGTAGTACTGCGGACTAGCAAGTAGAACCACTCGTCTGTTGGTATAGCTTGCTGTTAGTCTTGTCTTGGAAGGACTATGGCAGTTTGCTAAGATACCTAGATGGCGATAGTATAAGTCGGCTCCGCTAGCCTTGACGAAAGAGGCAAAAATGAGGTGGTATCTCCAGGTAGTTGTTGGAGAAGCGATGGGACTCTGTAGGCCGAAGCCAGCCTGATTTGATCCAGCCGATGCTAATTGCTCTGGGGTACCTCTTATCGGAAGAGAGAGCATGTACGTCGCGAGCATCTAGCTCTATCTACTACGAGCCAAGTGATATCACAGCATCCAATTTCCCCATGCCCAAGATGGCCCTATCAGAGTCGAGCGGGAAGCACTGATCCTCATGTGCGTGCAGTGTGCGTGCAGTGTGCGTGCAGAGTGTGTGTGTGATGTGATTTACAGGCTCGTCCCGCATGCAGAGGGTTTCATCCAGTCCGAGCCGTCACGTCGGTGCCGTCTAGCGGTGTCAGTGGCTTGACGTTTGGTGACGGTGCCTGCAAATGCTCCGTACACACACACAACCAAGGTCCAGCAGGAATCTTGCGCCTGCAGCATCCGCCGATTATCACACGCACGATGCCAGCATTGGCTGCCGCCGTCGCTAACGTAAACGGACCTACGCAATATGCTGGAACGGTGGCTGCGGTCCTATTGGCTGCGCAGATTAATCTGAAACTCTAGTGCTGCATAACGAGTCGAGAAGGGAAGAAGTGCATGAACAAAGTGCACGGACCCTTGAACCTTGCACAAAGCAGCAGAGAGGCGTCTTTTTTTCCCGTCCAAGGCAATCTTTCGTTTCTTGTTTCTTATCGATATACCGCATTGCGTGGACTTTCGGGCAAATCCACTTCAACGTCGGGCCCTGGCAGCGGCAGGCCCGGGCCATTGCTGTGCACAGCAGCACTTTGGTACACCGTAACGGTAGCAGCATGTAATACGAAGGGTCCTTGATCCATAATCCATCAATCCAGTGTACTTCACTCATCATGTTTTTTGTTTACCTTCACCGACACACTAGAATAAGCGAATGCTCCGGCAGAAGCTACAAGTGCGCATGATGTGCAATTATGGGATGATCCTCCACCCGCTGGACGCGGATAGCACGTGCGGACGAAACGGGATATTGAAGAACAACTGGGGGAACATGCGCCAGGCGCAAGCGCCGTCCGTCAAATTGATTTGCTAGCCGGAACAGGCAATCACATCAAACAATCAGGCACCGCAAGAGCAAATGGATCGTCCCAAGTGCTGCCACTATCACTCGCCGTCTCTACGCCGTTGGCCGTCGACGGCGCTGCTACGCCCAAGACGGTGCTAGGCCCCGTGTTGCTAAATGAAAGAGGCGGCGCTCCGCCCCGTACCGACATTGTGCCGACGACTGTGACCCCGGGCAACCAACAGACGACTGTTGTGCGAGCAATTAATCAATCAATCGGCCCTCGTTGGCCGCACTATGTAATTAATCATGATGTGATGAATGGAGACGCATACCTACCGTGTGCGTGTGGGAGTGCGAGTAAGTGGCCGGCCAGCATTCAATGGGTTGACCGACAAAGCAATAAATTATGTCTGGGGTCATTAATCGCAGCATACGAATGCACGCTTCATCGCCCGCGCATGCACAATCCGGCGCTGTGACTGGCCGGCGTCCCCCACCGCCGGCGCGTCCCCACTGGGAAGAGACCGCCACTGCTGCAGACGCAGCCATGCAGGAACCAATGCGGCCACTGGAGCCCGCCGTATGCAGGTACCGCCCACAGCTGCTCAGGGCTCGTTCCGCCTGGCCTTCGCCCCCCTCCCCCCCGGCAGGTATAGTACCTGGAGCTGCCACCTCACTCGCGCATTCGCGCTTGTGCCAATCCGTCCTGCTTGTACACCGCATGCTAGCACAAGAGACTACTAGGACATGGACCTTGTGCAATGCACGATGCATCACCTTCCGCCGTCCCCAGCCTGGCCTAGCACCGACGCTTCTCTCTCCACCCGCCCTCGACCCGTCTGAAGCTGCTCCAGGTAACCGTCGTCAGCTCGTCGCCTTGTTCGCCCAGAGCACAGCAGAAGCAGAGGGCCGCTGCAGCGAGGCGTCACTACCCGCCTCCGCAAACCTGGGTTGACTAAGGCAATAGCCTCAACTAATTTTGCAGAGCGACACGAGCTACAAAAGAGCGAGATGAATCAGCTATAGCAAAGCCGCAGCGCGCCCGAGACTTTTGCTCCACCGATCCTCGTCCGCCGACTGCATGGCCACCGACTATTGATCGCTCTGAAGCTCTGAAGATTGTATTTGCACATGCTGCGCTCAATTGGCAGCCGAGAGGGGAGGGGGATCCCGACCGACACCGCCAGAAACCAGGATGGTGGTGCTTGACAGGCTGCGCGAGAAAAGCTTTTTTTTTTTTTTTTCGCCGCTTCGCCAAAGAGAGGCAAAAAGAATGCTAAGCACTACTGCTCGCGGAACCGGCAGCGTCCACCGCCTGGAACAGAGAGAGGGAAAAGATTTCGGCAACATCCTTGCTAGGCGAGGTGTCTCTGGCATCTGCAGACGACAGATCGCACTGCTAGCACACGCCGGGCTCTCAGACAGCCTGGCACTGGGTAGGGCAAGGGTACGACAACTGCTGCATCTATCCAGTATACTGTAGACGAGGCGGTCTTCTTGACTCGGACGACCCCCGGCAGCCTGTGGCACCGGTCACTGGTTTACGGATGCCTGCGACAGCGTCCCCGGACTCGAGCGAGAGCCCTAGAAGAGTCGTAGTCGACCTTCTAACCCGACATGGGGAGCTGCACTACTTGGGACACTACGAGCTTCTATTGGCAGCAGCTCGAGCCAATGCGCGCTGCCTGAGCTGCTCGCCACTATACTTGGACAAGTCATGCTCTGGTTGGGCCGCCTCTGCAGCTTGCTTATTGCGGACAGTAGTCTAACTGGATACTGCCAACAACCTGCCCACCTCGAGGCAGTTTTCTTGCTTCTTGCTGCAGGCATTCTGCACGTTGTGTCTTTCACCGTTGGTTTGCGCTCTCGCAGTTCCTGTTATTGTTTTCTTCGCCCAATGTCTCAGAATTGCCCACCGCTACTTCCTTTTGGGGTAGCTTACGAGATTTAGCCGAATTGCCTCACAAGCGTCAGCTTCCACGCCGAGCCAACACCGCATACACGCAAAGAAGATTCGAATGAAAACAGCGCTCGATGGTCCGTCCTCACCTTGATAGGAGGAGGCAAGCCAGCGGCGATGGCCAAAAGCACAGACATGGTCGGCAAATCGAGATAAGTCATGGAGTCCAATCTGCTCCATTTGGCGCCTGCAAGCCTAGGAACTATCATATCAACTACGGAGTACGGAGCTCGCAGCCGGTGATGCATCCTGGCAAGCAGTTGCTCGACCAGAGGCGAGAAAGGGAAGTTGAGTCGATATTTGCCACCGCTCTTTACACCGTCGAATTCAAGGGCCAATGTCAAGTGACTTTGACGGATGCGGACGAGTCAGGACTTAATCTCTGAGATCAAAACGACCAGGGCCCTGGGCGACGAAGCTCACTGCGCAACGCGCAAAGACTAGCAGCGGCCCGGATTCGCAGCCGTGTGGCCAGCATCTCGCTCTGATACCATAGTGGCCTGGCGGACCGGGATCAATTGGCCCTTGCCACCGGACCCTAGCGGTCTACCCGCTCCCCGGATTTCTGCTTGGCCATGGCACGGCACCATGGCAAATTGTGTGCCCAACGGTCCACACTGGAAGAACAACGCCAGCCTTCTATCCGTCCTTCGTTATTCCCATTGTCAGCCGGGAGAGACAACCAGCACGTCTCTTTACTTGCAAGCAAGTCCTGCTGCTAGTAGGGATTACCCACTGTACACCAACTGCTACTGGATCATACCAGTAGTGCTGTTGCCGAAGAAGAGACGTTCAGGCAGGCTTCCCCGCTCCAGGCATAACAATGGATGCGGCACGGGTGATTTTCACGGCTTAGACTTGTTTCGAGCCATTGCTCAATTCTGTTTCGCCTTTGCCATGTGTTTCAGCGTGCCTCATCTTGAAGGGCCGCATTGCTCTGTTCTTGACGGCATATCAACACTTCATGCCGGCACTACGGAGAAGGGTCCATTACTGAGAACGGCAAAAAGGGCTCAATGCTTCGGTTACTCAATGCCTATGGCCGACCCGCTACCGCGACCATGGTAAATCAACTCGCTGTGCCATGTTAAGAGCCTGGTGGAGAGAGGCATTGCTGGCAAAAGGCTAGCCAGGGCATCCCCCGGCCTAGCGCAGGTACGACTTATTCCAGCATGGGCTTATAGAATGGCCAATTGGGCATTCCGCAACCCAAGCCCATGGAGCTTCTGGAAGGTTTCATGGCCCACAATTCGACCTTCCATAGCCAATCTTCCCAGGTATTCGTCCTCACGATGGCAGGTCCTACAAGGGCACAGCAACCGAAGGTCCCGGGTGGTGCTGGCAGCTCGTACGGCGGTATGGCGTATCCATTTCTGTATCCATGCCCGGCCTCAGCTCAATATCGCGCCTGCTGCGTCGGCGTTTCCAGATATGCCCACGGAAGTTTTCTGCGGAAGGCAGCGAAATACTCGTCCAACAATTCCGATTTAGCGATTCCGCGGCAGTCAAAGTGGCGCCAGATAGAACAGCCGCTATCGGTCGATGATGCGCTTTGCTACTGGCGACTATCTGCTGTACTGTAAGCCTACCACTTATCAGTGCTGCGCGGATGTGAGCGGCTGGGTTAGACCGCTTCGCTAGCAAAGGCTCAACCGCCCCATCATCTGCCGGCAGTCATTCGGTTCGATGCTACCCTACTACCGTTTGAGAGCGCATAAACCACCTCAGGAAGCTCGTTATACTATGAGTAGCTGTCAAAGGTATTCTCTATCACTGTTGTCGCTACAATGCACTAGTTTGCTTTCTCGCCACAGGACTGCAGGGTACATGAGCCACTTACACACAACACAGCATGGCTTGACAGGATTAAGCAGCTAGAGCCGCTGAATGCAGAGTGCGGGATGCGGTCTGTGAGCGGCAATTTAGAACTACTACGGGCGGATGGGCGGGCAGGCAACAAGCTAGGAGGGTTCATGCACGATCAATTGAATTGCTTGAGCTATTGCCACGGGCTACGGGCTGCTACGAGCTACACTTGCTGATGAAAGTTTGCTACAGCTACGCCGTACGGAGGACTGACTGATTCTAGCCACTGCGATATGTCATATTGGCCTCATATACCTGCGGACATGAGTGTTTCAGCGGTGCCATTTCCAATCTTTCCATTAAAAATAGAAACGCTCAGGTGAAATAAACCAAGCGAATGTCCACTTAACGGACGTCACAATATTCTATTTTCATCTTCTCGGACGGGCTACTGTGTGGAAATTAGCAATACTTTAAAATTTGCTACTACAGGTACAAGTAGTATTAACGGTGGATCTCCAAATATATTGAGGCTTATACCTACATGCTAACTCGTGTCCCCATACAAGTGTTGTGTGTGAGATCATTAGCCAACGGTTTGGTGGTTCTCTAAAATTACACAGATAATATCGCTACGGAACGGATTGCTGATGGAATTCCCAGTCAAGTCATGGTTGTTGTTTTTTTCTTCCTTTGTCGCCTCACTCAGTGGCGTACGGTGTGTGGGCTTTTTCATTTCAAAAGCGCCGGCGCGGCAGCGCAGCCGAGTGGCTCCAGCCAACCCGGACGGAGAGAAGAAAAAGCAATAGCTGTGCGCACGAGTCCCTAGACGGTCTCTCGCCGAGAAGATTGCTGCGCCATTCACAGACAATTACCGATATCCGCGTGTAATTGTGTGATGGCACAGAACATCAATACGAGCACGGACCGAAGTACGGATGATGGCCATGACGGGAGCCCGGTGGCGACAGCACTCCGTGAGTTGTGAAGATTGTGATGGCAATTGCAGACTGTGGCTCTGCACTTCAGTACTGTACGTACCAGTGTGGTGATGATGATGCTCTGCGTTGTGATATTGGCTTCGACTAGTGCCTGGCAGATCGACCAACAGACATGAGCCACCGGGAATTACGAAGTATGATGCACAGAACCACCATTCTTTGCTTTTTGCTCGTGGTTATCTGCCCTGTGCCCACGAGGAAGTGGCGCGCGTCATTTAGTCCGACATGTCATCAATATGGAGAGCGTTGCTCCGTACAGTATAGCGACATAGCGTACCAACAATAGCTGAGACATGAGCAAAAAGCTCTTGGAGGTCTAAGCTAAAGCAGGCTAAGAAGCTCAACTTCTGACTTCTGACATGTCTAGTGGCCCCCTTTGCAATCTTTTTCTCTCTCTCTTTCTCTTTCACTTTGCTTTATTAAGACGGAACCAAATCTCCTTACAGCTCGGGTGGCGTTATGGTTTGTTTCCGTTTTTAACTCTTCCCGTATCAAAGCGCGAGTTTGGTTTGGTGCCACAAGAAAAATGCGGATCACGGAGGGTGGGAAAGGAAATTGAGCCAATGTACGAGCTGCCCGCAGAAGGATGGATGCAGTTGCAACTTTGTTGCTTTTGGGTCCAATGTGACACTGCGAGCTGCAGCCTGTTGCATATTCACTCACTCTTTTCTTTTTCCTTTTTTTTCTTATGAAAACAGTTCCGGCTCTCGCGGCAAATCTTGCAGAGTGAAGGCCTATCAGATGGGTCAAGAACTACCTCCATAACACCCTGATGGCCCAGTAGGACGAGAAGGTTAGCCAAGTGGCATCCCATCAGTCGATTCTGAATAACGAGACAAAAAAAAAAGGAAGGAAAGAGATAGCCAGTTACATCTCTGCTGGGGTAAGCAGGAAATAAGGTCAGACACCTGATTGATACTCGGCAAGACGGCTGTTACAGCCGTATGTGACATTGAAATCCACTAGAGTTGTATTGGTGTGCCTCAAGGTAATGGCCATATGGCTTCCTCTACGACATTGGACCTTTACACTGGATCTCGTAATATTCTCATTATCAGTACCTCTGCTAATCAGACCAGTCACCTCTCTCTTTTGCTGTTACGCACGATCCACGGCCACGGAAGCATCTGTCTAACATCATGAGACAAGTGGGAATTTTTGCCTGGTTTCTGGGTTGGAGATGGAGGG